AATTAAAGAAAACAATAATTGTAACCTCAGATATGGATAAAAAAACTCACCACAGGCGTCGACACAAGTCACTGGGCCAGCAATGAGAGATGGGTTGCTGACAGACCCAACAGCATTCTTGGCATACACTCTGAACTCATAGGACTCATCCTGGTTCAGTCCAGATACAGTGAAACCCAGCTCAATGATGTTTGTGAAGTTAGCTTTCACCCATCTTCCACTGGGAGCTTCTCTCCTCTCCACACTGTAGCCGGTAATCTTGCTGCCACCATCATATGGAGGCCTCAGCCAGGCCAGGCTGACTGAGTTCTTGGTGACCTCTGTGATATGGACATTTGCTGGGGGCTCTGCAACATTGTGAGAAACAGTAAAGGGTTTTTCAGTGTAAGGGCTTATATTATTTAAGGCAGAAGGTCCCCTTAATATTGGAGATAATTAGAAACACTTACCACAGGCATCAATAGCAAGCACCTCTTCAGAGGTCTTGCTCATCTTTCCAATACCAGCAGCATTTTCAGCTGCCACCTTGAATTCATAGATAAGACCAGGGCAGATGTTTGTAACTCGCCACTGGTTTCCTGAGATTGCGGTCTTATTGATCTTCTGCCAGAGGATGCTGCTCCTCTCCTTCATCTGGAGATGATATCCAATCACAGGGTTTCCACCATCATTTACAGGCTCATTCCAGCAGACTGTTAGGCTCTCTCTGGATACAAAGCCCAACCATGGTGTGGATGGAGGTCCAGGAACAGCTGTAATGAACAGCATTCATTTTAGTGTTCAGAAGGATTCATATTCCGCAACACAAAGTTGTCACAGGAAGGATATTTTTCCTCTACATACTATATTAGTTTGTAATCACAAAAGAATTTGATCATGTCATGAAAGCTTATTTTTGCCTTGTATTCAAGTGTATTGACTTACTGTATGGAAGCTTTATCATGACTGGTTTGCTATCAATGTGGTCGCTGACACCGCTGCGATTCACGGCCTTGATTCTGAACTGATACTCCTCTCCCTTGGTCAGCTTAGTAACCTTGATCGAGCTTCTGGCAATGCTAGTTGACACCTCTGCCCAGGTAGGAGTGCTGGTTTCACGTTTCAGAACAATGTAGTTGCTTACAGGACTGCCACCATCATACTCTGGAGGAGCCCATTTCAGACATACTGTTGTCTCTCCAACCTCTCCAATCTCAACTGGACCAACAGGAGGTCCGGGTCTGTCCAGCACAACAAAGATAATGAAGATCTTGGTGGTACCTCCTGCATTTGAGGCAGTGACTTCATATTTACCAGCGTCACTTGAAATGCTCTCATTTAGGGTGATGATTAAACTGTCTGGAGTTACTTCTGTTAGCAGCCTCTTGGATCCCTTGATGACAACATTGTTTTTGGACATAGTCACCTTAGGCATGGGCCTGCCGGTGAGAGGAATCTCAAAGGTTAGGTTGGATCCTGCTTTCACATAAACTGTATTCTTGGGGTAGTTCTTAAGGTCAAACTCTGGAGCCTCTGTTGAAAAACAAGACAGGAATGTCTCATTAAAACTAGTTCCATACTGTAGATCAAATTGCATTTTTCACAAATTATAATACAATATACATTTTCATCACATTACATTATTGATGCAAAAATCAAAGTAGTAGTAGTAGTAGTATAGCTTCAGATAATACCGTGTATTTCCTTGACAATAACAGGTACAATCATCTCCTTTGGTTCACTGAGTCCAGCATGGTTCTCTGCACGGACTCTAAAGAAATACTCAGCACCCTCCCTCAGGCTCTTGATGGTGTGGGTCATGGTCCTCACAGTGGCACACTTGATCCACTTGTTCTGTCCTTTCTCCATGGCATCAATAAGGTATCCAGTGACTCTGCTGCCGCCATCATATTCTGGTCTGGTCCAGGCAAGTGTAATGCTATCTTTGGTAACATTTGCAACTCCAAGTTTCATGGGCGGACTTGGTACCTCTGTAACAGATAGCAGGACATTTTCAATAAGCACATGTTGTCGAAATTGAAATTGGTTGAATGAAATCACCTCACCATCTTCAACATTTAAAAATGTTCATATGTTACCTGTAATCTTTGTTCCAGTCTTGGCTTCCTGCGGGACACCTACTCCATACTCATTTTCTCCAATAACTCTGAAGTAGTACGTGGCTCCCTCCTGCAAGTCTTCCACCTTGTAAATCAGAGAATGGCAGTTGCTGGTCACAGACACCCAGGCTTTCTTACTGGCTTCACGTTTTTCAACATGGTAGGCCTTCACTGCATCACCGCCATCATTCTCCGGGGCTTCCCAAGTGAGGGTTGCAGAATCCTTGGTCACTGCTGAAACTACAACATTGACAGGGGGTCCAGGTGAGTCTAGCACCTTGACAACCAGAGGCAATGTTGCTTTTCCCAGTGGTGATTCAATTGTAACACAGTACTCTCCAGAGTCATTTCTAGTTGACTTCTCAATGGTTAGTGAAGTGCTTGATTCTGTTGAATCGATGGTTCCTCTGACATTTAGATCAACTCCCTCCTTGGCCCATGTCACTGATGGCACGGGTTTGCCCTTGAATGGTACATTCAGAGTAAATGCTGTGCCATGCTTAACAAGAAGTACTTTACGCAGCTCAATGTCAACATCAAATGACGGCTCTGCAGTTCTGTCCGCAGCTGCAGCAGCATCTGAATAGGGGCTCCGCACACTGCTACCAACTTTGTTTATAGCCTTGACACAGAATTCATATTCTGCATCTGTCTTTAGTCCAGTGATTGTGAACTCCAAGCTCTTGGTAAGAGGGATAGCCTCAACCCATCTTGCTAGTTCTTCAGGTGATTCAGGTACCTCTTCTTCCTCCTCCTCGTATTCTTCCTCTTCTTCCTCAACTTCTGGTTCGGGTTTGCGGATGTAGTCTCTGTATTCTACACTGTATCCAAGAATGACAGCACCACCATCATCTGTTGGTGGTTTCCAGACAATGGTCACGCTGTCCTTGGTTGAAGTGACAATCTTTGGCTTAGTTGGGCGAGAAGGAACAACCAGAGGATCTAATGCTCTGAATGATGCAGACTGCTCACTTGGAGGACTTAGACCAGCAGCATTTTCAGCATAGACTCTGAAGTCATACTCACAACCCTTACGCAGTTTGGTTGCTACTGTGGTACATTCAAGAACTGGATCTCTGTTCAAACGGATCCAGCGCATGCCTGTCTTCTCACGGCGCTCAATCATATACCCGGTGATGGGGCTGCCTCCATCACTAGCTGGCTTGCACCAGGTGAGGGTCATTGAATCTCCAGTTATGGCAGTGACATCAACACTAGTTGGAGCAGTGGGGACAGTGTATGGATCTGTAATCTTTACAGCATCACTATCAAGAGCCTCACCAAGTCCATACTTGTTGACAGCCAAAACCCTGAAGATATATTCGTTGCCCTTGAGCAGTCCTGTGACTTTAAAGTATGTTTTTGTGACATCTGCCTTCACCATTGTCCATGCCAAGCTGCTGGTCTCACGCTTCTCAATAACGTAATGCGTGATGTCAGCACCACCGGTCTCCTGAGGAGGACCCCATGACAGAGTGCAATCCTCCGCTGTGAGATCTGTGATCTGCAGAGGTCCTGCTGAGGGTCCTGGCTTATCTAGAATCACACAGTTTATTGGCATCGTAACTGTTCCAGCAATATTTTGTAGACTCAGGGCATACTGCCCGGAATCTCTTTTGATGCAATCCTTCACAATGACAGAAGTGCTGGTATCTGTTGAAATAATCTGGATTCTGGCTCTCAACTCAATTTCTTTGCCATCCTTGGTCCAGGAAATGACAGGGGCTGGACGTCCCTTAAGGTCAGCATTAATCTTCAGAGTTTCTCCTGCTTTCACAAACACTGTCTCTCGGAACTTGACATCCATCATGATGCGTGGTGGATCCACATCATCTTTGACAGTGATTGGGCCGGTGTTGTCAGATGGTTCACTGAACAATCCAGCTGCATTCTTAGCAATGACACGGAAGTCATACTGGCTGTTCTCTGTAAGGCTTGTCACATCATAGTGGGTCTCAGGCACATTGGTGAAGTTGCACCTTGTCCAGCGTCCTTCAGGAAGGTCTCTGCGTTCAATTATGTAGCCAGAAACCTTGGCTCCACCATCATACTCTGGCTTATCCCAAGATAAGGAGACAGATGTCCTGGTAACAGCAGTGACCACAGGTGTGCCTGGAGGGTCACATGGATCTCTGGCTGCTACACCTTCACAGGCCTTGCTGCATTTACCAATACCAGCAATATTTTCAGCATAGACACGGTATTCATATATCATGCCCTCTTCAATTCCAGTGACTTTGTACTCTGTATCTTTAATCATTCCTCTATTCATCTTTGTCCAAAGAATGCTAGAACGTTCCTTTCTCTCCAGATGGTAGCCCACAACAGGACTACCACCATCAACGACTGGCTCATTCCATGTCACCAACATGTAAGACTTTGTGGCCAACTTCACTATAGGCGTGGAAGGAGGACCGGGTTGTTTGAAGTTATACTGAGCAGTGATTCCAGGTGAGTCCAGATATGTACTCTTTCCGTAACGGTTGACTGCATAAATGCGGAACTGGTACTCAGCTCCATGTGTCAGACGGCCAGCCTTGAAAGATGTTCTGGCAACATTACTTGCTACCATCTGCCATTCTTGTGTGTTTGTGTCTCTCTTCTCCACAATATAGTTACTGATGGAGCAGCCACCATCATAATCCGGTGGAGACCAGGTCAGTGTAATGCTGTCGGAGGTCACAGCATCCACCTTGATACCTTTGGGTGGTCCTGCTTTATCAAGGACAACAACTCCAAGATCTGCTGTGGCAGTTCCTGCTGTGTTGGTTAGGGTGATCTCATACTTGCCAACATGTTCTCTGTTAGCATCTTTGATGATAATTTTGGAAGAGGTTGCAGTATTTAAGATGGTCACTGATGATGTTTGCTTCAAAGGAAGGCCATTCTTCTTCCAGGATACAACAGGCTTTGGCCTTCCTCTTAATGGAACCTCAAGAGTAAGTTCATCTCCGGCCTTCACACTGTATGTGGTAAACAGTAAGTTGATAGTTGGTTCAATAGCAACATCCTTTGCAACCACAGGCAAGCCAAGATCCTTTGGCTCACTTTTTCCCTTCTCATTGATTGCAACAACTCTGAATAAGTAGGCTTCATTAGGAGTTAGATTGGGAATAGTTGCTTCAGGCACCTTGACTGTGCATGCTGTGCCCCATTTATCCCCACTCTTAGGCTTAAATTCTACATTGTAGCACATTACTTTGCTTCCACCATCATGAGCAGGTTTCTCCCATGCCAGTGACACACTGGTCTTTGTCAAATCTACCAGGGTAACCTTGCTTGGTGGCAGAGGAACCTCAGATACTTTGACTTCTTTGGTTTCAACCATCTGTCCTTGGCCATATTCATTGACTGCACAGACTCTAAAGTAGTACATGCCACCCTCAGTCAGCTCTTCAATCTTGAATGAGTTGGCTGTGCAGTTGCTGGTTACAGTAGTATATGCCTTTCTTACAGACTCTCTCTTCTCTACAATGTAGTTTGTGATTTTAGAACCACCATCAGTAAGTGGGGTATCCCAGGCAAGAGTCACTGAATCTTTCTTGAGTTCCTTCACAGCAAAGTTTTGAGGTGCACTTGGTGTATCCAAAATTCTCACTGCAACAATAGCAGATTTTGTACCACTGCTGTTCTCCAGTGTTAGTGAGTATTTGCCACTGTCAAAGCGGTTGACATTGTCAATGACAAGCATGGTGTATGAACTGGTAGTATCAATTGCCGCGCGCTCTGTTAGAGTACCCTCAACCTTCTCCCATTTAACAACAGGTTCAGGCCTTCCTCTGATGGGGACAAACAGACGCAGAGTTCCACCAGCACGGACAGAAACCACTTTTCTGAGCTCAGCATCCAGCTCAATCTCCGGTGCTTCTACCCTGTCAGAGGTAACCACAGTACTATGGACATTAGCAGCCTCACCCACACCCTCAGAGTTGATAGCACAGACACGGAATTGGTACTCTCCACCCTCCTTCAGATCTGTGATAGTGAGTTTAGTGGTTTGAATGCCAGTCGGTGGAGTGCACATGGTCCATTCTTTTTCAACTGGTGGCTCTACTGCTGGTGCTACTTCTGCCTCCTCTGTTGATTCAGGCACTGGCGTATACTCCCTCATTTCAACAATATAGCCCTTAATGTAGGCACCACCATCAAAGTCAGGTTTGCCCCAGGACAGAGACACAGAAGACTTTGTGTAGTCTGTAACCTTAGGGTGGTGTGGAGGTCCAGGTGGTGTTGTGGCATCACATGCTCTGTAGAATAGGGACAGTTCACTGAGATCTCCCATTCCAGCCTCATTCTCTGCAGCAACACGGAACTCATAGAAGTGGTCAGTCATTAAACCTGTGACCTTAAGTTGGGTGTCAGTCATCTTTTGTCTGTTGCATTTTGTCCACCTTACACTATCTTTGTCACGTTTTTCAAGATGGTAGCCTTCAATGTCAGCTCCACCAGTCTGTTCAGGAGCAGTCCATGAGAGAACCATAGAGTCCTTTGTGATCTGACTTGCTTCTGGAGTTCCAGGAGCACTAGGTGGTTTGTAAGGATTGCGTGCAATGATGGGTTCAGACTCAATATAATCACCAACACCATATTTGTTAACGGCCCTGACTCTGAAAATGTATTCATTTCCATGGAGCAAATTTGTCAGTTTATAGTACAGACCCTTGATATTTGGTGCAGCCACAGTCCAGGACAACCTGCTAGTCTCTCTCTTCTCCAAGACATAGTGAGTAATACTAGCACCACCATCCAAAATTGGCTCAGACCAGGCAAGGATGCACCGGTCAGCCATGATTCCTGTCACCTTCATGGGTCCAGTGGGTGGACCTGGTTTATCAAGGACTTTGACAGTGATAGGGAAGGTTTTTGTACCACCCAGATTTTTGAGGACGAGGTCATAGTGGCCACTGTCAAGTTTGGTCACATCCTTAATGGTTAAGGCTGCACGTTTCTGTGTAGTTTTCACTTCAATGCGCAGTGCTTTGTCCATTTCCTTGCCCTCTTTAAGCCAGATAACATCAGGAATTGGTTTTCCATAGATGTCTGCATCAAGAAGCAAGTGTTCTCCAGCATTGACAACAATTACATCCTTGTATTTGGGATCCATTGAGGCTCTTGGTGGTTCAATTTCATCAGTAGCAGTAATAGGTCCAGAGCTGTCAGATGGCTGGCTGAAGACTCCGGCTGCATTTCTTGCAATAACTCTGAATTCATATTGTTCATTTTCTGTCAGACCAGTGACGGTATACTCAGTCTCAATTACATTAGTGAAGTTGGCTCTTACCCAGCGCCCTTCAGGGGAGGAAAGATCTTTCCTTTCCACAATATATCCATTGACTTTGCTGCCACCATCATACTGTGGCTTGGTCCACTGAATCTTGATTAGGTTCTTAGAAATAGATACCGCTTCAGGAGCACCAGGAGGGTCACATGGGTCACGAGCAACAAAGGACTCAGACACTTTACTGCACCTGCCAATGCCAACAATATTTTCAGCATAAACTCTGAATTCATATCCAATACCCTCCTCAAGATTGCAGATTTTGAACTGAGTATCAGTGATGAGGGTCTTGCTCAGTTTGTTCCATAGGATGCTGTTTCTCTCTTTGCTTTCCAGATGGTAACCAATAACTGTACTTCCACCATCATTGACTGGCTCATTCCATTCAATGATCATCATTTCCTTCGTTGCATATTTTACATATGGAGTTCCTGGAGGCCCTGGTGGTTTGTATGGATACTGCACAACAATGGCCTTGGAGTCCAGAGGCACACCCTTTCCATATCTGTTTTCAGCTATGATTCTGAACTGGTATTCAGCACCAGTCTTCAGCTTGGTGACCTTGAAAGCTGTTCTAGCAAGCTGTGTGGTGACTGACTGCCATGTTGTGGTAGTGGTGTCTCTCTTCTCCACTATATAGTTCTTCACCTGGCATCCACCCTTGTACTGTGGGGGCTCCCAGGAGAGATGGACAAAGGTGTTGCTCACTTCAACAACCTTGACTGGACCTGTCGGTGGACCAGGTTTGTCAAGGATAATGACAGCCACATCTTCAGTGATTGTGCCGGCAGTATTGGTTGCTGTAATGGAATATTTGCCAAAGTCCTCCTTGCATGCCTCAGTAATTTGAATGCCAGTTGTTGTTGGAGTGTTTACCACATTGACTCTGGATGTTACCTTCAAAGGCTGACCATCCCTGGCCCAGGTGACTTTAGGTTTGGGCCTGCCGAGCACGGGGAATTCCAACTTCAGATCTTTTCCAGCTAACACACTGTAAGTGTTGAATTGCATCTTAATGCTTGGCTCCATGGTCATGTCACAAGCAACAACGGGTGAAGTAAGTGCCTTTGGCTCACTCTTTCCCTTCTCATTGTATGCAATGATACGGAATAGATATTCTTTTCCAGCTGTGAGGCCTGTGACTGTGCCCTCGCATGTCTTTGTATTTGCTGCAACACCCCACTTATCGGTACCCTTAGGCTGCATCTCAATTAGGTAGCCACCAATTCTACTGCCACCATCATGCCCAGGTTTCTCCCAGGCAAATGAGGCACTGGTTTTGGTGACATCAGTGAGGGAGACTGTTCCAACAGGCAATGGTACCTCAGAAGCCTTGGAAGCTGTCTTTGTTTCAACAGCCTGGCCAATTCCATAGTCATTCTCAGCCATGACTCTGAAGTAGTACATAGCGCCTTCAATCAAGTTCTCAACTTTGAATGTTGTCTTGGTGCATTTTGTGGTCACGTTTGCGTATGCCTTTCTGGTTGATTCACGTTTGTCAATGACATAGTTCTTGATTTTGGAACCTCCATCAATCAATGGGGCATCCCATACAAGAGTGACAGAGTCCTTTTTGACTTCTTTAACCACAAGATTCTGAGGGGAACCAGGTGTATCCAGGACCTTAACAGCAACAAACTCAGACACAGAGCCACTGCTGTTTGTCAGGCTCAGGGTGTATTTTCCAGAGTCACTCCTGTCACATGAGTCAATGGACAGCTCAGTGAAGTTGAGAGCCTTCTCAATCACTGCCTTTTCAGTCAGGTCTCCCTCATCCTTAGTCCACTTAATCTCAGGTAGTGGCCTGCCCTTGAATGGAATATGGATTTTAACAGATCCACCAGCTTTCACAGTGATGCCTTTCCTCAGCTCAGAGTCAAGGTGGATCTGTGGTGAGTCCACCCTTTCCTCTGGCTTAGCTGTTCCAGAGAGAGCTGCTGATTCACCGACTCCGAGTTTGTTTAGAGCACACACCTGGATCTTGTACTCCTGACCCTCAGTAAGTTTGGTTATTTCATATTTGTTGACACGCAGGCCAGTGGGAGGAGTAACCAGGGTCCATTCCTCCTCCTCAGCCTTGCAGACTTCAACAATGTATCCTTGAATGGCGCTACCACCATCAGACAGAGGCTTACCCCATGACACAGTAATAGAACTCTTTGTGGAGTCAATAACATTCACATATGCTGGGGCACCAGGTTTGTACTTGGGATCACAGGCCCTGTAGTATGAACTTTGAAGGCTTGGTTCTCCCACTCCAACTACATTCTCAGCAGCTACTCTGAACTCATATTCATGGTCTGTAGCAAGGCCTGTAACTCTGAAGGAGAGGTCAGTGACCTTCTGTCTGTTGCATCTGGTCCATTTGATTCCAGTTCTGTCCTTCTTTTCAATTATGTAATTGATAATCTCACTGCCACCATCAGTCTCAGGGGCTGACCAGGTGATGGTCATGCCATCATGGGCAATGTTGGAAACATCCTCAATGTGAGGTGAACCAGGAGGAACAAATGGAGTCTTCATAATCACTCCGCCAGACTCCAGTGGCTCACTGACACCATAACTGTTAACTGCCATGACACGGAACATGTACTCATTGCCTTCCAGCAATTTGGTGACTTTGTAACATGTAGTTTCACAGCTGTTGGAAACAACAGTCCAAGCTAGACGGCTGGTCTCTCTTCTCTCGATGATGTAGTGTGTAATAGGACTACCTCCATCATGTAGAGGGGCACGCCATACCAGTGTGCATCTATCTTCAGCTACTCCAGCGATGTGGAAGGGTCCTTCACATGGGCTAGGCCTGTCCAAGACTACTACCTTGAATGGAACAGTTTCACTGCCAGCCTCATTTGTCAGCTGGAGTGTGTAAATCCCACCATCAATTCTAACAGAGTCCTTAATGACAATCATTGCATGGTTTTCTGTGTTTTTGATCTCTAGTCTGAGTGTATTCTCGATTGGTTTTTCATTCTTGAACCACTTGATTGTAGGCAGTGGTTTGCCTCTGACATCAGCATCTAGCTTGAATGTCTGTCCAGCATTGATAATAATGGTCTTGGTGAATGCGGGGTCAATGGAGAATTTTGGTGCCTCCACTTTATCACTTGCAGTGATTGGCCCACTGTTGTAGGATGGCTTACTGATGGTGCCGACAGCATTTTTAGCAATGACTCTAAAGTCATACTGTGCATTTTCAGTCAGACCAGTGACAGTGAACTGGGTCTCAATCACATTAGTGAAGTTTGCTCTTACCCACCTGCCCTCTGGCAGATCACGCTTCTCCACAGTATAGCCGGTTATATTACTGCCACCATCATACTCTGGTTTAGTCCACTGAATAACAATGGTATCTTTGGTCACATGGATGGCCTCCGGTGTGCCAGGAGGATCACATGGGTCACGGGCAACGCAGCCTTCAGAGATCTTACTGCATCTGCCAATGCCAACTATATTTTCAGCATAAACCCTATATTCATACTCAACACCCTCATCTAAGGGGTGACTCTTGAAACTAGTATCGTGAATAAGTGTCTTGTTGACTTTGACCCAGAGAATACTATTCCTCTCTTTCCTTTCAAGATGATAGCCAAGAACAGGGCTGCCTCCATCTGTGACAGGCTCATGCCACTCAATAATCTGGTGGTCCCTAGAGAGAGAGGAGATAAAAGGAGTGCCTGGTGGGCCTGGCTCTCGGTATGGGTATTGAGCGACCACTGAGGATGAATCCAAACCATGACTCTTGCCATAGCGGTTCTGAGCAATGATCCTGAACTGGTACTCCGCTCCAGTTTTCAGTCTAGGCACTTTGATGGTCGTTCTGGCACAATTGATGCTGACATTTTCCCATGTTGTTGTAGTAGTATCTCTTTTCTGCACAATGTAGTTTGAAATCTGGCAGCCACCATTGTGTTTTGGTGGGTCCCATGAAAGAGTGACACTCTGTGTAGTGATTTCATCGAACCTCACAGGGCCAGATGGAGGGCCAGGCTTGTCAAGTACAATGATTTCAACGGTTGTGTCCTTCTTTCCAGCTGAGTTAGCAACATGTATACTGTACATGCCACCATCATCACCTGCTGCCTCCTTAATGCTCAGTGTTGTATGTTTTGGTGTGTTGAGAATGTTGACTCTGGTAGTGAACTTCAAAGGAGCTCCATCTTTAGTCCATGTGACTGTTGGTTTAGGGCGTCCAAAAATGGGAATGTCAATGTTAAGGTCTTTACCCACATGGACACTGTAATTGCTGAATGCTGGTCGAACATCTGGCTCAAAGACTAAGTCCTTGGCCATCACTGGAGCGGCAAGGACTTTGGGGTCACTCTTTCCTTTCTCATTGACTGCTGTAATTCTAAACAGATACTCCTCTCCTGGGTTCAGATTGGAAACCGTAGCCTCCATTGTCTTAAATGCGTTCACACTAGACCACTTATCCTGAGCCTTAAGCCGCACCTCAAGGAGATACTGCATGACTCTGCTACCACCATCATACTCAGGCTTCTCCCAGGCCAAGGAGATGCTTGTTTTGGTTTGGTCTGTAACAATCAAGTTCTTTGGAGACTGGGGCACCTCTGAGACCTTAAGAGGGTCGAGAATTGCTGCAGGCAGGCCAACACCATGCGAATTCTCAGCAAGGACTCTGAAGTAGTAACTGCAACCCTCCTGGAGTGAGTCAATCTTCCATGAAAGAGCATGACAATTGGTTACAACAGCTGCATATGTTTTGCGTGTGCTTTCTCTCTTTTCAACAATGTAGTTCTTTATCTTGGACCCACCATCCAACAGAGGTGGTTCCCATGCCAATGTCACTGACTGGTTTGTAATTTCTTTCACTTTCAGGTTAACAGGAGCACTAGGTGTGTCGAGAACACGGACAACAACAAATGCAGATTTGGTTCCACTTACGTTCTCTGCACTGACAGTGTATTTTCCACTGTCATATCTGCTCATCTTATCAATTACCAGGGATGTGTAACTACTAGTTACCTCAACCTGAGCAGTCTCTTTAAGTGAAGCTTCATCTTTGTCCCACTTGATGGTAGGAGTGGGCCTTCCTTTGATGGGAATAAACAGTCTAAGGGACGCTCCAGCTTTAATGGTCACTATCTGTCTCAGTTCTGGGTCAATGTCAAGGTCTGGCTCTTCTGCCTTGTCCTGGGCAACAACAGCTCCAGAGACATCAGCATGCTCACCAACTCCAACTTTGTTGATAGCACATACTCTAAACTTGTATGCCTGGTTTTCCTTCAGGTTTAGAACTTCAAACTTGGTCTTCTTGACACCCGTTGGTGGCGTGCACATTATCCATTCCTCAGCAGGTGCATCTGTGGCAGCAGTCTCTGTAGCTGGGGCTTCCGCAGGAACCTCAGCTGGCACTGCTGGCTCTGTGGTAGTGCACCACTCAACAATGTATCCCTGAATCTCACATCCTCCATCACAGACAGGCTTGCCCCATGACAGGAATACTGATGTTTTAGTTGTGTCAGTAACTCTTGGATTGTGTGGTGGGCCAGGCCTGAATATTGGATCAAGAGCTTTGTAGAATACAGTTGGGGAGCTTGGCTCACCAACACCAACTCCATTCTCAGCTGCAACTCTGAATTCATAGATATGGCTTTCCAGGAGTCCAGTGACCTTAAAGGTCAAGTCAGTGACTGTTTGCCTGTTGCATCTGGTCCATCTCACACCTTCTTTGTCATGTTTCTCAATTATATATCCAGTGATAGGACTGCCTCCATCTTCAGAAGGAGCCTCCCAGGTGAGCACCATTGAATCCTTTTTAATATCTGAAACTTCCAAGCTCTTGGGTGTTCCAGGGGGCAAATATGGATCTTTGATTATGACAGAAGCAGACTCCAGTGCTGCACCCACTCCAAAGTGGTTGACGGCATGGACTCTGAAGATGTACTCATTTCCTTCCAGAAGGTTAGTAACCTTTAAACATGTATTTGCCACTTTTGGGTCAACAACAGTCCAGACTAGTCTGCTTGTCTCTCTCCTTTCCACAATGTAGTGAGAGATCTTGCTGCCACCATCCTGTAGTGGTGGTTTCCATGAAAGGCAGCATCGGTCTTTGGCTATTCCTGTAACAACAATAGGTCCCTGTGGTTCTCCAGGTTTATCTAGAACGACCACATTGACCTGTACGGCCTTTTCTCCTCCTGGATTTTTCAACAGCAAAGTGTATTGGCCTCCATCAGAAAGTTTAGCTTCCTTGACAGATATGTAAGCTTTGGTGGGTGTGTTCTTAATCTCTCTATGAATAGTATTTCCCAGTTCCTGCTCTCCCTTCATCCAGTGGATGGAGGGCAATGGTTTCCCATGGACATCTCCATCAATTTTGAAGTTGTCTCCAGCATTAACCACAATAGTCTGTGTGTACTCTGGGTCAATGCTGATGCGTGGTGGTTCAATCTCATCCCTGGCAGTGATTGGACCGGTGCTGTAAGAGGGGAGACTGAAAACACCAGCAGCATTTCTGGCAATGACACGGAACTCATATTGATTGTCTTGCACAAGTCCAGTTGCAACATATTCTGTCTCAATGATATTAGTGAAGTTAGCCTTCAGCCAACGACCTTCAGGAAGCTCCTTCTTTTCCACAATGTAGCCTGTTACCTTTGCCCCACCATCATACTCAGGCTTGGTCCAAATAATGGTCACAGAGTCTTTGCTGATCTTTGTTGCCTCGGGGGTGCCAGGAGGATCACATGGATCTCTAGCAATGTGTCCCTCAGACACTTTGCTCACTTTTCCTATTCCAACAATATTTTCAGCATAAACTCTGTATTCATATTCCATTCCTGGTTCCAGAGCAGTGGTCTTGAAGGTTTGGTCAGTAATAAGAGACTTGTTAAGTCTTACCCACATGATGCTGTTTCTTTCTTTGCGTTCAAGATGGTAGCCTAAGATGGAGCTTCCACCATCAATCACAGGTTCATTCCAGGCAACCACCATGCTGTCCTTGGTGCCGGCTGCAATATATGGTGTCCCTGGGGGTCCTGGGAGCTTGTATGGGTATTGAGCCACAATGCACTCTGATAGAAGTGCTGGGCCTTTTCCATATCTGTTTTCTGCTGTTATTCTAAACTGATACTCAGAGCCAGTCTTCAACCTGCCTGCTTTGATTTTGGTCCTTGCAAGGTTAGGAGATACAACCATCCAGTTAGTTGTGGATGTGTCTCTCTTTTCCACAATATAGTGTTTGATGGTACAACCACCATCATACTCTGGTATGTTCCAGGAGATGGTTACACTGTCAGAAGTGACCTCCTCCACCTTAACTGGACCACTTGGCTGGCCAGGTTTGTCAAGAACAACGATGCCAATGTCAACTGTTGTCTCTCCTGCTGTGTTGCTAAGAGTAATACGGTACTTCCCAACATCATCTTTAGTGGCCTCTTTTATGGTGAGGCTCAGCAATGTCTCTTTTGCACCAAAGTTTACTCTGGTAGTTCTCTTCAGAGGCTGACCATCTTTTACCCAGGAGACAGCTGCTTTTGGACGTGCAACATATGGAACATCCACTGTCAGGTCTTCTCCTGCCAACACACTAAATGTGTTGAACAACATTTTGGCAACAGGTGCAATCACAAGATCTTTTACGATTACAGGCACACCAATTTGACGTGGGTCGCTTGTTCCCTTTTCATTTCTTGCTGCTACGCGGAACATGTATTCTTCACCTGCATTGAGTCCACTAATAGTAGCTTCTGTTTCCTTTACAATCATAGCCTGGGTCCACTTTTCAACACCCTTAGGCTGGATCTCAACAACATAACAGCCCACTCTGCTGCCACCGTCATGCTCTGGTTTCTCCCATGAGAGGGTGACACTGTTCTTGGTAACATCCTTAAGCGTGATTTTGCCAGGTGGCTGTGGTTTCTCAGACACTTTAACTGATTCACCAGTCTCAATGGGCAGGCCAATGCCATATTCATTCTCAGCCAAAACTCTGAAGTAATAGTTGCAGCCTTCCAGGAGGTGGTCAACTGTGAAGGTGGTGTGATGGCAATTAGCATTTACTGTAGCATATGCTTTCCTTGTGGACTCACGTTTTTCAACAATATAGTTCTTAATCTTAACGCCTCCATCATTCACTGGTGGATCCCAAGTCAGAGTGACAGCTTCATTTGTTACAGCAGTAATCTTAAGATTCTGTGGGGCACTTGGTGTATCAAGCACCCTGACCTGTACTGTAACGGTCCTCGAGCCAGAGCTGTTTTCAACTGTAAGATTATACTTTCCACTGTCAAATCTGTTGACATTTTCAATTACAAGTGATGTGTATGATGTTGTGCTTTCAATGGTTGCCCTCTCAACAGGCTCACCATCTCCTTTGGTCCATTTAGCCTGAGGAGCTGGTCTGCCTCTGATAGGTACAAACAATCTAAGTGAGCAGCAAGCTCTAAGACTGACAACTTTGCGGAGCTCAGCATCCAGATCCATCTCAGCTGGAAGGAGCCTGTCTTCTGCCTTGGGATTGCCAGGTACCGATGCTGCCTCTCCAACTCCCTCACTGTTTACAGCAGATATGTTAATCTTGTACTCCTGGTTCTCCTTCAGGTTAAGAATGGTAAATGAGGTGGCAAGGAGTCCTTCTTTGGGTGTCACAATGGTCCATTCCTCCTCTTCTTCCTTTTCAGATGGGACGCAAGTCTCAACAATGTAGCCAGTGATGTCAGAGCCACCATCATATACAGGTTTGTTCCAGGCGACAGTAATTGAGGACTTGGTAGTGTCCAAGATTCTGGGGTTGCATGGAGCCCCTGGCTTGTACAGTCCATCAGTAGCCTTGTAGAATGGACTTGAGACACTTGGGGCACTCACTCCAGCAGCATTCTCAGCAGTTATTCTGAATTCATATTCATGTCCGACAACAAGGCCCGTTGCCTTGAATTGTAGGTCTTTGACCATCCTCCTGTTGCATTTGACCCAACGGAGGCCTATTCTATCTTTCCTTTCAATATTGTAGTTGGTGATGGGAGTTCCACCATCACTCTTAGGTGCCTGCCACATAATAACCATTGAATCTTTAGTGATAGCTGTCACCTCAGGATTCTCTGGAGGATCCGGAACCATATATGGGTTGTCTGCAATAGTGGGTTCGGAATCAAGAGATTCACCAAGTCCATATTTGTTCACTGCCATAACTCTGAAGATGTATTCATTTCCTTTGAGCAGCTTAGTCACCTTGTATTGTGTAACTTGCAGGCCCCAAACCACATTGGTCCAAACCAGTCTGCTTGACTCACGCTTCTCAATCACGTATCCTTCAATCTTGGCACCGCCATCATCTGCAGGTGGAGCCCAGGTAAGTACACAGTTGGCAGCTGTGACATCAGACACCTTAAGAGGTCCAACTGGTGGTCCAGGTCTGTCAAGTACTTTAACATTAAAGATGTGCTTAGCAAATCCACCGACATTAGTGGCAGTCAAAACAAATTCTCCACCATCTAATCTGATTGAATCCTTGTTGGTCAGAGTGGTTGTCAGTTCTGTAAACCTAACCTGCAGTTTCATTGTGTTCTCAACCTCCTTTCCATTCTTGGTCCAAACCATAGATGGTGTTGGTTGACCAGCAATATCAGCGTCAAGTTTAAAGGACTCTCCTGCTTTCAGTAGAACAACATCCTTAAAGATGGCGTCAACCATAATGCGTGGTTCAATAATATCATCTTTGCAGGTGATTGGATCTGAGGGATCAGAGGGCACACTTACTGCACCTGCCGAGTTTCTGGCAATGACACGGAACTCATATGAGGCATCTTGAGTCAGCCCACTGACAGTGAATGCAGTCTCAATGATGTTAGTGAAGTTGGCTCTGATCCAGCGACCAGCAGGCAGTTCTCTCTTCTCCACTGTGTAGCCAGTGATTTTGAAGCCACCATCATATTCAGGCTTTGTCCACTGAATAGTGATGACATTTTTGTTGACATACGTTGGCACAGGCTGACCTGGTGGGTCTACAGGGTCTAAAGCCAGTGTTGCTTCTGAGGCCTTGCTGGGCTTACCAATTCCGGCCATGTTTTCAGCCATGACACGAAACTCATAGGCAATTCCATCTTCAAGACCAGTGGATTTAAAGATGTTTCCTTTCACAAGAGCCTTGCTAATCTTGTGCCATACAATGCCACTTCTTTCTTTCCTCTCAACATGGTAACCAATTACTTCATTTCCACCATCAGACACAGGCTCATTCCAGCCAATTGTTATTGAGTCCTTGGTAAATGCAACAACACCAGGAGTACCAGGAGGTCCAGGGGCTTTGAATGGATAGGCAGCCACCACTGCCTCTGAGATGATGGGTGGTCCAGCACCATATCTGTTCTTGGCTCTTACTCTGAACTGGTACTCGGATCCAGTGGTCAAACGAATGGCTTTGAACATGGTACGGATGATAGTGGAAGACAGCTCTGTCCATGTTTGGGAGGTGGTGTCTCTGATCTCAACCACATAATTGTTGATTGGAACACCTCCGTCATTCTCAGGAGTGTCCCATGCAAAGATGCAGTAAGTACGAGATATCTCCACAATCTTTACTGGTCCCTTGGGTGGCCCAGGTACATCATGTACTTTGACGATAATGTTGTCTGTCACAGAACCAACAATGTTCTTTCCTGTCATGGTGTAAACACCACTGTCGGCTCTGGTGCATTCATTAATGCTTAGGGTAACAGTAGCAGCAGAAGTTTCTACATTGGTCCTCTGTGTGAGCTTCAGGGCTGCGCCATCCTTTTGCCAAGAGACAGTTGGTCTAGGACGTCCCATTACTGGAATTTCAACCTTGATGTCATCTCCTGCCTTGGCAATAACAGTCTTCTGACATACACCACGAAGGTCAAACTCAGGCAGGGAAGTAGAATCCTTGACAACAATGGGTTTGCTCTCACGCGGAGCACTTCTACCTGAAAGGTTGACAGCCATTACATGGAAAATATACTCCTCATTCTCATTAAGATTCTTCACGGTGAAATCCATGGTCTTGACTGTTGTGACATGTGCCCACTGATCAGTTCCCTTCTTTTTGGCTTCAAGGACATATCCCGAAATTCTGCTTCCACCATCGTGCTTAGGTTTGGTCCAAGCCAGGCTCACAGAGTTCTTGGTGATATCAGTAGGAATAATACTTTCTGGAGGAGTTGGTGCCTGGGATGCACGAATTGGATCAGCAGTTTCAACTGACTCACCAATTCCATATTCATTCTCGGCTGACACTCTGAAGTAGTACTCACAGCCTTCACCCAGCTCACCGATCCTGACTGAAGTGGTTGGGCAATTTGTAATTACAGTTGCAAAAGCTTTGCGTGTTGACTCTCTCTTCTCAATGATGTAGTTAGTGATCTTGGCTCCTCCATCAATGAGAGGCATCTCCCACTGAAGAGAAATGCTTTCCTTGTCAATCTTGACTGGTTTTAGGTTAAGCGGAGGTCCTGGTGAATCCAGAACTCTCACATGTATAGCGGCACTCTTCTTTCCAGCAGAGTTTTCAAGGGTAAGTTCATATTTGCCCGCATCGGTCCTTGAACTCTCGGGGATGAGCAGCATTGTAAAAGACTCAGTGCTATCAATGACTGCACGTGGGACAGGACCACCCTCTTTGTTCCAGGTGACTGTAGGTGTAGGACGTCCCTTGATTGGCACAAAGAGGCGAATGGAGCAACCAGCCCTGACAACAAGGGTTCTTCTCAGCTCAATATCCAGCTCCAAATCAGGTTCAGCTGCACGTTCCACAATCTCAACTTGTTCCAGAGTTTGAGCAGGTTCACCTGCTCCCTTGGCATTCACAGCACTAATTCTGAAGAAGTATTTTGCACCAGTTTCCAGGTTGGGAACAACAAACTCTGTGATCCTAAGTGGAGATGAAGGGGTGTCCTTCACCCATTCTTCTGTTCCTTCCTTCTTGTGCTCAATCACATAACCGGTGACTTCAAGTCCACCATTATCAAGAGGTTTTCCCCAGTTCAGAGTGGCAGTGGTCTTAGTTGTGTCTGTGACTCTTGGATTGACTGGGGGTCCAGGCACATCTGCCAGACATAAGAGAAGTGGTTAGTGTCTTTTAAAACTAAATCAAGCATTCTGTAAAAACTGGAAATTTCATTTAAGTATCTTAACAAGACAATTTTTAATATTGGATTATGGTGGGCTATTTGTTTTAATCAGCTGGAAGACTTATTTTTACTTACAGGCAACAACTATTGTTCTGACAGGCATAGATGGCTCACTTGGCTCTCCAAAGCCAGCTCTGTTCTCAGCAAGAACACGGAACTCATACTCCACGCCCTCAGTGAGACCGGTGACTTCATAGCTGAACTCAGCAATGGATTTCTTGGACGCCCTGATCCATCTCATACCCTTTCTCTCCTTCTTCTCAACACAGTAACCTATTATGTCACTTCCTCCATCCTCAGTCGGTCTCCTCCAGGTCACAGTGGCTGAATGTGCATCAACTTTCTCAACCTCTGGTTTAGATGGCGGACCAGGGGGACCTATATACAGATAGAAGAAACACATTCATGAAACTAAGTAGTTTGTATTATTCTCCCAGGGATATTTAATCTTTATTAATGAATTACAAATGTAGGATGTAAAATGCATTGCGGAACATAATGTAATTGCACATACCAAATCTATCAACCATCTTGACCGCCTCAGAGTGAGATGGCTCACTGGCACCATACTGGTTAACAGCAGAGACTCTGAAGAAGTACTCATTGCCCGCAATCAGCTTGCTGGCAACATAGTGACAGTCAATGACCTTCTCTTCCAGGACAGTCCAGAGCAGGCGGGTGGTTTCTCTCTTTTCCAGGGTGTAATACTTGATTGGAGAGCCTCCGTCCTCGGTAGGAGCTGTCCATGCAAGAGTGACCTTTTCAGAGGAGACACCAGTGCTTTCAATGGGTCCAGGAGTACCAGGAACATCCAGAACGGTGACCTTAACAGTTTCCTCCTTTACACCGAAGGGGTTGCTGGCAGTGATGATGTACTCCCCAGAGTCCTTCCTGCCAGCATACTTGATTGACAGAGTAGAGGATGTTGCAGTGGTCTCAATATGAACGAGATCAGAAGGTTTAAAATACTTTCCTCCCTTTGACCAACATGAGGTTGGCGCTGGTTTGCCTAAAATGCTTGTGGCAGTGATCACAATAGTATCACCGGCTCGGACCGTCAGACCCTCCTTCACCTGAGCTTCGATAATAATGGTTGGTGAAGCTGTTGGACAAAATAGGAAAAACTTAATTTATCATGCATTATGCCAAGATAATCACTGAAAGTGATGCAATTGAGGCAACATCTTAGTGGTGGTTCCATATCTTACCATATTCATCTGTGCAGATAATGGTGTCTGTCTGCTCGGAGGGCGGGCTGAGAGCTCCTGCGGCATTCTTCGCCCTGATTCTGAACTCATACTTGCAGCCCTCCTGCAGATCAGTTACAGTGAATGCAGGCTCTACAACATTCACGTTGTTGGCCTTCACCCAGATCTTAGAAGGCAGGTCGCGCTTCTCAACAATGTAGCCAGTCAATCTGTGGCCACCATCAAACTGTGGCTCTGTCCACTGGAGGGTCACAGTGCTTCTGCTGATGCTGATCACATCAGGTTTACCAGGGGCATCTAATGAGGCAGATATAAAAAAATATCAATGTATTGTTGCATAATTTACAGAATTAATCATTTGTTATGCTCGTTGACACTTTTTACACTTACCAATGGGATCCAGGGCCACCTGTGGATCTGTGGGAGCACTTGGTCTGCCGATGCCAGCCAGGTTGATTGCCATGACTCGGAACTCATACTCCAAACCTTCAGTCAGCCCTGTTACCTTGTATTCCTTCATCCTCAAGGCAGTCGGGCTTGCCCTCTTCCACAACATACTGTTCCTCTCCTTGAACTCAGCATGGTAGCCTGAACAAGGTACCAAAGAGGGGAATAGACAATTTAGCTCACACACCTCATACACATCATATAGATATCAATTAAAGTGCTATAAGAAGCAAAGATATAGTATGTAAATGACATGACTGTACCTGTGATGGGAGATCCTCCAGTCTTCCTTGGGTCAGACCAAGCCAAGTAAGCAGAGTTGTGGCGCATGCTCAGGATCTGAGGTGGAGGAGGGGCATCAGGAACATCTGTAGAAAAACAGTGATATTGTACAGTGAGGAGAAACTCATTTTTGAAATTGAACAACAAATATTCAGCCCTTAAAACATACGAGTGTCAGTCACTTACTGAATGGATGTTTAGCAACGATGGGCTCAGACTTGAGTCCCTCTCCAACACCATACTTGTTCTCAGCACAGACTCTGAAGATGTACTCTGTGCCCTCATGGAGTCCGGTCACCCTCATGGTGTTAGTCTCCACAGTGGAGGACACAGTTACCCACATGTTGGTGATGGAGTCCCTCTTTTCCAGGATGTAGTTTGTGATCTCTGAGCCACCATCGTCCTTAGGAGTGAGCCACTTCAGTGTTGCCCCATCAGCAGTAACATCTTTGAACTTAATGGGTCCAACTGGGATGCCAGGTTTACCCACCACCCTGAAAGGAGACAGGGGAGATAAAAATCTTTTTTACTTACTTATTCAAATCTAGCTAGTAATGCATGGATATATGACTGCTTAGCGTGATCCATTTTTGAGGAAAATATTCTTCATGTTGTATTACATTTTCTGAAATATCATGCCCTGGTACCGTGTGATTCCTACCTGATGAAAATGGTGGACTCCTTGCTTCCAGCACAGTTTCTCAGGGTGATGGTGTACTTGGAAGCATCACTCCTCTGGCAGTCTCTGATCAGCAGGGTGGTGTTGACTGAAGAGGACTCTGCACACACTCGACCAGTGTCTGTCAGGTCCTCGTCATCTCCCTTCTTCCAGGAAACCTTGGGCGGAGGTTTGCCGATGATCGGGATCTTCAGACGGACAGTGCTGCCCTCCTTGGCAATGTAGCACATGTTGGGCAGCTCCCTCAAGTCACAGTTGGGATGAACTGCAGAGGAGAAGGAATGAGCATTTTCTCAAATACCTTTTTTCTATTTTTCAGGAAGTTTTATAAATATTGAAATGGTCACTCACTTATCTGGTCCTTGGCGACCACTGTCAGCTCCTTGGCAGCGCTCTCTCCTGAGTCATTCACAGCCTTGACTCTGTAGGTGTACTCTCTGTTCTCCACTAGGTCTTTGGCACTATACTGCATGTTTTTGGACCTCATCAGCTCCTTGTACTTATCGTCACCATTGAGAACCTCTAGCACATAGCAGATGATGCGGCTGCCACCATCGGTGAGTGGTTTCTTCCAGCTTAGAGTGCAAGAGTCCTTGTTAACCAGCAGGGTCTTGAAGTCCATGACAGGCCCAGGCTCCTCTGACAAAGTAAAATGAGTGAAATTAGTATATTTGCAAGACCATAAAACAAAAGAAGGTCAAACTGAAATATCTGTTATCAGCAAACCCACCACATGCTCTGACTGAGTCGGCTGTCTCGCAACACTCTCCAACACCGAGCTGGTTAACTGCTGACACTCTGAAGCAGTAGGACCGTCCGGCATCCAGGTCTGGCACCTTGAATGATGTCTTGGTGCAGTTGTTGGAGACGATGGACCAGGCTTTCCTCTCAGTGTCACGCTTCTCCACAATGTAGTGAGTGACTTCATAGCCACCGTTGATCAGAGGAGCATCCCAGTAGATGTAGGAGCTGTCCTTGCACGTCTCCTTCACCATTAGGTTAACTGGTGGTCCGGGAGTATCTGGAGAGATACAAAAACACTTTGTAACAGTCTGTTAAATGTGGTCTTAAACCCAAAACAGATGTTTTAGTTGAGAACATATTCACGTTTCTGATGATTCCAACCGTATGTGGCTAACCTCAGTCAGTAAGTCTCTACAAAGTAGAATTTATGCAAACAAAATTGTAGATAAATATTTTTGCTTACTTAATGATAGTGTTTCACTCACCAAGAACCTTGACAACGATGGTGTACATCTTCATGCCAGCCGAGCTCTCCAGATTCAGAATGTATTTGCCAGCATCATATCTGTTGACATTCTCCACCATCACCATGGTGTCCGTGTTGGTGGATTTGATGACAATGCCCTGGCGGTCCTTGATGTTGGTGTTCATCTTTGCCCAGGTGACCCTGGGAGTGGGACGGCCCTTGATGGTGGCCGCGAGCCTCATGATGGTTCCGGCATTCAGCTCCAGGCCCTCCTTCAACTCTGCGCTCAGCTCTGCCTCGGGAGCAACTGCATGAACACACACACAGGATAGTTTTCTGAGTGACAGTGTGAGTGTTATTGTTGTATTGGTACAGATGCAAAGGCCTATTGGTGGTCATAAAATGGGGCAAATTTGAGTAAAATACTGCTCATTTTGCTGTCTTTTATAATAAAAAACATTACTGAAAAGCATATATGGTAAGAAAATTATCTAATCAGCCAGGGTTGTCGAGTTAAAGGGAAATTCACTATGGCCCCTTTATAAAAAATAAGGCCTAAGTGAACCAGGCTAACATGACATTAACCACCTTAAATTATTCTGTTAATTTTTATAAGTTGCACTTTTCCATGTTTGGGCCAGTTTTAAATAACTAAAAAATCCAGGTTGGATCTTGTATACCTTCTTGGTCGATGATACTCCATTCTTCTTCACATACTTAAAATAAATGCAGTTTAGAAATTTAAATCAGACGTACCAATGATGTCCTTGGCAACATGCTTGCCGGGTACTTCAACTGGCTCGCCGAAGCCGACCTTGTTGACGGCAGTGATGCGGCACTGGTACTCTGCCTTGTCTATGAGGTTCTGGATGGTGTAGTTGGTCTCCTGCAGGTTCCTGGGGACGTTGCAGCGTATCCAGTCAGTGGTGTCGGTCCGCTTGCACTCTACCAAGTATCCAATGATGGGGCTTCCTCCATTGTTGGCGGGGACGGTCCAGGAGAGGCTGATGGTGCTGTGGGTGGTGTCCATCACAGTAGGATTCACAACAGGGCCAGGAGGAGCTGGGGACAAGCACATTGACCGAGGTCAGTTCACATACAGAGCATACAGAACTCAGTACAACAGTACATGCATTATTTCATGCAAAGTTTTCAGAGATTATAGGACTCACTGATGGGATTCTGTGCGGTGGTGCCAGCGGAGGGCTCGCTGGGTTTGCCAAGCCCTGCCACGTTGACAGCAATGACCCTGAATTCGTATTCAACTCCCTCTGTGAGACCTGTAATGTCCAGGGTCCTCTCTGTCAAGGGCTTTCTGTTCAGCTTGGTCCAGTTCATCTCCTTGGTCTCTTTCTTTTCCAGCATGTAACCCAGAACGGTTGACTTTCCATCATCAGCAGGCTCCTTCCAGCTCACAGTCATACAATCCTTGGTCACATTGGTGATCACTGGAGCCTCGCAAGGTCCAGGGACAGCTGGAAGTAACACCAAAGGTTGGGTTTAGGTTTTAGTTTAGATATTAAAAATATATTTTAAGTTTAAACTAAGCAACCAAATCTGGTCAATAACTTCTTCCCCAGTTTTAGACCCTCCTCCAGGTTAAACTGCAGCACTGATTGCTAATGTTCTTTACAGTCATCGGCTTTGTTACAGTGATGTATGAACCCAGAGGAAATGCTGGTGATGACTTACTGAATGGGTTTTTGGCAATGACAGGGTTGGTGACAAGGGGGTCTCCAACCCCCCACATGTTCTCTGCGCGAATTCGGAACTGGTATTCGTGACCCTCGATCAGCTTCTCCACATTAAGCTCAAGGATATCCCCTTTGATCTTGGAGGAAACCAGGGCCCAGTTGGCTCTGCTGGTCTCACGCTTGTCTACAATGTAGTTGCTGATGGAGCCGCCACCGTCCTTCAGAGGAGGCTCCCAGGACATCTTGACACTGGTGGCAAACACCTCGATGTATTTAGCACTAGCAGGGGGGCCAGGCGCATCTGTGGAGACACAAAATAATCAGGCTATTGAGTACAGCATGTTGATTGGTGAAGCTGTGGCACATAATGCAGAATTTAATGTGATACAAGTCATAGACTGTGAAAAACCTCCCACTTGTATCTTTGCACTGTGTCTGACATCCATAAAGAAAAGAAAAAAGTATTCACCTAGGACGTTGACCTGTATTTCGGCAGTCTTGGAGCCGCTGGCGTTCTCGGCCAGGATGGTGTAGGTTCCTGTGTGTTCCTTCGTAACAGCCATCATCTCCAGCTGGAAGTGATGCCTCTGTTGGGTGATGACTTGGCCTTCACCTGACTTCAGACTATCATCGCCTCTCTTCCAAGTCACTCTAGGCATAGGCTTACCAAACACCTCAGCCTCCAGGAGGATTGTGGTTCCAGCCTTCACTTTAAAACCCTTCTGCATCCTGGCGTTAAGCTCCACCCTTGGAGGAACTGTATTTGTAAAGATAAGATAAAATGAATTAAACTCATGTCTGCGAGACTCCCATTTAAAAACAAAAAGTTTTAACAGACACTATGTCCAGACATGTGATTGTAGTGACTGGTTTATCAGCCTGAGTAGAAGATTGTTAAATCAAAATCTCTCACCATTCTCAGCACAGACCAGGACAGGATCTGTAGGCTCAGATGGTTTGCTCATGTTGACAGCAGTTTTGGCAATGACTCTGAACTGGTACTGCAGGTCTCTCTCCAGGCCCGTCACTGTATACTCCTCCCGTGGGACATTCTGGCTGCTGGTGTTGCAGCGTATCCAGGTGTCTCCCGGCACCCGCATGGCCTCAACATAGTAGCCAATGATCTTGCTGCCACCGTCGTTCTTAGGACGGGTCCAAACCAGAGTGACAGAGTTCCTGGTTATGTCCAGGACCTCAGGTTTACCAGGAGTGTCTTTGACACAAAGAGACAAATGAGCAAAGGTAAGAAAACTAAATTAAATGAATAAAATAAAGCTTATGGCTTTTGTAGTGTTGGTCGGTGGCAAACCTACCAACGGGTGTTCTCGCAGTGACAAAGTCAGTCTTCTTGCTTGGTTTGCCCTGGCCAGCACGGTTAATTGCAGACACTCTGAAAGTGTATTCCAGGCCCTCGATGAGGCCGGCACACGGGTACTCAGTGGTGCGGACGACGGTGTCGTTGGCCTTCACCCATAGCAGACTGTTCCTCTCCTTACGCTCAATGTAGTAACCTGTGATGGGACTGCCACCGTCGCTCTCAGGTTTATCCCAGGCCACAAACATACAGTCCTTGTTGGTCTTGTTGATGCAGAGGTTGAGGGGCTCGCTAGGAACATCTGCAAACAAAAAACAATTATCATTGTTTGTAATGACAAAACCAGCCAACGTTAGAGGGAAGCTTACATCTAGAACTACTTCACAGGGGACATATTTCAGTTAAACTTACCAAAGGGGAACTTGGCAACCATCCTGTCAGACTGAATGGGGTCTGACACACCATAGCGGTTCTCAGCACGGATTCGGAAAACATACTCCTTCCCAGGGATAAGCTTCCCAAGCCTGCAACTGGTCTTCAGGCCAGAAGAGGCAGCCGTCACCCAGTCGCCTCTACTCACATCGCATTTTTCCACCACATAGTTAGTGATATTGCTGCCTCCGTCCTCTAGTGGTTTGTTCCAGGACAGGGAGCAGGCGTCAGCGTCAATGTCGCTGATCTCCACGGGGCCCTCGGGAGGACCGGGGATGTCTGAAATACACAGAATCGTCAGATTTAAATATGAAAAATCACCATCAAATGATGTAATTTTGTCTGACCGAAAATATTCTTCAAGATTATTTTCTTTTCTTCATTTTATCTTATCGTGGGTAACACTGACCTCTGATGATAATCTTCAGGGCCTGGACCACCTTTGCCGAGCTGTTCTCAGCTACCAGGCTGTACTCTCCGCTGTCAGTCCTTGACACATCTTTGATGATCAGGACACACAGGTTGCCGGACTGGTGCACGGCCAGACGGCTGGATGAGACTACTGCATCTTTACCACGCAACCATTTGCAAGTTGGGGAAGGTTTTCCAGAAACCACCGCCTCCACTCTGAGCTTAGCTCCGGCTCTGGCACTCACTGTCTCTGGCATGACAATCTTTGGCTCCACTGCGGGAGAGGACATCAGAAATGACTCATTGGAAAGATGGTTACACTACTGCGTGTTACTCTTAAAACATGGTATAACGGCTAAAACTAATTATATATGTTAAAATGTATTAATTTCAATGATCCGCCTTATTTACAACAGTATCGTGTACCCTTTACTTCAAACGATCAAGTTAGGCATTCTGCTCAGCTCTATTTCTTGGTCCTTCATGATAAGAAAACTATTTGTAAAAGAGCTATTATCTTCCCCAGCAGATTGAAATATTTATTAATTGACATAACAACTTACACATTTGTTCCTTGATCTCGACCGGCTGCCGGGTCTCAGTAAATGAGCTCATGCCCATCATGTTCTTGGCAGCCACTCTGAACTTGTACCTCTTGCCCTCCTTCAGGCCGCTGATGCTGATGCTCAAACCTTTCACTGTAGTGTAGGCGTTCCACACTTCCTTTTCAGGTTCTGCCTCCTCTTCTTCCTCAACCACTGGAGGTGGTGGAGGTGGTGGAGGAGCTTCCTCTCCCTCTGGAACCTGTTGGGGGTTGTAGATTCATAATTTTCAAGTTTACTCAATAATTAAGAATGTTTGAACTTCAATCACAAAATTCTTCAAGAACATATATTTTTGTAAAATGGCATTTTTTTTTGGTACACATCTTAATTTATTTACTGCATTCCTATAGTATAATAGTAGAGTTACGAAATCAACAATTGACTGAATCAGTCACAACAATCAGTTTGATCACAGGACAGACCTCCACAGGTGCTGGAGGCTCTGGAGGAGGTTTGACCTCGATGTATTCAATTACATAACCATCGATCTTGGCTCCACCGTCCCTTGCAGGCTTCGTCCAGCCGACTGTGGCACTGTTCTTAGTGATCTCCAGAACCTCAATCTTCTCACAAGGGTCGGGCTTGCCTAAAAAAGGAAATCAGATGGGTGTGTTAAAGTGTCTGTAATGAATGATGATTAAATGATGAAAAAGAAAAGAGTGAACTGAAAACAGTGAGCGGCTTTAAGCAGTGAGTGAGCTTTTAGTTGTGGAGTCAAAGTCTGATCTTGTGTAAGAGACAATACGTACTGACAGGATCAGAGGCCAGGTAGGAAGTGGGTGACACTCTGGGAACACCAGAACCATACTCGTTGACAGCTGTGACTCTAAAGTAGTACTCGGTGCCTGGCATCAGACCGCTGACTTTTAAGGGAACCTTGTCCTTCTCAACTTCGGCCTTGACAGTCGCCCAAGTCTTGCGGTCAATCTCACGCTTCTCAACAATGTAGTGAGTGACCTCGCTGCCACCATCAATCTCAGGAGGACTCCAGGACAGCATGGCTGATGTCTGTTTGATGTCGGTAGCCTCCAGATTCATCACAGGTCCTGGAGTGTCTGTCAGATAAATGATTGACATTTGAATTAGGACTTTTGATTCAGCTTAAAGATCTAATTTTGATGGAAGTAAGCATTTTTTGTTGACTGCTACTAACTTCAACTTGTGTTTATTAATTAAAAGAAAACCAGGACTTACCCAGAACCTTAACATTGACAAACACAGCCTTCTCTCCAGCAGCACTCTGTACAGTCAGGCAGTATTTGCCAGAGTCATTGCGGGTGCTGTCGGGGATGACCAGGAAGGTCATGGTGTCAATGATGTCAACTTTTCCCTTCCTGACCACGTTGTCAATACCCATCCTCCTCCAAGTGACCTTAGGAGGTGGTCTACCTCTGATGGTGGCACATAGTCTGATGGGACAGCCGGCTCTCACTGTCAGTCCCTGCTTCAGGTCAGCATCTATGTCAATCTCGGGTGCCTCTGTTGGAAGGAACAGTGCCAGTGCAAGTGTCAGCTTGATATTGCAAGTACAGATCACATATTCATTTTATCCCTAGTTCCTCCCCCAAGTTGTCATTAAATCATCTAGTTTCCATAAACGAAACAAAAAAATCAATGATGTCCTCACCTAGAATCTCCCTGGGGATGACACCACCCTCCAGGTTGCAGGGCAGGCTCATGCCCACCTGGTTCTGAGCAGACACTCTGAATTCATACACAAGCGTCTCATCCAGACTTGTGACTGTGAACTCGCACACAATCAGCTGAGCCGCCACGTTGCACCTCTTCCAACCATCGTCTCCTTTTTTGGCACTTCCCTGTGCCCTCATCTCCACAACGTAGCCAATGAGGGGAGCTCCACCATCTGATACAGGCTTGGTCCAGCCCAGGGTTACAGTAGACTTGGTGCTGTCCAGGACCTTCAAGTTGGTAGGAGGTGCAGGAGGCTCTGTAAGAAGACATAGGGGTGCGTGAAGATGAAGCCATATATTTTGTCTATAGTTATCTTACATTAGCAACATTTGTCAACAAATAGATATTAAACACAATGAAAACATTATTATTAGTTACATACCAACTGCATCCTTGGCAGTGATGGCACGTGAAGGCTTGCTTGGGTTACTGATGCCAATTTCATTGACAGCCTTTACTCTGTACTGATAGTCATGCAGGGGCAGGAGTCCAGTTACTGTCAAACGAGTTCCAGGGATTGGATCCTTGTTGACAGGAGACCACCTAACGGCATGCTCTTCTCTCTTCTCCAAAAGATAGCCTGTGATTGGCGTTCCGCCATTTTTCTCGGGCTCTGACCACTCCACAGACATCTCTTCCTTAGCAATCTTGGTGACCTCTGGTGCCTCAGGAGTGCCAGGTACACTGAACTGGGTGCCGGCAACAATGGCTTCACTCTGCACTGCAGGGCCAGGACCCATCTTATTCTCAGCACGAACTCTGAAGATATACTCATTACCCTCAATAAGACGGGTGACATTAGCTTTATTGGTGATGACAGCGTTGGAGTGGACCGACCAGACTCCCCTCTTGGTTTCACATTTCTCAATAATGTAGTTGTAGATTTCGCAGCCGCCATCATCCTCTGGGACTTCCCAGGCCAGATGGCACCTGTCGATGGTGATACCAGACACCTTGAGATCCCTAATAGGGCCAGGTCTATCCAGTACATTGACCTTAGCATGAGCAGAGCAGGTTCCTGCATTGTTGGAGGCAGTAACAACGTATTTGCCACTGTCAGTGCGCCTAGCGCCGGTAAGCAGCAGCTTCGAGAAGCCTGCACCAGTTTCGATCTGAAGCCTGGGGCCCTTCTTTATCTCCTCTGTACCCTCATCTTTGGTCCATTTGACATCAGGCTGAGGTTTGCCTGTCACTGTTGCTTCAATAGGAATGGAGTCTCCTGCCTTGACCACGAGCGTTCCATCCAGTTTAATCTTGATTTCGGGCTCCACAAGCTGTTCCTTAACCAGGACTTCAGCTGTAGTCACCCAGTTGCTCTCGCCTCCCTCATTCTTCGTCTGAACTCTGAACTGGTAGATCTGGTTTTCGATGCACCTGTCAGCCATGAAGTAAGTCTCCTTGATGGCACCTTTGTGAAGCCTCTCCCACTCCTCAGCCTCCTTTGGCTTCTTCTCAACATGATAACCAAGGTTACGGCTACCGCCATCGTAGTCTGGCTTCTTCCACTTGAGGAAGCAGAAGGTCTTGCCGATCTCAGAAATGTGGAAGTCAGTGGGTTCACCAGGCTTCTCAATGGGATCAACTGCAAGCACAGGTGTCTTGGTCTCAGTGGAAGGACCAGCACCGATTTTGTTCTCTGCGCTGACACGGAAGAAGTACTCGCAGCCCTCAGTAAGAGGGGCCTTAATAAGGCGCTTGGTGCAGTCATTGGAGACCACCGTCCATCCTCTCTGGCTGGGCTGACGGCACTCAATAATGTACTGAGTGATCTCAGTGCCTCCATTGTCCTCAGGGTTCTCCCAGGATACCATGCAGGAGTTCTTGGTTACGTAGGCCACTTTGAGGTTCTGGCAAGGTCCTGGTGTGTCCAGGACATTAACAATAATGGTGGCCTGTGCCTGTCCACTACTGTTCTTAGCGACAATGGCGTATTTACCGTAGTCTGCCCTGACTGCATCACTGATGACAAGTTCACACAGAGGGTAGTTGTTGTTTATATCAGTGCGCTTGTCCCGGGACAATGTTCTGGCATCCTTGGTCCATGTGATGTCTGGGTCTGGTCTGCCCTTTACCCTGGTGATCAAACTTATGATCTGGCCAGCCCTGACTGTCAGAGAGTCACGGCAGGACATGTCGACAACAACCTCTGGGGGCACCAGTATGTCCTTTGCCAAGACTGTTTCAGCGAGCTCTCTGGGTTCACTGTCTCCAACCTTGTTGGTGGCTCTGATGCGGAATCTATACTCCATTCCTTCAATGAGGCCTGGCACTCTATAGGCACAAATCTTGATGAGGTCCTTGTTGATTCTGTCCCACTGGGCAGTTCCTGACTTCTGAGCCTCAACCACATAGCCTAGGATAGGACTGCCACCATCTCTTGTAGGCTTGATCCAGCAGATGTCAGCATAAGACTTGCTCCAGTCCTTCAGCTTAGGATTGCTAGGGGGTCCGGGTTTGGTGATGGCGCGAGTGGCCTTGATGGGATCAGAGGTGGCAGATGGCTCACTGATACCAGCAATGTTCTCAGCAAACACTCTGAACTCATAGCTGTTGCCTTCAAACAGGCCTGAGACTCTGTATCTGAGGTCCAGCACAGGGGTTTTGTTAACACGGATCCACTTTCCTGTCATTTCTCTGCGTTCAATCACATAGCCACTGATGGGGCTGCCTCCATCATAGTCAGGCAGGGTCCATTCCACTGTCACAGCATTCTCTGTGATATCAGAGCACTCTGGCGGGCCTGGTGGACCAGGAGGGTTGAACATGTGCTTGGCAATAGTGGGAGGACTCTCAAGCCCCGCACCGATGCCAATTTTGTTCTCTGCACGGACACGGACAATGTACTCACGGCCCTTCTCCAGTCTAGACACCTTGGCCCTGGTGCTGGTGCCACTGGAGCTAACAACAGACCAGGGCTCCCACGGCTTCTTTACATCCTTCTTTTCCACCACGTAGTTGGTGATGGGCGTCCCACCATCATCCTTTGGTGCCCTCCATTGGATCATCATGTAATCAGGGGTGACCTCCAAGATGTTGATGGGTCCGATAGGTGGACCTGGAAGATCCAGCACAGTGACATGCAGGGCAACGGTCTTGCTGCCTGCAGGATTGGCCACAGTGAGGGTGTACTCTCCGGTGTCTCCTCTCTGGCTCTCTGAGATACTGAGAATGGTCGAGGATTCCGCAGACTCAATGCGATGGCGTGCCTCAGATGTGATCTCCTTGCCATCGGTCATCCATTTAGCAGTGGGAGTGGGGATGCCTGTCATCTTGGCTGGGAGGACAATGGCACTGCCAGCTTTGACAACAAGACCTTCAATAAGCTTCACATCCACTTCAATAGTTGGTGGCACTGAAAGAGAACAAAACATCAACTTTATTAGACTGTTTTCAGGCCTGTATGGAGTACAGAAGCAGCATCCTCATAAGGAAACAACTCTATAAGAATCCAGTTTCTTACATGTCTTCTCCTGGCAGGTGACGGGGACGCTGGTGTCAGGACGACTTACACCAATGGCGTTCTGAGACTTGACCCTGAAGCGGTAAGTCTTGCCCTCCTCCAGACTGGTGACGTGGGTGTGGTTGTTGCTGACGGTCTTGAAGGTGACCCAGTCGGTCTGGCCCTCTTCCTGGTGCTCCACAATGAAGCCGGTGATTTCACTTCCGCCAGTGCGGTCAGGCCACTCCCATGCCAACCACACCTCTGTCTTGTCTGCATCAGTGTGGTGCAGGTTTTTGGGAGGGCCAGGAGGATCTGAAAAATGTCCAGGAAAGAAAAAATTTCTGATTTATGTAGACTTGCTGAACATTTAGATGGCATAGAACTATTCTGAAACTGTTGATTGCTGGCATTCATAATTTACTGCTCCTAAAATTTTGCTGATAGAATGTTTTGTTTGCTATTTTGTTATAAGAAGTTTGTTTCATGACAACATAAAAAAACAAAGCACTCTTGTCTTGCTCTGTGGATAGTCAATGTGAGTTTTGTAAGGATTTGGATGCTTCACAATTTAGATTTTATTATCTTTTAGGGGAAATTTGTTTCCATACAGTGTACTAGGTGTGCTTCCAGAACACAGATACATATACTTACAACATATATACATTATAGCACACATACTGTGTTAATGTAATTAGCGAGCTATGGAATGCCATGGTAGAGATTACAAAAGTTAGGCTAAACTGTGATCAGTGAAATCAGTCAGTCAGTATAATTTTACTGTGATCAGTAAAATTACACAACATAACAATTGATTTATACTCACAGAGAGGATCGATAGCCTTGATGGGTGTCTTAGTCACCACATAGGCGCTTCTGCCAAACTGGTTCTCAGCAGCAACCCTGAACAGGTACTGGATTCCTTCCATTAGGTACATGGCCATCAGACTCAGCTTCTTATTGGATGCAGACACGGGCACCCACTGCTCGGCGGCCACATCCTTCTTTTCCACAACGTAGTGGGAGATGACAGCGCCGCCATTGTCCTCAGGAGCTTTCCAAGTCAGGTAGGCAGACTCGCTGGTCACCTCAGAGACCACAAGGTCTCTGGGAGGAGAAGGCTTGTCTGGTGGGAACAAAATTGGGTAAATTTCACAAATATACTAAACTCAAATGTAGTTTTTTCATGGCAAGACAAAGACCAAACTCCCTGTATATTATTTTAAACAGGAAAGAAATGAATTTTTACAAATTGTTTTTTTTGTTCAAGACTAACCAAATGCCTTAACTGTGTGTGTGGGCGTTTCACTTACTCAGCACAAGCACAGCAACTGTTGCTGATTTCTTTCCAGCAGCATTCTCCGCAGTGATAGTGTAGTTACCGGAGTCTGCACGGACACACTTAGGGATGAAGACTTTGCTGCCAGTGGCGGTGACTGCAACAGTGATGTGAGAAGGAATGTCGCCGTCGTTCTTCTTCCAGCTGACAGTGGGCGTCGGTACACCCTTAATGACGGCACTCAGGGAGATGTCAGTGCCCAGCATGGCCAGGTGGTCACGTGCCATGTTGGCGTCGAGTAGCAACTCTGGCTCCTCTGTGGAGGAAAATGGGAAAATGTTTATTTAGTATATATAGAAAGTGCATACACTGGTCAACACACGTTTTGTTAATAAATAAGTAAACACATTAAAACTATATTAGCCCTATACCATCTGTTATAATAGATACTGTGTAAACTCTGCAGTCAGTTAATTTCCAATAACACTGAACATAAACAGATTTGTTAGCAAACAGACTGCTAGACAGCTAGTCTTTCCAGACACCACTCTCTGTTCTAAAATGGAATTATACCATCATGCCTTTCAAATTTAGCACAAACAGAAGTTAGTGTTTTCAGTTTGTTTCTGGAAAACATTTTTGAAGCCTTAAACTAAAGTACTTACAGTAGCTAGACTGTGTGCATTCCCATCCAATCAATAAAAAATAAATATTTTAAATAGTTTGGGATTTTCTTCCTACAATCAAATTATGATAAACATAAATAATTAGTGCTGAAAAATCTTTTAGACTGTGAATGAACCCCTCACCCATTCTGTCGTGGACTTTGATGTTCTCTTTGACGTAGGCAGGGTCAGATTTGCCAGCAGCGTTGACTGTGAAGATCCTGAAGGTGTACTCCAGTCCATCGGTCAAGCCCGTCACCACGTAGTGGAGGTTGGGGCACTGCTCCGGGGTCTCGTTGGCTTGATTCCACTCCACGGCACCAACCTTCTTGTACTCGACAAGGTACCCGAAGATCCGGCCTTTTCCGTCGTGTCGGGGCAACTTCCACTTCAGGCTTACGGAATCCTTGGTCTTATCGTAGGCCTCGGGGGTCACTGGAGGGCTGGGAAGCACTGTGAGGACAAAATATCAAAGAGGACTGTAAACTTTATGGGCAAAACGTTTTTTTTAAGGTAGCAACCTGTTATAGTTTATAGTAGTAAGTATTATATTTCCATAATGTGTGTATGGTGACAGTGTTGGAGTAAGATTGAATATGTAAATGAGTTTAAATAAGTAAGTGTTTGAATATATAAATTTCTGAATTATATTTTGTATGTGCTGCATTTGTAAATAATGAGAAACACACTTGAACTTAAAAAACTTATTAAAACCAAATCTAATGAGCTATGCTAATATTGTTATTTAGTTCAGTTTATTGTCAGACTCAGGGTCCACTGAATGTAGTCATCACATAATAAAAGGTGTAATTCATAACGTTGTTATGCAGGTTGAAAACAGTGGTTATGCAAATACATAAAAGCTAATTTGAACATAATAAATATAATATTAATTTAAATAAATCTAAATATAGTATAAAGTCATAAGCAGTCTTATGTATTAAGATATATATTTTCCATTAGTCACACTGACCGATGGGATCTTTGGCGAGGATGGGTTTGGAGGGGACGCTGGGGTCTCCAGTTCCCAGCTCATTCTCTGCCATCACCCTGAACTCGTACTCGCAGCCCTCAACCAGGTCCTGGACTCGGTACTGAGTGGCCGGGTACAGCGGCTCTCTGGTGGCTCTGGACCACCTCTTGGCTGTGGGTTCCTTCTTTTCCAGGATGTAGTTGGTGATGGGCTTCCCGCCATCACGAGGCCGATTCCACAGCACCAGAACATTGGTGCCATACACCTCTCTTACCGTAGGCATTTCTGGGGCCTCAGGGACTCCTGAAGGGGGGCCGCAGAAGAAAAACTGGGTCAACAGGGCTCTTTTTAGGATATAGTATTTCTGCTGCATTATAACTTTTGACCAGTTTCTGCACGATCAAAATCATCTGTACTGTATCGCCACAATTTTACAATAACAAATTCAAATATGGTAAAAAATATACTTCAAAATGGGACCCAATATATAAGGTACTGTGTAACAATTCTCAAACATTTTCTTACTGCTTTAAATAGTGTCCATGGAGGATAAAACAGAAATGAGTGAATGATTGGGGCTTCATTTTGATTTAGGAGGAGAACTGAAAATGAGTGTCCACAGTGTGCAACAGAACGTACTGAAGAGATCTTTGGCTCTCATCTCCTCCGACTCCAGAGGGTCACTGATGCCGTACATGTTCTCAGCAGAGACCCTCATGATGTATTCCCTGCCCTCAGTTAGTTTGGGGATCTGAGAGAAAAAAACAACATGTAAACATTTTGAACCTCTCTCGACTGTGGAAAACAGGTCTTTTTGGGTCAGGTAACCATTTTGGCGTCTTTAAATCTTTAAAACTGCCTGGATTTCGGTCGAAAAACCATTTGGACCCACCTTGCATGTGGTCTTGGTGGAGGCGGACGTCACTGTGTTCCAGATGTCTCTGTTGGTGTCTCTCTTCTCAATGATATAGTTGGACACATCGACGCCGCCGCTGTCCAGTGGAGGTTTCCAGGAGATGACCATGTACTCCCTGTGCACCTCCTCAAACACCACTGGGCCAACAGGAGGAGTCGGACGGTCTGCACGAAAGAAACAATGACAGTTTGTGAGTCTGTAAATATGGAATGTTGTTGTGATCAACCAATTTCTAAATGATGGAACAATTACTCGTGGTGTCCCACTGGGGTCTTTTCTTAGATGAGCAGCACTGTGCTTTTAAAATTCAAAAGAAAGTCACAGAAAGTTTAAAGAGTTGAATTGAAAAGCTATATATTTATATGACAGGTATTACTTGTGGTGTCCCACAGGGGTCTACTCTTGGAGCCCTTCTCTTTAGTGATTTTGTTGTTGCATATTCGTCTTTATTTCTATTACTTTCTGCAGATGATACCAGCCTATACCCCAATTTTCTCCATGAGTGCCACCTACATACCGACAACTGTGATGTTGCAGACTCCCTTCCTGGATCCGGTGCTGTTCTCCACCACCACCACGTATCTGCCGCTGTGCTCGCGCTGTGCCTTCATCAGGCCGAGCGACATGGTGGTCAATGTGTTCTTGAACATGACATGCTTGTCGGCCTTCAGCTCTTCGTCATCTCGGTACCACACGATGGATGGAGAAGGTTTGCCAGTGTAGCGTCCCTGCAGCAGGCAGCTTTCGCCCACACGAATGATGATCTTATCACGGAAGTCCAGCTCAATGGTCGGTGGCTCTGTTAGAACAGAAGAAGAAGACAAAGTCAAAAGAAGTGATACACTGGGGATTCTGAGAAATCTATACTTGCGGAGTCAGGCCTGATATGGTGCTTGTGGTGTCCAACAAGGGTCTATGCTAGGTCCCCTTTATTCCTCATCTAAATCAGAACCCAGTTGCTGCTAATCAATCTAAAAACTGTTAAACACATCAAAACAGCTATTTCTAATCAGTCCTCACCCAGTTCGTCCTTGCAGGTGATTGGTTTCGTGCAGAATGATGGCTTGCTGGGTCCAACCTCGTTGACTGCGATGACCCTGAACTGGTAGGTGTCGCCCTCCCTCAGGCCATCGTAGGTGTACTTCCTCTCCATCAGTTTCTCCTTCGTCACTCTGGTGAACTTGTCTTTGCCAATCATTCGCACCTCCAGGATGTACATGGTGATCTCTGAACCGCCGTCAAACTTGGGTGCCTTCCAGGTGACGCTGACCAAATCCTTGGTGACCTTGGTGACCTCGAGCTCCTCGGGGCGGTCAGGCACACCTAAAGGGAGCACAAACACGCAGATGATTCTTTATATCTGAAGATGGGAACTCATTTAGTCATTAGTGTTTACATCTGGCCTCCTCATCCTCCTATCTTTACAGTAGTAATATGTCAACTTTCAGACGTTAAGAGACCAGTGGCCACCATGTTTGTGTAACTAAACTCACTGATTGGTTCCTTGATGATGATCTCGGCTGCAGTCTCCACGAAGGGTCCAATGCCTATGGCGTTCTCGGCGGCCACTCTGAAGAAGTAGGACTTTCCAGTGGTGAGGCCTTGAGCCACGGCGTTCTGTCTACTAGCAGTGAAGGACAACGAGGTCCAGGCCTTACGGTCAGCCTCGCGTTTCTCAATGACGTAGTTACTAATGGGAGAGCCTCCGTCGTTCTCAGGGAAGAACCAGTTGAGCTTGCAGGAGTCGTTGCTCAGGTTTTCAGTGGTCAAGGGGATTCCGACGGGCCCGGGGACGTCTGAGGGAGAACACAGTCTGGTTTTAATTAAAAACATTTAAATACTGAAGAGTCTTAAGATGTTGTCTTATTTGACACGAAAATGAAAAGTATTTTACCCAGAACTTCCACTGTGATGTTCTTAGTTTTCTCGCCACCAGCGTTCTTGGCGGTTAGAGTGTAGATACCGAGGTGCCTTCTGGTGCAGGGTTTGATGACCAGAGACGAACTGATGGCAGTCGTTTCTATTTTAGCCTCAGGAGGCAGTGCAGCTCCATCTCTGCTCCAGGTGACCTCCGGAGATGGCTGGCCAGACACATAGGCGATGATACGGATCACACCGCCGGCATGGACCACCATCCTCTCCTTCACTGAGGCATCTAGATCGACCTCAGGAGCAACTGGATGGAGAAACTCACAGTTAGAGTCTGCTTGGTCCAAACTGCATAAATATGTGCTTGTTGAAAGAACGATGGTTCGTTTTCCTTTTAGACTTTTAGATCGACTCACTGATTCTGTCGTTGACCTCGAGCACCTCTGGGACTTCTCCTGGTTCGCCGTTACCGGCAGCATTGAAGGCGATCACTCTGAACTTGTATTTGCCGCCAGTCTTCAGACCGCTGATCACTAACCGGGTCCCGCGGATTTCAGTCTCCTTGGCCTGTAAAACACAAAGGTGGAGTTCCTAAGTTTCTATCTCTAAGACCAAGTCCTATCCGTGGATGAGTGCTGATTTCCTCTCACCTTGACCCAGGCCTCGGTGCCCTCCTCCTTGTACTCCACCCAGTAGCCCATGATCTTAGAGCCTCCATCCTTCAGAGGAGGAATCCACTCCAGGTCCACTGTGGACTTTGTCCAATCGGAAACCTTCGGTGTTGGAGGGGAGGGCGGGGCTACAGGAGGAGACAGACAGGTGGTTAACATCTTGCTTTATGTATTTAAAACACAAACTTGTGTGATTATAGAGTGTGACTCTTACAGATGGGGTCTCTGGCAAACATGGGGTCTGTGGTGGGGCTGGCGGGTCCGGGTCCTGCGGCGTTGATGGCAGATACTCTGAAGAGGTACTGGGAGCCCTCAATGAGTCCGCTCACCACGAACGACTCACCCAGGCCCATGGGACGGATGGGGTCGCGGGTGACACGGGTCCAGCGTTTGCCTGTCGTCTCTTTTCGCTCCAGCCAGTAACCGGTGATCGGAGTGCCACCGTCGTCCTCGGGCTCCTCCCAGTTAATGGTCATGGAGTCCATGGTGACATTGGTGACTGTCGGCTTCTCACACTGACCGGGGATGGCTGCAGAAAGGATAGAAGGTTAGAGGATTCAAGTATTTGTCAATTGAGTTTTTGTTGGTTGATCCAACCAACCCAAACTCAATCCACAATAGCCTAAAAGATAATTAGATCCGACCCCAAATACCATCGGCCCAAAGAGACCCAAACAGAGAGAGTGCACAAACCAGTTCTTCTAACTGTATCTGGCCTGAGTTGGTTCCCAGTTTGTAGGAACCAAGTGGACACATGTAGACCTCTCGGGTGAACTGCAGTTTACTGCTAGAGCAGTCAGCCCCAGTGTGAATACTGGTCTACATATCCATTGTGACCAATGTTGCAGATTGATGTGCAAAATAGTTTTTTTCGTCGAGATCTTAGTAGATCTTAGTAGTATTACTTACAGGGCTGGGCGATATCACCGTAAATCAAACTCTTGATAAATTTAACATTTTACTATTTTTTTCCCATAGAGTTCACTGACTGTGAATATGCTCAACTATTGAAGGTAGGATTTTTCTCAGATGTCAAAAATCAGCTAAATGTTCTTTGATAAGTTTATTTTGACATAACATATTCCCACTGTATTCAGCGTATCTCCTGCTGAATTCTGACCACCAGTACTAAAATTTCACATGATCATTAATATCAAGCTTTTCACTGTGAGAGCACGGCAAGGTCAGGTCACAGTGTGTGAGATAGTATGTCTGTTGTTTCCCCAGCTGCTGAAGAGTGAAGGCCGTTAGCGCTAGTTAACATCTACTCTGGGCTTCAGACTGTGTCTGGAAGGGGCCGAGACTATACATGTTTAAAGGGGAAAGTACATAAACACACACAGTGAAGAACAGGATTAAAAAACAAAATAACCGAATGGTAAAATTATGTCGGTTAGAGGGTCTGAATTTCGGTTTCAATTACTTTTCAAATATTCTACTAGCCCTAATTACTACTATTATGTTGTTATTATAAATATTAACTGCAATATCATGGTATTTGTTTTTTATATACCTTGATATAGGCCTAATATGTATATTGCATTTATTTTTATTATTATGTATTTATCATTATCTTTTCACTTTATTCACACTCTGTACCTGTACTTATTTTGTAAACAGTAAACACATCATGGCTGCCACAGTGGCACTTTTGGACTATCATTTCTTTTGCACAAATAAGTAACTGATGAAAAAATATGATATTTGTTATTCAAGTTTGAAAATGAGAATCCTTCTTAAACTTCTGACTCACTGAAGAGGTTTCGTGCGACCTCGGGTTCACTGTCCAGTGGTTCTCCGACTCCATACTTGTTCTGGGCCATGACGCGGAACACATACTCGTGTCCCGCCATCAGGTTCTCGACCGTCCAGATCCGGTCTTTGGGCTCGCTGGTGACGGGCACCCACGATTTCCTGTTGGCCACACGCCTCCAGATGACATAGTTTGTGACTTTGGAGCCACCGTCGTCCTTTGGAGGGAGCCAGGACAGCGTGATCCTCTCAGATCCGATTGCCTCAAACTTAATGGGGGCAGAGGGAGGACCGGGCCGGCCTGAAACAAAACAAACAAAGTTTAGATGACAGAAATGATCCAGGTGAATCACACCTGTCTCTCACTGTGATCTACGGTTTTTAATTATTTTTTAGATTTTTAATGTCAGTGAGGCTAAACAACGGGCAGGTATAGAATAAAATAGAATAATAAAGATTAAATAAATAAAAATTAGCACAAACAAAAATATGCTGTGTAACAGATGTATTGTCAGATAGAAAATGAAGACTAGATAATAGGAACAGAAAAATAGGGATACAGCAATATCTGAAATTATTTTACTTTAATTACCCAACACTGATGTATTTTTTAGTCTGAACACAAATTCAGAATTGAATTAATAATTTTAATTAAAAGTTTTCATTTCAACTTCATAACATCAGTCTTTTCCTGATTGAATGGGGCGGCATTAGCTCAGTCTGTAGGGACCTGGCGACCAGAGGGTTGCTGGTTTGAGTACAGCATGGACTGCCTCTAAAGGTGCTCCTGAGCAAGCCCTGAACTGCTAACTGCTCTACTGGAAAGCTTCAGGGTTTTCCACAGTGTTGTGCAGCAGAGGCTCGCTGAGGTATGACGCAACATCATAAAAAATGTATACTCTGAGGAAATAAAACGTTAGGTTTAAGTGTTTGTGTTTAGGGTTGTTTTCCATGACAAATGCTTTCCATTGAATGTAAAGACGCTACAGACACAATGATCGTGAGATGAGATATGTCAGGATGTGGTGCCTTACTGCCTCAGCTAAAGAAGTTGGAAATATGGATAAAAATGGCTGAAATGTTTGTACCGAGCACGTTGAGCCTCATCTCTTTGGAGGCCTTGCCCAGGCTGTTGGAGGCCACCAGGGTGTACAGGCCGGTGTCGGGACGTTTGCCCTGCTGGATGAGCAGAGTGCAGCTGTCGTCTGACACGATCTTGTTGATGTGCTCGTCGTATTGGACTTCCACCTTGTCGTCAGGCTTGTGGGGCGGAGCCTTGAACCAGGTGAGCGTGGGGAACGGACAGCCTCGGATCTTGGCCACGATGCTGATGTCGGAGCCCTGCTCGAACTCCATGAACTCCTTCAGCTCGATGGATGGAGCACCTGTGGCACAAAATTAGGAGATTATGAGCCATTTTTTTACATTTGTTTCCGGGTTGAACTGAACTTAAAATACAGCAAATATTGTGGTTTTTTTATTCAAAACCTACAGCTAAAACATCAAGATGGGCAATACTTTTGTAAAATATTGCTACAGCAGCAAGTGTCTGGATATTTTTTAAGTTTGTTATTAACTCCTGATCTTACAGGTCTGGTCCTGGATGACGATGGGTCCAGCCGTAGATGAAGGTCGGCTGGCTCCGACTTCATTGTGCGCCATCACTCGGAACTCGTACTCGTCTCCCTCCGTCAGGTCCTCCACCTTGAAGCTGGTCGTGTCCACGTCCCTCCTGTTACACCTGAAGGTCATAGCAAAGACGGACAGTTCAGCTGCAGGTAATATGGAAATGTTTTAGAAGTGAAGGATGAGGGCCTTAGATCCGATTAAAAAATGCCACGGACCAAAACAGAGAAAGTTCACCAACAGAACAGCATCTGGCCTGATCAGGCTGACAATAATTTAGATCTGGCCTCCCAGGTTGGGTCTTAGTTAGTTGGAGCCACATGTGGACCTCTCGTGCGAAGGCTTACCTTCTCCAGGACTCCTTCTGGGTGCCGCTGGCGTCCCAGCAGAGCAGATCGACGCTGTAGTGGGTGACGGGTGAACCGCCATCGTTCTTTGGAGCCTTCCAGGTCAAAGTCACCGTGCTCTTCTTCACGCTCTGGATCTTTAATCTCGTTGGAGGATCAGGAGGATCTGCAGACAGAACAGATAAAAGATTGCATATGGGTAATTGTTCAGAAGAAGCAAGGTAATGCTTTTTAATAAATAAGCTACGTAATATGAGATGGGAGATCTGGAGATTTACTGCTGGTGCTGGAAGAGATAGTTTTATCATTCTTTAAATTAGAATAAATTCCTTGAGATGTATCATCTTGTTATCAAGAAGAAAATTAAATAATAAAGTTTCAGACTCTTGAACATGATCAATGTGTGGTTTAAAACAAGTTTGAGTCAATCCATGAACACTTACATCTAATTTGATCAACTTTCTGCAGAGGTGTAATGTCGTTTGGTTAGTCAGATTTTAAAGCCTCTTGAATTTTTGATAAATGTTTGGATGTATGACAATTTCATGTACACATAATTAAACATAATTAATTAAAATAGAAAACAGGAATGGTCCAAACTCTTTATTCGTTTCCATTTTGTTAAGTTAACAAATGTGACTCCTCCAGCAGAACCCAGCAGAAACTAACTGAAGAGATGATAAAATAAAGTATACGTACGGATTGGATCTCTGGCTTTGGTCCTCTCAATGGTCTGGATGAACGGCCCAAACCCAAAGCGGTTCTCAGCCCGGATGCGGAACATGTACTCTTGACCATTGATCAGGTCTGGAACCACCAGAGACTGAGCAGCACAAGCTGGGTTCACCTGAAAAATAAGATCAGTGTCCGACTTAACATGTGAGCGACAACAGTGTATTCTTTTTAAATAACTGCACTGTTGGAGTGTCTTATCCTGCTTATACAGGGTAATTAGCTGACAGCTGCAGGTGTGGGGTTGTACCTTGGTCCAGGCTTTGCCATCAACAGTCCTCCTCTCAATGAAGTAGCTCTTCACTCTCTCGCCTCCGTCGCACTCTGGAGGTTTCCAGGTGAGTCGGCAGGTTCCCCTCGTCACATCGCTGACCTTCAGGTCTCTTGGAGGTCCAGGAAGGTCTGTGGATCCATAAAAGAAAAAATTAAAAGACAAGAAGACTCAGTGGATTTCAAGTAATAATCTGCCAGATGTTTAAATTGTTTATCTTTGAATTTTAATCCTTTTTCAAATTTTTCAAAAATTATTCTTCATTCCATGCTAGTCTTCTCAGCTCATCCTAAGGTTATGCCACCCTGCATTTCACTGTTCATATTAAATGAACATGTGATGAATAAAACCTTCGAATCCTTGAATCTTTACATACCGAGCACGTTGACTCTGACTTTGACCACCTTGTGTCCGGCAGGGCTCTCGGCATTAATGATGTATCGACCGCTGTGGTTCAGTTTACTCTCCGGAATCACGACCACCGAGGTTGTGTCAGTGGAGTGGATCTGAGAGGAAACAGTAGCATGATGTCAGAAGTCGCAATTTCATATTTCAATTTTTATGCTTAGTAGTTAACTTAAAATTGTTATTCACCCTTTCTCCCTAGCCACAGAAAAGCTCAACATTTGGCAATGATTCTATTAAGGCACAATTCAGACTACAAAAAAGTGACTGAAACTGATTTTGACTAAGACGATCATAACACTATTAAGTTGAATTAATCTCCTATATGCATATATTCCAGTTATTGTATTAACAAAGCAAACATTTGGAAATTGGAATTTTGTGCTATGTGAAACAAATAAATATACAGTTGCATTAATAAACAGTCAGTCTGACCTCTGAGTCAATGGGCAGCGTGTGGAGTTCGTTCTTCTTCTCGGTCTCTGCGGTTCCGTCGAAGGTCCAGGTGACTTTGGGAATGGGTCGCCCAGTGATGGTGGCGGGAATCCTGATGGACGTTCCCGCTCTGCAGTTCAGCAGATCGTGAGCGCTCACATCCAGAGTCACCATCGGCTCGACTGGAAAACAAACACACACAAAAAAAACCCCCCAGCATTTTATAAACCAGCGTGCTCTGATATATTTTTTTATATTCAGGTAAACAATCTTTGTTAAGCTTCATTGAGATTAAGATCAAACAAACAAATTTCCATTGTTCGTGTTCGTGGTAGAGCTGATGGCACACAAGATGGTATCATCAGCGTAGAAGTGGACATTGCAAAGTTCATTGGCATAATAAATTATTTATGTACAGCGTAAATAACATTCAAACTTGCAGGAAACCCTCATCAACCTTTCATTTAAAACCATCAACAGTCTGTACCACCAGAAAGATCTGATCTGAACGAGCTATAAGAATCATCAAAAACCCTTACTCAGGATGTCCTGAACCAGGATGTCAGCCGTCCTGGCAGGCTCAGAGTTTCCGGCACCGTTTACAGCGTAGATCCTGAACTTGCACTTCTTGCCCTCCTTCAAGTCGGGGACAGTGATTTCAGTGGATGGGTGGAGCTTGTCGGCGGGGTTCACCCTCCTCCAATCAGGAGAGCCCTCCTCGTGGACCTCGATGATGTAACCCTTGATGGGGCTGCCGCCGTCTTTGTCTGGTGGGCTCCAGGTGAGCGTGATGCTGCTCTTGGTCTTATCTTTAACCTCAGGGGCTCCAGGTGGGCTGGGAGGGTCTGAGAGAGGAGCAGGTGAAAGGTCAGTCTTTATAATATACAGTAACTAGCTTTCACTTTCAGGCTGTGTGCGCTCTGTTCGACTGCCAGCTTTTAAAAATGTTCTTATAACATCCCTAGGACATTTGGGGAACGTTACTTAATTGTCTAAGCTAGCCTGGACGTTTAGCAACACGAACCATTCGGAGAGTTCTGTCACAAAATCCTGCATACTGTTGATCATTTGATAAAAGTCATGAATACATTTGACCTCATAAAGATCTGAGGACCAGAACATCATAAACAAAGTGAGTACATATATGACAGTGTATGCTTTTGTAAGTTTTTGATTAACAAAAGTGTAAAATGCAAACTTTCAAAGACCGACGAAGCTGGTCTGAGGAGATAAAAACAGTCTTTAGGCAGTTAGATGGTAAATACTCACTGCATGGATCCACAGCGAAGCGGCACTCTGAGGACTCGCTAGGTGGTCCGACTCCTGCAGCGTTGCAGGCTGCGATCCTGAACTGGTACTCGGTTCCTTCAATGAGCCTGAGCACGGTGTACTGCAGGCCCTTCACTGCCGGTTTGGTGACTGGAGCTCGGTTGACGCGACCCCAGTACACAGCACCGCGCTCCCTTTTCTCCAGCCAGTATCCCTGGATGGTGGAGCCACCGTTGTCCAGAGGAGGATCCCAGGTCAGGGTCATGGTGGTCGCTGTAGCTGCAATGATTTTGGGGTTACGCGGCGGTCCGGGGAGGCCAAACGGATCCCTGAGCTGGACTTTCTCTGAATCACAGCCATCGCTCAGGCCGTACTTGTTCTCAGCTTTGATCCTGAACTGGTAGAGACCGTTCAAGTTCAGTTTGTAGACCTAAAGGAGCAGACAGGAAGATTCATATGTCTTTTTTTGTTAAGGCGTTAAAAGACTGAATCATATATACAATAAAAACAAATTATTATAAAAATTTAACTATTTGACTGAGACATTTTTGCTAATGCTCTGTTGTATGGGTCCATTATTTCTTTATTCAAATGACATGGAATATAGAGACAGTATTATTTAGCTGTGATGAGTTTAAAAACCGAGGGACTAAGTAAATATTGGAAATATTACTAATTTCTAACTGAAATCTTTGTTTTTCATATATTTTGAATCGTATGCTGGTCTGTACAAATTTGTATGTTCAGGTGACCTGCAGTGAATTGACTGAAATAATTTGAAATTTATTAATTAATAGGAACCAACCATTGTTCCATATAATTAGTGCCACATTACATACATCTTTACACAAAACCTCAAAGGAAATTATTGGGAAATTGTTGAATTTATAGGCATGTTACCAAATGTTTCCTTTACTCAGTTGGTTTTAAAGGAATCAATCAAAGATCAGTCTACATCCTTAACATCTGAATGAAAAATGAAAATTCTCAACACAGACTCATTGGTCATAATTCTTACTGTAACAGTTAAAGCCCTCAAATACTGGCATACTGTCATAATTAAAATGTCAGTAATGCTCCCTGGTAAGACTTTATACAGGGCAGCACAACGGACTGAAGGCACGTTGTAGCGTTGCTTGAGCACTGATGACCATATGCGTTAATCTTATATTCTCTACAACCGAGTATGGTCTCAAATCTGCAGAGATAAACACTCCTACGGCACAGTCGGAACCTGCTGTGGGGAGAAGGACTCGCCTTCCAGTTTTCTTGTCAACACATTTGAGTGTTGCCATTGTAAATTATACGTTTGAAGCATTTCCACAGACATACCCGACTGCAGCTGAACAATGTCCGCATACAGTTTGACACCAAATGTTGATAATTTTTGCTGTCACTAACCAGGAAACTGTAATTCTCCCATACTGTGGATGAATGTCACAGGAGGATCCTCCAGCCCTGGCCTCTTATTTGTCCAAGGTGGGTTAAAATCAAGGGCCATTGAACTTGAAGAACTAAAGAAGCCTTGTGGATGAGAGGCAAAAACATCTTCAAGTACCTTCAACCAAATCCAGTTGCCTTGATTTTAACCCTCCTTGGATAACTATGACCTATAATAACAACATGAGTTTGACTTAACGGGCTAACCGGGCAAAGCTGACTAGAATGCTGCAGCAGACATACAGAAACTGCTCTGCTACCAAAACCTTCTCTAGAATTTCTATTCTGCATGAGCAATAGTAGGGTAAAAGGGCGTATCGAACTGAGGAAGTCCCATACCGAACCAAACAATTCGGGGTGAATACACAAAGCACCTCCCCTATCTGTGTCCCTCTCTTTTCCAGAAATATTTCAGTAATAAAAAACCTAAAAGCAGTATTAGCTTTTAGGTTTTGAATGAGTTAATCCTGTACTTGAAGTCTGGAGGAATATCTCTTCTTCTTTTCACGCTCTGCAGCCACGACTCACCCCGTATCTCCTGTCGATGAGGTTGATAGTCAGAACATCGAAGTCGGACTTCTTCTTGCTGGCGTCTCTGCGTTCCACTATGTAATTGGTGATCTCACTGCCTCCGTTGTCCTCGGGGGCGTCCCAGGTCAGGTAGCATGAGTCTGCCTTGATATCCGAGACCACAACGTTCCTTGGAGGAAGAGGACGGTCTGAAAACACATAGTTGGGTTAATGTAACGCTGTAGAGATAATTGCTTTTCATATGTCATTTTAATCTCACAGAAATGTATCACATCAAAGAGTAAAACGATAGAAGCTAAACCTGATACGGAAACTTACTTATCTATTAATTAAGATTTTGGTCTTACCGAGGATCTCGACTCTGATGACATGCTGAGCTTTGCCATAGCAGTTTTCAGCCACCAGCTTGTAGTTGCCCTTATCCTGCCTGATGGTTTCTGGGATGGCGATCTTAGTCCTCAGATTCAATCTGTCCACCTGCGATGAGAAGGCAAGAGGCAAATTAAATTATATAATATATATATATATATATAAAAAAAAACACACACACACTGTAAGTACCGTGACCCACTTTTCTGAGGGACTGTTTTTTCATGCTTTGTTTAGGGAATCTTAAGGCAGACAACTTTAGACAACATTTCTTCCAACAATTTGTGTGCGACTTTTTCCTGTGTCAATATGACAATGCCACCCTGCACAAAGCCAGTTCCTTAAATAAATACTTTCCCCAGTTTGGTGTGGAAGAACTTGACCTCACAAATGCTCTTCAGGATGAACGGGCAAAAATTAGTGAAAGAGTGGAAACGGTTATAACTGCAAAGGCAGGACTAAATCCATAATAATGACAACGGATTCAGAATAAGAGATCATAAAGGTAATGTATAGGTGTCCCAGTACATTTGTCCATATAGTGTAGTGCAATTCATACCCAAGGCAGTGTCAATGTGCTGAGACTGAAAAGAATAAATAAATCTCCACTGATGATTCAGCTATTCTTAGCCAAGTTTGTCCTGAGTGTGGTGCTAGAAGAAAAGCCACGGGGTCACGCAGCCGCAAAGTGTTTGCCATTTTTCAATAGTGCAAATTCCCAGGTCACACTTCAGCCAAGTTGAACATGATGCAAAATATTTAAGCTGATTTATTTTTATCTAGTCCGCTGATCACAGAGGTCCCATTTCAATTATCAATTTGCTGCATCTTTCATGGAAATCTGGCATGTAGTTTTTGAGATGAACTAAATTGTTGCACCTTCAGAAGTGCAGCGAAAAGTCCATAAACATGAGAATCAATTCTCACCTCCTCAGTCTCCATCGTCATCTTCTCATCTTCAGGCTTCTCGATCACCACCTCGTCCTTCATCCACTGGATCGTCGGCAGGGGAAGTCCCTTCACCTCTGCTGGGATGTCGATGGCCGAGCCTTTCTTTACAATGATGGAGTTGTTCTTGAAGAACTTCAGGAAGGTAATAACTGGAGCAACTGTGGACAAACAAACATTTGTAAAGTTTTTGCTCTTCGGCTGTTGCTTGAGTCTCGCCCAAACAGGTCAGCCTGATCCATCAAAAACATTTCTATTAAGATTTTAAAAGGGAGTCACATACTTTCATCGTCCTGGATCTTGGCTTTGATGGGCTTGGAGGGCTCTCCGTCCCCAACCTCGTTTACGGCTTTGACGCGGAACTGGTACTCCTGGTCCTCTGACAGGTTCTCGATGGTCCCACAACACTCAGTGAAGATCTTGCGGTTTGCCACATCGAACTCGGTGCTGTCGGACCTCATCTTCTCCACATAGTAGCCGATGATGGGACTGCCGCCATCTGTGCGAGGCGGCTGCCAAGCCAGGGTGATGGTGTTCTTGCTTCTGTTGGTGTAGTGCAGCTTCTCTGGAGCAGATGGAGTACCTGGAACATTGTGGACGAGGTCCATCAACATTGGACAATTGTTTCAACAGGCCACTAGACCTTTATTTTGTCAGAAAAATGTCATCTGAAGTCAAGAGCCAGTCATATCTTGGTGGGTTTACCTTTGGGATCCTCGGCCAGGATGGGTCCCAGGTCGGCTGGAGCTCCGTCACCGTACTTGTTCCTGGCGATGACCCTGAAGTCGTACTGCTCGCCGGCCAGCAGTCCCTGGATGTCGCACTTGCAGGATGCGGTCTCAATGGGCTGGCGGAAGAGTTTCATATTGGCGTCTTTTCTCAGCACCTCGTAGCCCATGATGTCGCTGCCGCCATTATCCAGGGGGTCAGACCAGGTGAGAGTGATGTTCTTCTTGGTCACCATCACCGTCTTCAGGTCAACCACTGGTCCGGGGACGTCTAAGAAACACAGGCCAGTAAAAACGTCAGCCATGGGGTCCTGGCCTTTTTTTGCTATTCCTTGCACCTCGGATCTCTTACTATAATAAAGTTTGTAAAAATTCAGTACTGCAAGGTAACAGAAAGTACTTTATATAATATTTTCCAACACAACCTGGCCTATTTGAATAGGTACGCATCAACATGCAGTTTCTAATAGTTTGATCAATTAATAAGTACAAAAAACACTGACTTATTAATACCCTCGTTTACCAGGTGGGTTAAATTAAAATCTGTAATTCCAGCTGAATGGCAGTTGGAGTCGTCTGATCACAACAAGCTTGTTTTCTTCCGCAGTTCAAATCAATAACCACACAGAAAGTATGAAGACTAGCCAGTTCCACTTCAGTTGGTTCTTACATTTCTAAAACAAACATCCTGGTATTTTCTTTTACTTGAGAGGTTGTACGTATGAGATTAACTAGATTTGTGCTGTGAAACCTTGATGCTGTAGTGTATTCATTTAACACTGACCCATAACGTCCACTCTGGTCTCAGCGGTCTTGGTTCCACTGCTGTTGGTGCCGGTGATCTGGTACTTCCCGTGATCCGCCCTCACAGTCTTCTTGATAATCAGACTGCTGTTCCTGCCCTCGGTCTCCACGATCATCCGCTCCTTGTCAATTTCGGCTTCATCCTTGGCCCATTTGACTTCGGGCTGGGGTCGGCCGGTCACCACGGCTGGAAGCTTCAGCAACTCACCGGCCTTGATGATGACGCCGTTCTTCACGGAAGCATCAAAGTCCACAGCAGGAGATTCTGAAGGACACGGACAACAAGACCAGTCAGTCTTGGATTGAAATGTATCAAATTAAGTACTTAGATCTCATAATCAGTGTAGGCAGAACATGTTTCATGTCGTCATAACACTTCCAGCAGGTGCTACCAAAAAACAATCCCAAATAAAACAGACTGAGGTGAATCATCTTGTTGGCCATACCTCCCACCCTGTCCAATGAGAAAGCTATCCATACCTTGAGGCTCTTTGACGGTGGCAGGTTCGGTCACACCGGGAGCTCCAGGACCAGCGTCATTGACGGCGATGACTCGGATGTAATAATCTGCTCCCTCTGTCAGACCTGTCACAGTGTACGTCAGCTCTTTACACCTGAATTCTGTGCTGCGAGTCCATTCCTTTTCTCCGGCCAAAACCTTTGATCAGAAAACCACAGTTTGAGAGTTTAACATCAAGGGGTCCAGGTCAAGGCGCCAAAGATGTTGATTATTCTTAAATGCCAAAGAGAAGACCTATAGGTGCACATAAGTCCAAGAGTACGCTACTGCTGCAACTCTATTAATCTTTTGTACCTTCTCTACGTGGTATCCCAGGATGTCTCCTCCACCATTGTACAGGGGGGGCTTCCACGCCACAATGACAGAGTCCTTCCCAGTGTCCACAATCCATGGGATGGGGGGACCAGGAGGCACTGGGTGGGGGTTTGACAGATACTTATTAATCTTTCTGAGGAAAGAATTAACTCAACAGGACAATGTTTGTATCTTTACATGATGAAAGCAGCGTCTTGTTTTTGTGATCAGTTGGCTTCTTGGAAAATTACTTTGCCTTTAGAACGAATGCATCTTTGGTGTACTGAAAACAAGTAAACCCAATACCTGCCTGGAAGGACAGCAATCAAACTAAAATAACAAACTTGTTTGCTTTGAAAAAATGCTTAGCAGGAAAGTGTAATACATGCATTTAACATTAAATACTTTTTGGTTTGGTCCTTTAAATTTTGTTTACATCGCAACAGATTTTTTACGTGCATTCCAGCATTTTGGATAATCTCATTGATCAAGGTGGCACTAAAACTCCAGGTCAAAGATTATGTTCTTTCTTTTTCAGTCAGGGGCAATGCTTTTGCTCTTTTTGTTCACCCGTGTGCCATTAAAATAGCCACTGAGCTGGATTTCATTTAACTTGGGTAAAGCACTGATCGGACTTCGCAGTGATCGGTGATATAATTAATTCAAAAAGAGCCATCCGTGAAAAAGTCTGGGTTTTGATTTGGCTATTTGATGCGTGCTGCCTTCTTTCTGAAAAGCTCTGCTGTTTCATGTCATCCTCCGATTGGGCTGAGAAACTTACGGATGGCGTCCATAGCGACGATGCGGTCACTGGGCTCGCTGAAGGGCCCGGGCCCGGCTAGGTTTTCAGCACACACTCTGAAGATGTAGGTGAGTCCCTCCATCAGGCCAGAGACCTTCACCTCCAAGGAGTTGAGGAGGGCACGGTTGACTCGGGTCCAGTGTTTGCTGTTCACCTCCTTTCTCTCGATCCAGTAGCCCAGGATCGGGCTGCCATTATCCTTCGGCTCGTGCCAGGAGATGTGGGCGGTGCTCGCCGTCACCTCGTGGACTCTGGGTGTGTTGGGAGCGTCGGGAGGATCTGAAGTAGGAGGAGAAAGGGCGAGTGACTCAACGCTCTTTTTATATTTGAGGGAAGGGGGAAATGTATGGGTTCAATTCTTCATATGACCACCAGGTGGGGCCAAATCCTACAAATGGTTTTTAAAGTGCACATGCTGCGGGTTCAGTTAACAAAATGTACAAACTGTTTAAACATAATTTATTTGTTTACATGAAACATTTAGAAACATAAATTATTGGAAATATACAAATTTTTTCAAGTATAATTTCTTTCTATTAAAAATCATTCCATTAATAAAAACTATAAAGAAATATTTAGGTATTGTTTATTGAGATATTTTTTTATTACATGGGATTATAATGTATGTTGTATATTTATAGTTTATTTTGAGTTTTTTACTTACCAAACTGGTTCTTGGCAACCAGTGGTTCAGAGATACATGGCAGCCCACAGCCGAACTTGTTCTCGGCCGTGACTCTGAAGATGTACTCCTTCCCTTCGATGAGTTTGGAGACGGGGCAGCTGGTGCCCTTCAGGGTAGAGGTGATGGTGATCCAACCGATCTCCTCGTTCTTGTTGTCCTTCTTCTCCAGGATGTAGTTCAGAATCTCGCTGCCACCATCATCCTCGGGAGGCTCCCAGTTACAGACGACCGAGGTGTTCCTGATCTCGTCGAAGGTGAAGTTGATTGGAGGACCAGGTTTGTCTGTAGCAGAGAGTTGCGTCAACGTTTAATCTCAGGAGGATTAAAGTTTATATTTTGTACCTGAGAATTCTGAGGTTTGTAAAATGGCTCCAAACCAAGTCATTTCAATTTACTTGAATTAAAAAGTTACTGAAAGTTACTGGACAATCTTCAACCCTAATTCAATAAAACTAATTGTCTTAAAATCTTCTTACCGAGGACGTTGACATCGCAGGAGGCGGTGGCGACACCGTGAGTGTTCTCCACCTGGATGGTGAAAGTGCCATGGTCTGTTCTGATGGCATCACGAATCATCATGGCAGACTGACCCCGTTTGGTCTTATCCAGACCCAGACGCTCACGCAGAGGAGTCACAAACTCCACCTCTGGTTCAGGAACCTGAAGGGAACAAAAATTCATGAATTCCGTGAAAAATGTGTAGAAACACGTAAAACGTTCAGGACTCTTAGGTCTCTCTGAGGACACAAACCTTGGCCTTGGTCTTGGTCTTCTTCTTGATCAGTGGAACCACCTTCTTGGCCGGCTCAATGGTGACGTCCTCGTTGTTCCTCAGCCAGGTGACCTTGGGGTACGGGGAGCCAGATATGTAGGCGTCAATTCGGATCTCCTCGCCCTTCTTGATACACAGACCGGACTGCACGCGAGCGTGTAGGGTGACCTTCGGTTTTTCTGAAAATGGAAGAAGGGTTAAGAGATCCAGCAGTTTTTATTTAAGGTTTAATGTTTAATATACTTCCTTGGGTTGAGCGATTTGAAAGAGTTTGTAGTTTTTCGTACCGACGGGATCTGCAGCCTTGACGAGCTGTGTGCTGCGGGACGGCTCGCTGACTCCGGCGGCATTCTCAGCTCGGACTCTGAACTGGTACTCCATGTCCTCCGTCAGGCCAGTCACCACGTAGGAGAAACCAGGGACCAGGCTCGGGGTGACCCTCTCATAGCGGTCGCCTTCCTTTTCAATCTTTTCCACAATGTAGCCCTGGATGGGGCAGCCACCGTCGTAGTCTGGAGCCTTCCAGGTCACTGTGATGGACTTGGATGTTGGGTCTTGAGTCTCCACCTGGATAGGCGGGTCGGGTTTTTCTGTGGAGTCGATGTTAACAGACGGTAAATGTCTGAGCTGTCTCCATAACCAAGACCACCGGGGTTAACACAATCCTAGAGTATTTGTACCATCTTAGGAGGCACAGTCATGTAGCTTCTGCGGACTCCATCGCTTGATTTGAAAACACCTAGCAGGCTCACTCACCTGACTCAACTGAAACACATTCAACGATTTGTACTGATTGGACAGTAAGTAACTAAAGTCATGGATAATTTCAAAGTTTACCCACTCATGGTCTTCAAAGTATATACCAAAGACTTCAGAACACGACCAGAATCTAGCAGATCTGTGAAGATTTACTTGAGCTATATGCTAACCTCATCACGCTAACAAAACAGATTAATCCTCTGATATTATTGAGCTGAAAACAGGACTTACGTTTGACTTCCTCAATGATGACTGGGTTGCGTAGCTCCAGATACTCTCCGGCTCCGACCTTGTTGATGGCCTTGACTCTGAAGTAGTACTCGCAGTTGACGTAGAGGTCTTTGACGGTGCTGGTCAGGACGTTCTCTCCTGACATGACGGGCATGTAGGTCTTCTTAGAGGCCTCGCGGCGCTCCAGGGTGTAGCTGACAATTGGGGTGCCACCATCATCCTCTGGGGCTTCCCAGCTGATCTTGCAGGAGTTCTTGGTGGCATCACTGGAGGTGATGTCTTTACACTGACCGGGGAGTCCTGCAGGGTTCAGGAAGGAAGTAAAAATGTGTCAGAGGATGTAGCTTGTCTGTTAATGGCGAAATACATCCACAAATAGTATTAAATATTTAAAGAAATACTGAGGTCATAAAGTCACCCAGCACACGAATGTATCTAAAAGTGTTTGTGAGAAACCCTGGACTGGTTTACTGGACTGTGCGAGTTCAGTAACTTATGTAGCAAAGTAATATGACATCATACCAATGACTTTGACATTGACGGTCCCGGTGGCGGTTCCCAGACTGTTCTCCAGGGTGATAGCATAGGCGCCGGCGTCAGCACGCGTGCACTTGAGCAGCTCCAGGTGGGCGCTGTTCATCTCCACGGTCATGGAGAGCCGGTCGTCGCCCTTACACTCTACCGTGTCCTTCTGCCAAACCATCTTGGGTGTTGGGATGGCCCTGTAGGGAATGTTCAGGTGCAGCTTCTCGCCCTCGATCACCACCACGTCCTGTGCCTCCAAATCCATGGTTGGAGCGCCTTGGGTCCAAAGGACAGGATTGTTATTCAGGGTTAACTGTCAGTGTTTTCATTGCATGTCTTTTACATTTTTAAATTCATGTTCTGTCGATGCTTACAGTCGGGGTCTTTGGTGGAGACCTTGTCAGAGATCTCAGAGGGATCGCTAACGCCAATTGAGTTGATGGCTCGGACCCTGATGACGTACTTCTTCTCTGGTTTGATTCCGTCGTCTATCCTGAACGTGAGCTCCTTGATGGGTCTGCTGTTGACCCTGAGCCACTTTAACTCTGGACGGGCCTCAGCCACCTCAACATGATAGCCAGTGATCGGGCAGCCGCCATCTTTGGCCGGAGGCTTCCAGGTGACGTTAATGTGCTCCCTGCTGGCGTCCGGGATGGTCACTTCCAGAGGAGGAGATGGAGGGCCTGGAGAGAGAGGAGGAGGTCTGAGTTTACATCCAAAATATTTTCTTTCTGACTGTGTAGATTCATTAAAGATCATTAAATCAGAATCAGAATAATCTGCAGAACGCCAAAGTACAAATCTATATTTCTGCATTTGCAAAGATTATTTAATGGCCTCTTACTGGTTGGATCCTCAATGGTGAGGACCTCAGTGGGTTCGCTCGGATCTCCGACTCCAGCCTCGTTCTCGGCTCTGACCTGGAACTGCACCTCAGACCCTTCGTCCACGTCAGTCACCTTGAACTGAGTCTGTCTGTCTGGAGTCTTGCAGCACTTCAGCCAGCGAGTTCCTAGCTTCTCTTTCTTCTCAATCACATACCTGGGAAGCAAAAGATAACGGTCTTGTTGAATGGTTCTTCTAATGTCTTTGGCGGTGTAAAGGCAAACAGACTTTTATAAGTATATAGAATTGTCCCCTTCTTCTCCGTTAATTAAAAGTAACTAAAGTCTGGATGGTAAGTAGCTAGCAGAATATCTATAATAATTGCCTCAGTAATCTCTGCAGTTTTAGTTTTACAGCAGTTTGTATTCTTACTTGGTTATGGGTCTTCCACCGTTACTTTTGGGAGCTTCCCATTTCAGCTCCACGTGTCTCTTGGAGACCTCCACCACCGTCAGGGCGTAAGGAGGTCCAGGAGTTGCTGCAGAGAACATGACAAACATTACTGTCCATCCCAGACAGTTTGAAGCTTATTTTTTTTGCAGGCCTGTCCAGGGTCTAAAATAGCATTAAAAGTCCTGCTAGCATCCCCCAGAGGCTGCGCATGATAGGTTGGCTATATCATAATAAGAAAAAATGTTCCACATAGAGATGCTAGAGGAAAAGTCATTAGTTTTAGAGATATCTTGTCATAGACCTAAATGTAGGTGTGAATTAAAAGGGAAAAACTAACACTGACTATATTTTAAAAGACAGATGAATGATGCTGATCGCTGTTGAGAACTTACTGAAAGTGTCTTTGGCGAGCACGGCGTCCTCCAGCTCACAGAATTCACTCATTCCCACGGCGTTCTCGGCTGCGACGCGGAACACGTACAGCGATCCTTCATTAAGAGGGGTCACTGTGTACTTGAGCTCCTTGATGGTGGTGTCAACAGCCTGCCAGGCCTTCCGCCTCACATCCCTCTTCTCCACCACGTAGTTGGTGATGGGCGAGCCTCCGTCACTGCTGGGAGCCTGCCACTTCAGGTCGGTGCTGATCTTAGTGATGTTGGTCACTTCTAGCCACTGAGGAGCGGATGGAGGATCTGAAAACAGAAAAAGGTTGAATGAAAGACAGGCAGTGTTTGTCCAATGGTGGACCTTTTCCGCCTCACTCCTGTGTTGAAGAGGTTTTGTAGGCCTGATGGTGGACAGGGATAACAACCCAAATGTTATTGGGGACCTATAGCACCATTGTTATATAAATATCTAAACTTATGTTGTCTTAGGTCTGCAAAAATGGTACATTTTCCTTCCGCTTCTTCGGTTTTGATTATAAAGGTATGTGTGAGTATTGGTCAAGATTTTGTAGAGGAAACAGAAGAATGATTGAAAAGTAGAGGCCAGAAAACAGTAGAGGTAAACAGAAAAGGGATTTCTAAAGCACAGAAGAAATAAATGCCAGGTAAAGGAAGGTATGTAAGAAAAAAATACCCACAAGAAATGCATGTTGAGGTTGGATTTAATCCAACAACTCTGTAAACCACAACTTTCATATTGTCCAGTACAAAAATGTAATGTGATGCTACTTAGCTCCACTGGGTTCAGAGTATGGGGAGGGTTTATTGTTATTTATTATTTTGGTTAACGTTGTGGTTATTTTTGGTTGATTTTGCCTTTTTGTATATATGATTAGGCAAAAGATAATATTTACTTATATAAATTATGTACAAATGTCCTGTGTCATCGGGCTGGGTATTATGATGACATCATTGTCCTGAAAATACTGCAACCAATGTTTTGACCTGAAACACCTAATCTTTGACTTTTAGACTTAAAAGCTCGGAGGATAAACTCAAGAAAACATTGCTGATAGGGTACAAAACCCCTGTATGTTTGCCTTTAGAAGATCCAACTTTAACTCCAGGAGGCTTGTTAATCAGAATAAAGAGAGGACCTGAACGCTGATGTTTTGAAGATTATAATCCTCTCAGAAACAAGCTGTTCCCGCCCACCCCTAACTACCCTACAGATGGACTTACAAAGTCTCTCCTTGCAGACCACGGGGTCGCTGGGTTCGCTGGGTTCGCTCTCGCCGGCCTTGTTGGCAGCCTTGACCCGGAATGAGTACTCCTGCTTCTCTATCAGGCCCTGCAGCTGGTGCTCAGTCTGAGGAACGTCCTCTGCGATGCGGATCCACTCCTCGCTTCCAGTCTTCTGGAACTCGATGATGTAGCCTTCGATCTTTGCCCCGCCATCGTGCTCCGGCCTAGTCCACGCCAGCAGAGCCGAGGTCTTAGCAATGTCCCTGATGACAGGCTTACCAGGAGCCCATGGGGGATCTGCAGGAGAGTGTGTGGTTATGATCCAATCACTCTCACTCCTATCACTCTTATGATATTCAGTTTTAATCTTGATAGAACGATCCTTAAAACTTGTGATCAGTGCATTCATCAAAGCAGTTTTCAGACTGACGTACCGATGGGATCTTTGATGAGGATGGGATCGGTCTCTACGCTCGGTTTTCCAGGTCCAGCCAGATTTTCAGCCAGAACACGGAAACGGTACTTCTTCTTGGTGGGGAGGCCCTTCACCCTGCAGCCACATGAACGCAGGGTTAGAAAATGTTCACAAATATCTTGTGTTAAATAATATTAAATAATGTTCAAATGTCTTTCACCTCAGTGACTGATTTCCACCATGATTTAAAAACTGTACTTATTTACCTGAAGGTCGTGTCCTTGATGGGCAGTTTGTTGCATCTGATCCACTTGTCAGTCTCTGGATCAAACTTCTCCACCCAGTATCCCGTGATGGGACTGCCGCCGTCCTCGTCAGGCTCGAACCAGGTCAGAGTCACGGCATCCTTGGCGATGTCGGAGGGAGTGACTCTGGTTGGAGAGCCAGGAGGATCTGAAACAGGTTATTAGTGGTTTGTCATTTGACATTTAGATCTTCAAAATGGACAGTTTTTGAAAGGCAGCAGTGTAAAAAGAATCGTACCAAAGGAATACTTGGCAACGATTGGCACGTGCTCTGCAGGTTCACCAATGCCGTACTGGTTCTCAGCGCTGACCCTGAAAACGTACTCCTTCATAGCGGTGAGCTTGCATGCCTTGAAAGTGGTGTGTTTCACCGTGGCCGACATCTTCACCCATTCCTCTTTATCGATCTGCCGATTCTCCACAATGTAGTTTGTGATGGCCGAGCCGCCATCGTCCCTGGGAGGGTTCCACGCCAGGAAGCACGACTCGTTGGTGATCTCGGAGATGTCAAAGGCAGCTGGGGGGCCGGGTTTATCTGGAGACGAGAAGATAAAACGTGAAAACTGGACATCCAGGTTGGTAATAAGGTCCTGGGTTTGTTCTCCGCTGGGGCAGGGCCTTTCTGTGTGGTTGGGTTTCCTCCACTGCCAAAACTAGGACCGTTGACCAAGGCCTATGTCTCAGAGATTATCCACATTTCTTTGTTCTAACTGTTTTTCTTTAATCTCAGAGTTTTTCTCAGAATATTCCTTCGTTTTTACCCACACAATGGTCCTAACGCTCTGACCTCATTAGATGTAAAACGTACGTGTCCATTTATTTAGGACACACCTAGCTAACTGATTTCTCCTTGTGTTTCTTAGTCAGATTGTTAGGAAACAAAATCAGACCACTTTCAGACATTTCTATTCTTTATTTGATCAGTAATTTGATATTGATAAGATTGGACAAGCCTGTGTTATTGTTTATTTTACTTTAAATCCAACAACATATCTTATAGTTATTTGGTACATTAACTAGCCTACACTTGACAAAGCGGTTGGCACAGCTCGTCTCTTTAACCAAAAAGAAGGAGAGAATATTTTTCATTTTACTGTACCGAGAATGTTGACATCGATGGTGGCGGTGGCGCGTCCGCAGGCGTTGACTGCCTCGATGATGTAGGTGGCAGTGTCTCCTCTTGTGGTGTTGCCAATGGACAGCTTGGAGTGTCCCGGCTGAGTGTCAATGGCAATACGGTCATCGGCCCGCAGGACCAGGTCAGCCTTGGTCCACTTCACCCGGGGATCGGGCTTTCCTTTGACTTCGGCGGGAAGCTCGATCTTGGTACCGGCCCTGGTGGTCAGACCGGCCAGCAGCTTCACATCCAGCTGAATCTCTGGAGGCTCTGTTAATGAAATGTACACTTACTCCCAATTCCGTTATTCATACGTCCAATTCAATTCCTGTTACTCCTAATCCCATTTTATTCCTTAGTATGAACTTTTCCTATACGGGTTGTTCACTTCTGCAGAGAGAAATCCTTCTGGATGGTCTGACATTACTTATGATTACGTCTAAAGCTGAATTCAAAAAGTGTTGTTTGCTTCATGAAATATAAACTTATGTTTATATAAAGAGTAATGTCAAGAGATTTTAAGATTTGCAACAGTTTTTCCCATCATATCGCTTCTTTGTTCCTCAGTAACAGACACAATGTAATGTTATTCCCGTTACTGATCTGAAATCAGGCTCTGGTCCAGAGGGGTTAGAAGGAGCACTAGTTGGCCTACCTCTGGCGTCAACAGCCTGGATTTCGTCGGTGGCCCTGCACGGTCGGCTGGCTCCCAACTTGTTGAAAGCTCGGACTCTGTAGGCGTACCACTGGCCCTCAATCAGGCCAGTCACCTGGAACCTGTGAACACAAAACGTATTATAGGAATAGAAGAGCACGCCAATCACAAACGGACCAAAGAAATCACAAATCACTGACAAACTGTTAGGTCTTACTTCAGTTCAGGGATTGGGTCCCCGCAGGGTTCCCACTTGTCTGTACCACGCTGACACTTGTCCACCACGTAGCCTTTGATCGGGGCACCGCCGTCGTACTTCGGAGGCTCCCAGGACAGGAAGATGCCCTTGGCGCTCTTATCCCGCCACTTCAGGTTCTCAGGAGGATCGGGTACAGCTGGGCAGAAGAAACGTAACGTAGATGAGATTCTGGATATTTGTATTTGGTATATACTCCTAATCCCCATAACAACCTTTTCTTTTCAAAGGAAAACTTTGTGTTTTAGCTCAGATCTGATACAATGGACTCTGAGTGAATCACTTTCAGACGGACGGCATAAATACTCACTGGCAGGAGAGGAGACGTTGACGGGCTCGTCAATGTAGGCCGGTTCTCCGGGTCCACATTTGTTGCAGGCGGTGACACTGAACAGGTACTCCTTTCCTTCAATCACATCTGTTATTGTGTGCTCCAGGTCCAGGACTCCAGTAGCCACCTGGAAAATACGTGATAGCAACGGTGAGGAACTAACACAAAAGCTACAGAACATGTATTATTATCAGCCTTGAACTGAATTCAAACCCAGAATTAGATTTCCACTTGGCCTTGTCAAAGTCACAAGAAATGTCAGAGCAAAATCAGTTCTTTTATGTTTGTTCATGATGCTTAGTTGAACAAACATTAAAGACTGTTTTCTTATTGCAGGAAAAGGCAAAAAAAGGCTGCACAAGTACAAGATGCAAAATATCTGCCATGCTTTATTTGAGGACTAAAGTGCTTAGTAACATTATCTTCACAATCAACTGCAGAGTCTGTGCTGGAAGTCCAGTCGCAGATCCCTCGGTTGATCCAATAATAATATACCTGGAGAATGTCTACAGATCGTAACAGGGTTTCCAGTAGTTTTACCCAACACTGATTTGCTTTTGCGTGACAGAGTGAATTAAGCTCTCTTGTGTGGACTCGTGCCACTGCCTGAGGTCACTCTGTGTTCACAGTTTAAGCCTACAAAGACCCTGCTGCAGAATCTGTTAGCTCTGACCATGTGGATTCTCTGACAGACTACAAAGGAAGACGGGCGTACCTTGGCCCAGGTCTTGCGAGACACTTCTCTTTTCTCGATCTGATAGTGGCTGACCGGACTTCCTCCATCGTGCTCTGGAGCCTCCCACATCAGGTGGACGTGGTGTCGGGTGACCTCGGACACCTTGAAGTCCTTAGGAGCACTGGGGCATGCTGGGAAAATAAAGGTACCAATGAAATTTTAAAATCCAACAGTGCTTACTAATGAAATAGTTCTTTAGAAAGTAAAACGTGTAAAAAGTGGCTGAAAAAACTTCAAACCACTTCCTCCACTGCTTTTCCTGTTTGGAGTGTGGAGAAATGTCTAGTTTCTAAATTTTGTTTTCTGTTGCCAAATCCTTTTTATCAAATTTTTTTTTCATTTTTTTCATTAAAATAAATCCACCAGAAGTATCAACATATGTTGCATTTCATTCCTTTGTATCCCTCTCTTCAAGAGGCTGTCCTCCTCTTGCCACGCCGTGGACGTAATTAAGAATTTTGTTCTTAACTCACTAACCTGGTTCCATAAATGTAAAAAAATAATTCTGAAATGTATGAAAAGAGAAATAGTTGTTACCTATGACGTTGACTTCGATCTCTCCAGAGACGGACGTGACGTCGTTCTCCAGCTGCAGGGTGTAGGTGCCTTTGTCCGGGCGGACGCTCGGTGTGATGGTCAGCTCCGTGTACGTGGGCTTTGTCACCATGGAGACACGATCGTCTGCGGCGGTCAGCTCCTTCTCTCCGAAGGTCCACTTGGCGACGGGGGTCGGGTATCCGGTGATGGGGACTCTGATGGTGAGAGGCTGAGGGACGATCACCTCCAGGCCGTTCCTGAAGGCGCTCAGGTCGAAGGTCGGACCCACTGCCAGGAGAGAAAAATGGTTCAGAGAGGAGTTTAGTTATACTGCCATCTAATGGAACGCCTCAGTGCTTCAGTCAGGATTCAAAGAGAAAACAGGAAAGAGACAGACTGAATTCTGGTTCTTTTTCAGTTTAGCTTCCTGGCTTTTGATAACCTGAATTCCAGTTTACTTTAAGTTTTGAAGAAAAAGGGTTTGATTTCACGGGATGTTTGCTAACAATCTACTGTTGATTGTATTGTTTGTCTCGTACCGTGAGGGTCGTCGGCGAGCAGCGGCCCAAGTTTATCGGTTGGATCTGAGAGGCCAGCGGCGTTTTCAGCACAAACTCTGTAGAGGTAATTCTGACCAGGTTTCAGACCAGACACCTAAAGAGAACAGGAGAACAATAAGGTCAGCTGTGATGAGCCCGTGAACACTCACAGCTGGAAAAAGGGTAACGGAGATTCACAAAAATGACGTTTGTGGAAAATACATATGCTGTTTTTTAAATGTTGCTTTAAAAAGTTAGAAAAGGCTAAACTGTGCGCTCCCTACCCGGTAGGAGAGGTCAGGACACAGTCTGGCGTTGCAGCGGAGCCACTTGTCAGTGCCGTCATCGCACTTCTCGATTATGTAGCCGGTGATCATGCTGCCGCCGTTGCTGGTGGGCGTCTCCCAGGTCAATGTGACCGCTGTCTTGATTTGGTCGCTGAAGTTCAGGTTCAGAGGCGGGCTCGGCCTCTCTGAGGTCACAACACACAAGGTCCAATTAAATCAGATGGTCGGATGTGTTTTTTTCTTTTTACAGGAATGAACAAACATTTAAACCGCTGCTTTTCACTTACCAATGGGATCCATGATCTTGACGGGTGAGGTGGCGGCGCTGGGCCTGCCGATGCCGGCCTTGTTCTCGGCCCGGACTCTAAAGATGTACTCCTTGTTCTCCACTACATCGTTCAGCACGGCTGAGCGGTCGTTGGCGCCGCAGACCATGGCCGCCTCCCACTTCACGGAGGTCCTGTCGCGGAGCTCAATCACATAGGCTGTGATCTCAGAGCCGCCGTCAAATTTGGGAGGCTCCCAGGTGACGGTGGCACCGAACCTGTTCACCACGCCGAGGGCGACGTTCTCCGGAGCATCTGGAACATCTGATGGTGAAAAACAAACACGTGAAGGATTTAATCAGAGTGTGGACACAGGATTTGAATGTTGGTGGGGAGCTTTGGCCGTTTCTTACCAAACTTGTTCTTGGCCTGGACAGCGTCCTCAGTGGCGACGATGGGTCCGCTGCCGACACGGTTTCGGGCACAGACTCTGAACAGGTACATGGAGTCCTTCTGGAGGCCGCTGACACAGTACTCTGGAGTGTCAGCACGATCCGTAGCCAGCGACCAGGTCTTACGCTTCACATCGCGTCTCTCCACCACATAGGCAATGATCTTGCTTCCGCCGTCGCTCTCCGGCTCTTCCCAGGCCAAACTCACCTCACCATCGGCTGTGTCTACCACTCTCAGGTTCTTGACGGGTCCGGGAACATCTGGAAAACCCCCCCAGGACATTTAAAAACTCTTCTGATGTCCACAGACATACCTCAGGTTTAGAATCTAGTAGTTATCTAATCACCCGTCATTTAATTGCAAGACTTACCAATCACATCCAGGTTGATGAACGCCTCTCCCTGACCATGCTTGTTCTTGATCACCACCTTGTACCGGCCCTTGTCCTCCTTGCTGGGGCTCTTTAGACGGTACTCGGTCCTGTCGACGGAGGTGTCGATGTTCTGGACGGGCAAACTGACCCCCTCGAAGAACCACTCGCCGTCTGCGCGAGGGTAGGCGTCATAGGGCACGCTCATAACGAAGGGCTTACCTGCATCTGTTACCAGATTCTGGTCGGTGGTTTTGATCTTTGGAATAGCTGCAGAGGAGATGAAAGGATTCAGAATTATTTATTCATTTATACCCTCAGCTTCTGACCAGTTTGTAACTCTGGAGAAACCCTACGGTCAGTCTGTAAGTCTGTTTGTGTATCTTCTCTGTTTTTACTTTTTTGTGAAGCCAGTTTCTCCAAACTTCTTCGCCTACTTCTACATCAGTTCAGGATTTTTTACATTTCCCCAAATCTTTTCCAACTACTCCTCAGGAAACCGGACTTTCCTCCTGAACAATTCAATGTCCAAGGACTGTACGGCCGTTATTGGAGGCTGGTGGTTTCAGAACAGGTTTTTCTTTTTTCTTTTTGTTGTAGGGAATCTATGGGAGGGTTTGATGAGTGACTGCCATTTGTCACTATCCTACAGCACCTCCAACCTTCACTTCACAGTAACCCTAACCCAGTGACGGCTTCGAACACAACGAGCGGCTGGAATATTTGGTAAACAGGATCATTCAACTTTAATGCTGATTCGTTTTTAGTTATGAATCGTCCCACCCGACATTGTTGGTTACTTGGCGATATCGTGAGCAGCAGCTTCAGATTCAAGTCTTCTTTAGGTTTTTGCTGCACTTGAGTTCCAGCTTCGATCACAGTTAAATCTGCATGACGAGTACCTCAGTGCTAACTCACCCGCCAGCTCCAGCTTGGCTCTGGCGTCCTTGTCTTTGGCCACGATCCTGTACTCGCCCTGGTCCCGAGGTCTGATCTCACAGACCTGCAGTCTGTGGACTTTCCCCTCACTAATCATCTGGTACTTGTCTCCCTGGACGAGGATCATGTTGTTCCTCATCCACTTCACCTCCACTCTGTCCTTGTTGAGTTCCACCTCGAACACGACGTCTGAGCCCGGAGGTTCGAACATGTCCTGAGGAGGTCTGACGATCTCCACCGGGGTCTCTGCAGGACAGAAACATCCACACGTGAGGACTCGATGTTCACCTCGTTGGTTAGTTAAAAAGAGGTTTTAGGCGTTTACCTTCAACGAAGAGCCTGGCTCTGCTCCTCCTCTCGTCCACACCACAGGCGTATTCACATTCATCATCAGGTCTGCACACCTTGACGATCAGTCTGCACGTCTTGCCTTCTCTTTCCATGTGATATCTGCAAAAACGCAAGGGTTTAATGAAGCTCTTCGCTATAATGTACATCTCTTCTCAATCTTTTTGCTGTAGTCCTGACATCGTAATGTGCTTTATTTCTTTGTTTTGGAGTGATGGGTCAGCTTCTGTGTGGTCGGCCTCGTGGCTTCCATTGTTTTTGTTATGTTCTGCCGACCTGTCATTCCCTTTTCATTTCTTTTTGTTGGTATTAACTTTGGTGTCACGTTTATTTAAAAATAGATGAAATAAAATAATTGCTTTTCTGCGACTCCTCGACTGTGTGGATGATGTTACTGAGCTGGAGGGGGCAACGAAATGAATAGTGTTTGTAATTCTCCATCTGTATCCTGAACTAGTGTTGCAGGTTTTAGAAACACAAGTGTCACCTCAAACTTTAATTAGCCACCAAAAAGATCACATTTATTTATTGAAGTAATTTATCTGCTATCAGTCAAAGTTTTTTTCTTTAATAATTTGACATGATATAATGGCTGTTTCTTTTCTCTGGATTTTTTCCGACCAAACCAGAGCTGGTGATCCCCAGAACAGTGGAAACACTAACAAAGGTTTTCTTGAGGTTTATTTTGTTTCTGTCCACGTTGAATGAAGTGTGTTTTATGATGATCTGCAAGGTAAAAATTACAGTTTTTGTTTTGAGTCTGGTCCAGTCTGGGCTGTAACGAAATAGATGCTGGCGCTCTTGTGTGACATTTAGTGCCGGTGAAAGCCCCTTTAACATCCTTCCTTTGCCTTGATGTGTTGATGTTTTATCACTATATTATATTATAACACAACTTCAAACCCCTGAAATGCCCTGAAACATGACCTCGGTGTGGGAGCTTGTGTAAACTCTGTGTTTGCAAATTCAGAATTAGACACATTTTTTTAATCTAACGAAGATGTCGGACTCTGATACCTCGGTCCTTCTCTGATCTCTCGTCCGTTCCTGTACCACTTCACCGCCGCCTTCTCCTTGCTCAGCTTGCAGGTGAACTCGGCGTCCTCGAACTCGGTGATGGTCTGATCTTTGAGCTGCGCCGTGAAGTCTGTCGGCGCCTCGCTGATGATCAGCTCGGCCGCGCACTTGTCGTCCCCGACCACGGCGGTGTACTCGCCCTCGTCGTCCATGATGCAGTCCTTGATGGTCAGGGTGTGTTTGAGGCCGTCGACTCTGTAGACGATGCGTTTGCTGAGCGTCACCTCCTGGCCGGCCTTCATCCACCTCACCGTCACCTCAGGACGGTTCACCTTACAAACGAAGCTGATGGTCTTCTTCTCCTGGGTCTCGATGTCCTCCATGGGATCCAGGAACTTCAGCTTCTCCTCTGTGGAGTTAGAACATAGTGAATAAATCATAAGGATGGATCATGAGACAGTGGGCCCCTGGGTACAGAAATATAAAAGTCCCCTCTCCCACGTGGATCAGCTTGGCTCTCACTGACGGGGTGCTTCCTTTTATTTACCTGCCACTTTAGCGCTGGCGGTGCACTTGGCCTGCTCTCCTCTCTGATTGGTCAGGTTGATGGTGTAGCTGGCCTCGTCGGCCTTCTGGGCGTCTCTGATCCTCAGGGAGAAGACGTTGTCCCTCTGAGCCATCATGTACTTGCTGCTCTCAAATATAGTCTCCTCGTTCTTCAGCCACTTGGCCTTCGCTCCCTCTGCGTTCGCCTCGCAGTTGAACACGATCTCACTTCCCTCCTTCACCTCCGTGTCTTTAATTGGCGTGATAATCCTCAGTTTTTCTGAAATCACAGACAGAATTATTAAAACCAAACTTCCGCTCTGAAAGAACCAAACGAGACGTGGAAACAGGAAGAGAGGCTTACCAATCACGCACAGATCGGCTGCGGCTTTAACGCTGCCGATGTGGGCGACGTAGCCTCCCTCGTCCTTCAGCTGGCAGTTTTTCACAATAAGAGCTCTTCTCTTTCCTTCGCTGACGATGGTGTATTTGTCCCCGGCTTCGACTTCCTTGTCACCTCTGAACCATCTGACCTCGTAGGTTTCTTTGGAGACGGAGCAGGCGAACTCGGCCTTCTCGCCCTCCACCACCTCCTGGTTCTGAGGACGAGCGATGAACTCGGCCGCCAGTTCTGGACCGAAGAAGAAGAAGCGTTACAGCTGTTATTTTGCTTTCTGCAGGTGCTTTGTTTTCTGCATGGAGACAAACTGCGGAGACTTCATGTCTCACTAAAAGGTGCAACAATACATTTCAGCCAGCCTGTCAAATCCAACTACTCCTCTCCACTCCGGCCGAAAGAACCGAAACACAGAGACAAAACCGACTTAAGTTTGGAAAATCCTCTCTGAAAGTCAGATGTTCAGCTTGACTCAAATGTCTGTGCGTCTGTCCTAGCGAATGGAAAGCTTAGCTCCCTCACTGAAATTTATTTGAAGACTCTTCAGTGATCAGGATGTAAAGATTTATTTTCTTCTCACCGTTGAGTTTGAGTGTGGCGGACGTCCTGATGCTGGGACTCAACCTGCAGTTGTACTCTCCGGCGTCCTCCATCCTCAGGTCCTGGATGATCAGGATCCTCTTGCGTCCGTCCGTAATGTGCTCGTAGCGGCCGCCCTCCGGCAGCTCCTCGTCTCCTCTGTACCACGTGACCTCGGCGGCGGCCTTCGACACCTCGCAGATCATCTTCACGCTGTCCGTCTCCGTTCCCTCCACGTTGGACAGGTTCTTGGTGAACCTGGCCTCCTCCTCTGTGAAACACAACAGCAGCAGGGGTTAATATGGGCAAATATGTCCTGGGCGTTGACTTTCAGGCATTCGACTTTAACTCTTTTCCAAAAAGCTCTTAAAGGGAGAGCTGCCATCTTGTCTTCTTCTCTGCAGTTTTCCTTTAACAGAACACACAATGAATGTTGTTCCTCACCAATGACGGTGAGCATGCCGGAGGTCTTGGAGGTTCTGGCGTCGCATTCGTACTCGGCCTCATCGTCGAACGCAGACTTGTGGACGATGAGGATCCTCTGGACGCCCTTAGCGATGATCTCGTACTTCTTTCCTTTCCTTATCTCACTGCCGTCCTTGAACCAACGAACCTGCAGCAGAACACCAGAGTCAGCGGTTGATCATCTCAAACCCTCCAGCTGTGAAACTTAAAGTAACTTTGACTGATCGACTGGTCTCACCTTGGCCGACTCGCGGGACACTGAACATTCAAACTTAGCAGATTCCTTCTCTTTGACCTCCACATCCTGCAGAGGCTTGGTGAACTCCACGTGAGGAGCTGTGGACACGAAACATTCAGTGTGAAGCATGGTGACTCTTCAAAATCAGAGTTATAAGATACTAAAGCTTTTATTTTATAAATCCTACAGCTGGATAAATTTATGGCTCATTCATTCTAGCAACATAAATCTAGAAACCATTAGAAATGATAAAACCTCTGGAAGATTCTGCTGCATGATTAAGACTTAATAATATTGATTCTGAGTTTATAAATCAGAACTGTGTTTAAAGAAAAATCTTAATGCCTCTGAATGTTTTTTTAGGTCTAACTTTTGAAGCAAATGCATCCGATTTTCTAAGAGTCACGATTCACTAATTCTTATGTTCCAGCTGAGAGGAGGAGAAGGGAGCGGTTAAATCAAAGGTTCGTCCTTACGTGTGACCTCCAGGAAACAGGAAGTCTTGAACTCTACGGCGTCACACGTGTACATCTTCACATCGTCTGGCGAGCAGTCGTGGATGACCAGCGCTCTCTTGCGGCCGTCGGCGATGATGTCGTACTTCTTGGTCTTTCTGATCTCCTGTCCTTCCCTGAACCATCGTACCTCTGCTTTCTCTCTGGAAACTTCACACTCGAGCGTGGCGGTGGCTTCCTCCTCCACCGTCTGGTCCTCCAGAGGCTTCGTGAACTCCACCGGCGGCTCTGAACGCAAAAGCACAGACGTCACACACTGTGATCAGGTGTTAACCACAAACACACCGCCATCTCCTGTTCATGATCCTGCTGTGATGCCTTCGCTGTCCCTGGTGCGTTCGAGTGTCTCACCTCTGATGATGAGCTGAGCCTGGGTCTGGAAGTCTTTGGAGGTCAGCTTGACCTCGCCTGCCTCCGACAGCTTCACGTCTCTGACGGTCAGAGTGTGAATCCGACCCGCCACGCGCGTCTTCACCTGCAGAGACGGAAACAATCCTTCATTTCATTTCACCGTCCAGAGACCACGTCAGACGCTACGCCCTCCTCATGTCACGCTCGACTGAGAGTCTTTATCGTCTCATTAGGGGCTGCAGCTCGGGATCATTCTGATTATTCATTCATTCATTTATTAGATTCTCTAAAATCATTCTGTCTTTGGGTTTTTCTTTTACAAATGTCTGAAATGACTTTGATTAATCTTCTGTCAACTAATCAATTCATTTATTTAACTTTTCTTCTTAATTCGTCTTTCAAGATTAAAACCCACATTTTTCTCCAAAACACTTGAAACAGGTTTTTGTGTTCTCGCTGAACCAGAAGAGTGTTTCTTTCTAAATAATCAAAGAGAATTCTTTATAATAAGGGACACAACACGATGAACTAACTGCTCATTAATGAATAACTAATGCTTAGTTAATGGAGAGCTCAGGAAGGACTCGATTATTGATGAATGGTGAATAAGAACTTCCCCTATAGCAGATGACGAGGAGTTAGAGCAGACTGGGAGATCCTGTTAGCTAATTAATGATGATTATTAATTTAAAGAAAGAAGCTGATTGAGACAATGTGTTTTTAGGGCCTTTAAATTTTTGCAGGCGAATGCTAACATGCTAATGCTAACTGTGGAGGTGGTGGTGTTGGTCTGTGTGTCGACGATAACAGCTCTGCTATCTCTGCTTATTTTTAGCTGCAGCCCGGAGTCTGAGCACTGTAGAAAACACTGACATGTGATTCAAACTTCAACAGCTGTTCAGATTTTTATTAACAAGAGAAAACATATCACTTATCACTTATTAAAGGACACAACTGATTCTTGGGAAACTTTACTTGTATGTAAAGTGTAAAAGTTAACAATACTTCATTATTAAGTTTACACTTTAAATGTTCTTCAGAAAGGTTGCCCCAACCAACACCGACTGTGGGATCAGTGTGCGCCGTCAGTCGGTGTTGGTTGGTGTCAGTTGGATGGAGTCTTTAGAGTTTGACATGTCCAATGACCAACAAACAGCAACATTGTGAAAGTGTTCCCTTGACAACTAAGCCTAAACCTGCATTCAGAACGTCAGCGCGCACGACTTTCTTTGTTGTCAGTGTAGGTTAGCGAGGTGTCCATTACTCGCTCCTCTCTCTCATTAACAGACCCATCTGTGAACAGCCTCTCCTCTTGGTGCATCTCAATCTGAACATGTGCTAAAAACTCACTGTCCTCCCCAGTAAAGCTGGACGCCCAGTGTCTGAACATCTACAGCTGCTTTTATCTCAAACAGTAAGCATCACTTTATGTCCGTGGTAACAAAACTATGTCTTTGTGAAACTTTAATGTTTCTTGTGACGGAATAATCACAGATGAAGTGTTTTCAGTTTATCAGGCCTGACAAAACGTTCTAGTAAGAAATAAAATTAGCCTGTTGCCTGTTTGGTGGCCTATGTTTAATATGCTTGTTAATATTTGGAAAACAGACTGTAGTCTTCAATTTACATGATTCACGGCTCGGTTAGGCAGTAAGTGTCTCTCTTGCAACTATCCATTGACATTGTTTTTGCTCTGTGCTGACCAATCCAGTCCTTTTACAACCAGTTGAAATATGGAGTTTTGTAGTAGCCTATTGCATTTGCCAAACAGACAGATTATAGCTCAAGTAGTCCTTATTACCAGTTGAAATACAGCATATGCAGTTTTACACTTGCCAAAAATCTGATTCTACCTCAACGCTTCTCAAAATGAACTGATTTTAGTTATGGGTGTTAAATATGAGTTATGTCTGATTATAGCTCAGCGAGACCTTTCATCCTGTTGAAATACCTTTAAAGGGCCAATACACCCAGTAACAGGTAGTTTTCCTTGTCTTGTCAGTGTGAACTGACGGTCGGTTTTCTAAAACCAACTGCTGCCAACTTTGGAGTGTTGGTGTTAGTCGGCTCAGTCTGAGCAGTGTGCAGCTTAAGAGTTGCTGTCAGAGAAACAACAGATCAGCTCTCTCCTGATTCTGGAACAGAGCTTTAAAGTTTAAAATCCCACTTTAGGAACCAAAAACAAACTAAATGGCTTTGTTTTACAGTGTTTGAAAAAATAATCAGTTTTTGAACTGAAATATAAGAATTTAAAAAACAGAAGTTAATAACATCTTACTGATTTTCAGCCCCTGTGACTGTGAGTTCTTTTATTTATTTTCTTCCTGATTCATTTTAAGCTGTTTAACATGATAACAGTTTCTGTTATTACTCATTACATTCAATGAAAATGCACACACTGCAAAAACTGTCCATCTTAACCTCAGTTTGTTCTTAAGTCCTAAAATCTCTTTTTTGAGGTTAAAAGGGTCATTTGAGTGACAGGATTTGAACCTTTTGCCAGCACAAACTAATTTATGAAATTAGAGTTTCTTTGTGTTTCTTAGAAACATCTTGTAGGTTTGAAGAAAACCTTTGTAGGAGTTTTTCCTGTGAGGTTTTGTAGAGACGCTGATGTGGTCCGACTCACCCGATCACTGGCGTCCATCTTCTGTCCTCCCAGGAACCACTCCACCACGATGCCTTCATACGACAGCTCGCACTCGAAGGTCGCCGTCTCTCCGGCCGTCACCGTCACGTCCTTCAGAGGACGCAGCAGCCCGATGGACCGAGCTGAAGAAGAGGAAGAAGACATGGTTAAACGGCCCAGCGTGCATCTGTCTGACCGCTGGACGTCCTGAGCTGCAGCAGAGTCGTGTTATCACAGAGAAGCCTCTCACTTCAGATAAAACACCTAAAAAAAACTCAGGAGCTGATTGGCTGAAGAAAATTCTCTAAGTTGCATGACTCCAAAACGACAGAGAGGGAAATAATTTCTTTCTAAAGTCTTTCTCAGATGTGTGAAAGTTTTCAATAAGAAGCTTTGATTTACAGAAATGGACAAAAGCAACTTTAATCCATTTGGAAATTTATTTATCTTTAAACATTTTCCTTTAAAAATTTAAAAACTCTTATAAATATAAAGGTTGGACCAGTTCATTCTTACTGGGTCAAAGTTATCAATATATAGAGAAAATCTTATTGTGATAGTGATTGAAAACAGTATTCTCTGACCGAGCTGAAACTAACTGTTTCTCAATTTAAAGGACAGAGAGGAAAATTCAAACTGAGGCAGTTTTTCTGTATTTTGCAGTTCTGGGAACAACATGCAGAGCTTTGGCGTGTAAATAACCTTTCACTCGGAGCTGTGCGGTGGATTTGGCGTTGGCTGCTGAGAAGTCGACGCCTCCGGCCATGTCCATACGGACGTTATAGAGGATCAGCATGTGTCTGGTTCCTTCCTCCTTAATCTCGACATCCTGAAATAAAAAAAAGACATTTCATTTAAAGCTCCAACTCCTCAGTGGTGGAACAAGTAGCGAGATATTTTACTACTGAAATACTTTATTACGAGTAGTTAAAGTACATAAGTACATGGAGATTAAAATGCCCACCGTGAACAACAATGTGGTACTGCAAGTATAAAATACCAAGAACTATGAGCAGCAAAATGTACTTAAAGTATCTAAAGTTAAAGTACTCATTATGCAAAACTGCACTGTTTTTTTATGTATCAGAAATACAGTTTCATTCATTTTATCATCATATATTTGACATGTACTTGTATAACATGAAAAGTAACTACAGTTGTGAAATATCTGAAATGTAATGTAGTGGAAGAATTAAGCAGCATGAAATGGAAACACTCAAGTGCAAGTGCCTGAAACCTGTGTGTAGGTTGAGCACTTGTAACTGTGCTGCTGTACAGAATGAAAGCAGACTCACGGCGGACTGATGCAGAGCTTCTCCCTTCAGCTTCCAGTTTCCGTGGACGTCCTCTTCTGAAATCTCCGTCTCAAACTTGGCGGTTTCTGTCTCTGTGACCTCGACGCTGTACAGTGGACGAACAACCTTGATGTCGCGCTCTGCAGGGGAGGAGGATCACGAGAAAAAAGAATCAGTAACTCTCTAACTTGCTGCTAGTGCCCCCTACAGGCCGACATGTTCACTACAGCAGCAACATGAAAAACCGTTCATCAGCCATGGAGCTATACATGGAAACTTTGAGGAGAATCACTTTGATTTGTCTTGGTTAAAACCTTACTCTAATCCTCTGATAACACTACAGCTACACTTTCTGCTGTAAAATATGGCATACCTATGCTTTTACATTCCACATGAACAAAATCTAGATATCATAGAAAACTGCATCAGAACTCTCAATCAAACAACCAAAATTGCTTTATTTGAGCCTCAGTACAGTTTTACTTTTTGGATCCACTCATAGGCTGTCATGGAATTAATTTCCACCGCTATCATATCCATGTAAGTACATTTCTGAAAAACTGGATGTCACATAACATCTTCCAACGAATCTGAGAAAGCTGGGATGCTGGTCATTGGCTCAGCTCGACACATTCATCAGTTTGAGTAGGTGTCAGGAACTCTTGTGTAATATTTTAGAGCCAAGAATTGTGTTGTTACTTTTAGGAACATTTGTTTGTTAATGCTGAGACCCTGGTCCACCATTTTGTTTCATCCGGAAGAGATTACTTTCTGCTCTAGAGAGGAACATCACACATCAAGCGCAAGCACAACAAGCGTGTTCATAGTTCTCCAATTTCTGTTATTGGCCAAATTATACTCACTCATAGGGTTCATTTCTACGCTATGCTGATGATACTCTGATTTATAAAGCAGATGATCACTACAATATTTGGACATTTGAGGCTGTGTTGTTACGTAAACTCCTGCACCTAAATCCTGAAAAAACACTAACAGTAGCTCTCAGAAAACGTGTTATTTTTTACCCTCTTTTGTTCGGCACAATCACCATAAACTCTTTAGCTAAAAGTCAGTCAAATATGTCCATGTCAAAAGTCCTTAAACTATTCAGCTTGCTGCTGCTAAAAGTTTAAAACTAGATAATGTGGCTTTGTGGAGTTTTCACTTATTGGAACAGAGGCTGTAAGTGTAGAGGTTGTTGTACATATTATACATTTTGGTCTAAATAAAAATAAACTTAACTTTACAGTCTTAGGACCAAGGAGTGAAATCCGCTGACCGTCACATTAAACCTGTAATTGAGCTTTTGTCTCCCCCTTCTGACAGTGAGCGTAATTACACAACTCTGTGGACTCGTGGGTAATTTACATGTAAAAGTCATACAATGCAGCTTCAACTCCCACTACCCCTCACATATTTCTGCAGGCTTTACCTTCAATGTTGAGGTTGGCTTTAGTTTTGTCAGAGCCACAGTCGCAGGTGTACTCTCCGATGTTGGCCTTCTCCGCCTTCCTGACTGTCAGGATGCGCTTCTTGCCATCGGTGCTGATGGCGATGTTCTTGGAGGGAGTGATCTCCTTCCCGTCCTTGAACCATTTGACGTCGGCGACTGCTTTGCTCAGCTCACAAACGAGCTTCACCTCGTCCTTTTCCACAGCAGTGTAGTTCTGCAGCTTGGTGGTAAAGTACAGGTCGCCCTCTGCAAAGAAACAGGACGTTCTGATTTCAGAAACCAGGAGTCATGTGTTTGGGAACTATCTTAAATAAACCTGACTTTGTAATTAATTGACAAATTTTCACTTCACTTTTCACTTCTGTTCTTCGCAAACATCCAGTCCTTAGCATCAAAACACTAAAATATCTGGACTAACGTAACATTTCCATTTGTAGACCATAAACTATGTTTCTTGACACTTTATCTTGTCTATTGTTGTTGATGAATTTTGAGACAATTCATTAATGACCTTAAACTTTTTTAGCAGCTAATTATTCTTAGAAAATGACTGAACCTTTTATTTGAGTTGGACGGAACAACATCCAAACATGTAACACTGACCGATGACGGTGAGCATGGCGGTCACAGTCTTGTCCATGGCCTCTACTTTAATCATGGACGTGTCGTCGATGGTGACCTCTTTGAAAGCTAGTGTGTGGATCTTTCCCTGATCCGACATGTGGACCACCTTGCTGGGAAGCAGACGGACGTCGTTTTTGTACCAGACCACCGGGATCTTGTCATGCGAGAGCTCAACACTGAACTCGGCTGTTTCGCGCTCTTTCACTGTCACGTCTTTAATCGGTTTGACAAACTCCAGGCGGATACCTGCCGCAGGAAAAACAGACAATTCAATTTAGCATGTTTGGGGAACTTGTTATAAGGCCGGCTATAGTGACAACAAATCATGGAATAAGTTCAAGCTTTTAATAAAAGCCCGGGTACCCTGGATGATGAGTTTGCCTGTCGTCCTCTTGTCCTCGGCCTCAAACATGTACTTTGCCTCGTCTTCATAGGCAGACGATCGGATCAACAGCACGTACATGTTTCCTTCATGGGTCATCTCGTACTTCTCGTCTCTCTGCAGCTCCTGCGAGCCTTTCAGCCAGCGGAAACTCTTCGGAGGTCTCGAAATCTCGACCTCGAACCTGGCCTCATCCTTCTCGTACACATGAACGTCACTCATCGACGTGAGGAAGTTCAGTGGAAGCTCTGAAGGAAAACAAAAAGAAAGGTTTTTACTTCATACCAGTGAAGTCGGGCTTACAGATAATTCTGGGGCTGACACAGGTAAATATTCAAATACAGCAAAGAGTTCACAAGCCAACCAGGATGCAGAGTTCAGTTTCAATCATTGCAGTTGACAGAGCCAGAAAGAAAAAGTTGGATTTATGATTTCCCTTAATTTTGCCTGTCAGGTTCAGATTCAAGGTTGTGAAGCTTGATGAGGTCAAAATGCAGCAAAGGAGTGAACACTGCCTGAGAAAACGACTTCAGAGGAAAGAAGGCTCATTTCATTTGAACTGGGCTTCTGGCTGTGATCTGAACTGGCTTACTGGTATTTTAAAAGAAAAGGATGATCGTTACTGATGATCTCGGACTGATTTGAACTCTTGTGATGCTTTATAAAGACTGTGCTGGACTGACAGTCTGTCGGTTTACCTTTGACCTTCAGGTTAGCAGAACATTTGGCGTTGGCGGCGGCGTACGACACCTCGCCGGTCATGGCCACTTTACAGTTGTACAGGATCAGCGTGTGTTTGCCTCCCTCCTCGATGATGTCAACATCCTGTCAAATAATATTATGAACAGTCGTTAATAACTGAGAAGAGCTTTTGTTTGTTTCTATGGGGAGATCCATGGGACAGTGCTTACAGAGGAAGGATTGAGAACTTCTCCGTTCAGCTTCCACTGGCCGTGGACGTCGTCCGCAGAGATCTCCACCTCAAATCGAGCCGTCTCCCCATCGAACAGCTCCACGCCATAAATCGGCCGAACAACCTTGATGTCACGAGCTTGTGGGTTTAGAAATTTGGGGAAAAAACAGGTCAGAATCAAAATTTTCTCCATAAAATGGTCTCTATTCTTAGTCTCAAACTTGTTTTACACAAATTATGAAGAACTCTAATTAATGTGGACTTAATCTCGTTTAGAGCGTACTGATCTGTTTGTGTGTGGACAGGTCTGCAGATTAACAGTTTGACAGAATATAACTGACACGTTCATCACGTTTACCTTCAATGTTGATGACGGCCGACGTCTTGTCTGTTCCACAGTCACATACATATTTGCCTTTATTGCTCTGCTCCACCTTCTTCAGGATCAGAGACCTGCGAGTGCCCTCCGACTTCATGACCACCGTCTTGGAGGCGATGATCTCCTTCTCGCTGTGATACCAAACGACGGGGACGTCTTTGCTTAGTTCACAGTCCAGAGTCACCTCGTCTTTCTCTGTGGCCGTGTAATCCTGCAGCTTCACCACGAAGACGGCGTCGCCCTCTGGAACAGAACCCAGAACGAGGGACCGTCAGTTGCAGGAAAACACATTGTTGCAAATGTTACAAAGACCAGAATCTTTAATTTTATCGCAGTTAAAGGACAATTCCTATTTTTCAACGTGGCTCTGATAGTTTCATTTTTAACACTATGAAGACGAGCTGAAACAGCAACTATTTGATAACGGATTCTTTCGCTGTCAAACATTTGCTGGTTCCAGCTTCTTAAATGTTTTTATGTCAGGAAAATGGCTGTATGTGTATTTACAATACTGATGTTGTATTTAAGCATTGAAATGAACTTTGAAAATAAGAGCCAAGTTGTAATAAAGCAGAATTATCCTTTAAACTTGGTCTGACCAAAGTTAAGAGTCAAACTATTAATAACAACAAAGAACCAGTCAAAAGACAGAAATCGGCTTCATAAACTTTAGACGTTAACTTTATCAGTGATGCTGGTAAATGCATAAATAAAGGAAAAGGATGCACTTGTAATTAAATCAGTACATTACAATCACATTCTTAAAGAGATTACTGCCTGATTTCTGCTGTCTGCTTCATCGTGCAGCCCTAATCTAAAAGACAGAAAGAGGAAAGGGAAGTGTGTTGTTACCTATGACTGTCAGTTTTGCCATGGAGTAAATTCCTTTGGCTTCTGCCTTAACCTGGCAGGTATCATCTAGAGTCAACGTCCTCATTTCTAGAGTGTGTTTCTTTCCTTCCACATGTGTGATAACCGTTCGGCTCACGTGGAGTTTGACTTCGTTTCGGTACCAAACCACCGGCACGTTCTCGTGACTCAGCTCGAGCTCAAAGAGAGCCGTTTTACCTTCTTTCACCGTTTGGTCCTGAAGCTGCTGCACAAATTTGAGCCTCATGCCTGTAATATATCCGGTCAGTGCACACAAACAGGGAGGGGGGGGGGTTTGTTGCCATCTGACACTTTAAAGCCACAAACATCGAATGACAACAGAGAGGAAACATGAAGCGTGAGCTTTCTGTCTGCCACTTACCTTCTACGGTCAGCTGAGCGCTACATTTCTGGCCCAACACTTCGATGGTGTACTGAGCCTCATCGTCAAACTCACAGCTGTTTATGATCAGCATGTGTTTTTTTCCATCATCAATTATTTCATATTTAGGGCTCGGGGTGACGATCTCCGCCCCCCTGAACCACATGACCTTTGACACCTCCTTGGTGATGGTGCATTCAAACTTAGCCTGTTTCTTTTCAGGCACAGAAACATCCTTCAGCGGGTCAACAAAGCCCATTTCGATTTCTGGGAGGTGCGAATAATTCAGCAGTTATTCACAAAAAGCATGAACACAGACGAGACTTTCCTTACCGTGACCCTTGCGAAACCAGAGGCCCACAAATGCAGCAGCCCCCAACAGACAACACAAAACAAAGTAGGTTCTGTGCGTGACAGATTTGTACCTTTGACGGTGAGCATGGCGCTGGTGACGGCGTTCAGAGCCTGATAGGACACTTCACCGGCCTGATCCAGCTGCACCTGTTTCAGCGTGAGGAAACGTTTCCGGCCTTCAGCTTTAATGTCGCAGGTCTGAAAAAACAAAGACCAAACACATCCTTCAGTTTTAGCTCCAAAAAGAAACAAAACTCTTTGAGACATATCAGCATGTTTCTCTACAAAATTGAACACAACAGACTCATGTTAGTGTTGGATTTAGTCTTTCCCTTAAGTAGCTGCCTTTTTTCAGAACATTTCCAACTTTCTTTTAAACTTTACACGCTTTTCTTTGAGGTACAGTATCGCCTCTGTGTAGGTCCACATTTCTTGGCTGCTTTTTAAAAATCTTACCGGAGATCTCATCAGCACCTGGCCCCTCAGCTTCCATTCACCGGCTACATCATCCTCAGATATTTCAGTGTCAAAGTTGGCTTCCTCCTTCTCCACCACCTCCACACTGGAAAGAGGCTTCAGGATCTCAGCCTCGCGCTCTGAAGCAACATGGAGAGGGAGTTAACAGGAAATAGTGCACATCCTACCCTCTTTTCTGACTCAGATGGTCCTCATGACTTTCTAACACGGTTCCACCAACCTCCAAGTGTGAGCTTGGCCGTGTATCTGCGATCCTCAACCGCAATGGTGTAGTCTGAAACATCGTCGGGCTGGCAGTTGTTGATGGTGAGCGTCATGTCCTTCCCGTCTTTGTTAATCTGCACCTTATCAGAAGGAACGAGCTCGTTGTCTCCTTTGAACCACTTCCAGTTGGGAGTGTCCTTGAACAGCTCGCATTTGAACGTGGCCTTGGCCTTGGGTTTCACGTGCTGGTCTCTCAGAGGCTTCACCAGCCAGTCTTTGATGATTTCTGAGGAAATTAAAACAGTGTCAACTCTGAGGTCTGAATGAGTCTGATGTGAAAGACTCCATCTGAAAAAGGCTAAAGGTAACAGTTTGTTCCAAGTCGGAGAAACAAGTCAAAGCAGCTGAGGACGGAGCTAACAACTCCAACATGGCTGTGCTCAACTGTTAAATTACCATTTTTCATCCTAGCTCAAGCTAATAGAAAGGTTTTAACTCACTGCAACCATCTCAACTCAAATCTTTTACTTTGTCAGCCTGCACATCAAAGACTGCAGATCAAAACTAGCTGTTAGCTTTAAGTATAGTGTACAGTAGAAAAGTCAGATTGAACTGCAGTACAATAGCAAAATTACAAATTAAACATGATGTGAGAGATTTAGTTTATCTTAAAGCTACAAACCGACATAGTAATACAACGCTTTCCCCCTGAAATTTGTTAGCTAGTTAGCAATCTAACATGCTAGCTGCTCTGGTCCTGATGTTATCATGGTAGCAAAAATCAAGGCCTCGTCAGAAAATAACAAGGAAATAAAAAGAAATGCTAACAGGTCAACCAGCTTTGGTGGCTCTGCAAGGATAAAAATGCTTTAAGACAAAACGTTGGGTTGAGCTTCTTGAATATCTTCTGCTTTCCTAAAGTCTTTTTCCTCAGCTTGCTGGCAGGTAAAAGCATGATTTATGACTTCTGAGGAAATTATTGACTCGACTGCTTCTTCTGTTACTTTTCTAAGTAAATCTGGTAAATCTGGAAACCTTTGTTATCAAAATGTTTTAGATAGATAGATATTTATTAGTCTTTCGTAAATTCATAGTGTGTCATACAGCAAACATCAGCCCAACAACAACAACAGGCCGACAACTGCGTTACCAACACAAACATCTCCCGAGTGCTGTACAAGTAAGGTGCAGCTCCCCGACACCCCGAGATTCAGCTCTGTTTTATTGTCTCATTGTTTGTTAGGAAATCCAATACTAGTAGGCACAAATGACCTGCGGGCCCGGCTGGTTGGGAGGGATGGCGCCCTGTACCGTCTGCCTGATGGTAACAGCTCATACTCCCAAACAGGGGATGTGGTACATCTCTAATAATCACCTGCCCCTTCCTCACCAGTCGGGACTCGCAGGTCGTCGTCGTGCTAGTTTGCTGTTCTCCGGCAATCTTACTGGACATATTAACTATCTTACGCAGTTTATTTTATTATTCACTGACAATGTGAAATACCAGGCAATGGAACAAAAAGTCAGTATGCTTTCCACAAGGGAGCGATAGAAGAGGACCAATATATCTCTGCCCACAATAAACAGTCTTAGTTTACACATAAAATATAGACGCTGCAACCCTTTCTTATAAATAACATCTGTATTAAAACTCCACAACACTTTAACATCAATTTATAATCATCTACCATTTCAATTCTCTCTCCATCCAGAGGGAGTGGTTGGTGGGTGTCTGAAGCCAAAAATGATTTCTTCCATTTTCTGGGTGTTCAACAGAAGAAAACTTGCCCTACACCAACCCACAAACTGCTCAACCCACTCCCAGCAGCTGGTCTCCTCGTCTTCTTTAATCAAACAAATGATTGCTGTATCGTCAGCAAATTTTATAGTAACATGGCTGAGGTGTGTTTTACAGAAGGTTTTTGGTAAACTTGGATTGGATTCAAATTGTGTTGTTAACGTTCTGGTTATGTATTTTGTTCCATCCTGGGTGTGAGCATTTTGTTTGGGAAATTACAGATAGAAAAAGTTCTGTCTCATCTCATCATTGTTTTGGTTTTTATCTGGAAGGTGTTTCAGCCTGAATGTTAACTATCAGTGGAGTTGGTTCATCTCTACTACCTGCTGCTGACTGCTTACCGATCACTTTGACCTGGGTCATCGTCTTGACGTCCTCCTGTCCGTCTACCTCACACGTGTAGCTGCCGCCGTCATCGTCTGTGGAGTTCTGGATGGTCACAGCGTGCTGCATACCAATGATATTAATGGCCACTTTTCCAGCCTGTTTCTTCAGGATGGCGCCGTTACGCTTCCAGATCACATCTCTCTCTTTGTTCAGCTCACAGGTCAGGTACATAGGCTGACCCTTTATACAAGTTGTCTCTGGTTCCAGTTCTTTCAGCCATTTTACAGGTAGCTCTGCACGAAGAGATGGTCGTTTAAAGAACAGTATTTTTAATACAATAAAGGCTGGGATCCAAACAATTTCTTCCAATTATTTATGCCAGTACCATACCTGAGTTTGAGTATTTTGTGATGCCTACAAAATGCCTAGTTGACAAAATAAGTCAAACTTCTCTCGGAAGTAAATAAAAAAACAGTAGTTTACATTTACTCATTTTACATATTTGGCAGACATTTCATCCAAAGCGACGTACATTTGAGGAACAGCGTACAAGCGTCAACACAGTAAGAGATCTACAAGTGACAACAGATATTAGTAAGAGCAGCAATAAATACTAATAAGAGCAGTTAGTGTGTAAGGCATCGATGGGGTAAATACCTAGGGGAAGAAGTAAGAGTTAACGAATAGTGCAACCAATGCAAGAAACTGTAAGGAGACAGAAGAAGAAGAGCACAGGAAGCGCATTGCAGAGGTTTACCTTCAACAATGAGCTTGGCTGTGCATGTTATTTCCTTTCCAGCGTTCTTGGCCACACAGGTGTATTCTCCAGTGTCAGACAGCTGGACATCAATAATGTTCAGCTTGCGATCTTTGCCATCAGCAGTGAACTTGTGCTTGGGGCCCTCGCGCAGGTTACTGCCATCCTTCATCCATGACGTGATGGCAGTGGAAGGAGAGACCTCACACTCAAACACAGCAGACGAGCCGATAGACTCGGCTTCCTGCAACACGATGTCCTGAATCTTCTTGATGAACTTTAGGGGGACGGCTTTGAGCTTGAATCCCCCGAAGGGTTCTTCTGGTGGTGACGGGCCTTTCCCGCCTGGCCTCAGGCCCCGGCCCCTGCCACCGTCACCAGGAGATGGGGTTTGTCTCGCTGCAACACCACATACAAAAATTCATGTAGTTAGTTTCAGATATAATATGATCGGACAGTGGACAGTGTTTTTTTAAGACCTTCTCGTGAATTAGACGTCAGTCAGTCGACATAATCTCACATTTAACAAACGTCAACAGTTACATAAGATTATGTTAATACTGAGAATCATGCAGTCACTGGTTACGAGCTTCCAGCGGGATTCTTTAAAGAACCACAAAATACAAGAAAACATAGACAACAAACCAGATACAACACGCAAAGAGTAAAAGAAAGATATGGCGATCTCCAGCACCTGTGATGCTAATTAGCCGAACACAGCAGACAGACTACCCACCTGTGGTTTTACACACAGATAAAACGTGTGACTGCAGAACATCCTAAACATAAGAGTAAAGATCTTCTGTTCTCTTTTAGCCTTTATTGTGTCTGTTTTAACTCACCGTTGTGAGTCAGCATCATTCAGATTTTACACAACATTAAACACAAGCAGTCGTGTGAGAGACCACGGAAATTTGGATTAAAAGGCTAATAACTAACAAGATAGAACTCTTTAGGTACTTGGCAGATTTTGATACTCTTTGTGCTTTATACACATTTCAGTTGGTATCAAAAAGCCACACGTTCGATATCCGGCCGTGTCGTGTTGATTGTCACAAAACTTTGGGGCCATGATTAAAGACGAAAACATTTGTTAGATTTTGTTGGAAAGACAAGACAAAAAAAAACAACTTAGACTTCCACAAACTGCTAGTGATTATCTAGAGCAAAGAGCAAAACTGTTAGACCACAGCTTTAATTTCATTTCATTCATACCCCCAAATCCTCTGCCTCTGCCTTTTGGTGGCTCCTCTGTTGGTTTTCCATCTGGACAAGAAACAATAAGATGCGTTTTAAGTGTCTCTGTCAGAACTCACTGCTGAAGATGAAAGATTTGAGCAACACTAACAGGAAACATGCTAAATCAAACACATATTCTTGTCCAAATGAGAACATTGAAGGGACATCACGAAGATGAATGATGTGATGAAGAGGATGAAGATTGCTCTTTGACAAATGGATGAATAACGGCACAAAATGACCAAAGGGACAAACACACACGGAAGACAATGCAGGAAGGTTGTTGTGAATGACACGAACACTGATGAAGACGAACACTCAGCACTTGATGATTGATGTGGATGACAGACATGTAATGGACAGCAAGAGGACATCGCCATGGGTGAATGAATGAAAACGATGAGCTGTAGATGATCAAATGGTTCGAGTGATTAAAAAAGGATGTGATGAGGATTAGACGAGTCATCTGAGATGGATGAGCGGGCTCCAGAATCATCTGATGTCGGCCTTCGTCTCACCTCGTTTGCCACCAGGGAAGCCTGGAGTCTCCAGCGCCCCCTCCACCCCTTCACCTTCCCAGTCCTCTGAAGGAACCAGTTCCCAGCCCCAGGCCTCCTCCTCTTCCTCGCCTTCCGTTTCTTCTGCCTCCGCTTCGAACACTTCCTCCTCTGGCTGGGTGGGTACCTTCTTCATCTGCACGGATCCAGGAGAAACCTCCTTCAGCAGGGGGACCCGCCCTTTGCTGGGCTTGTCTGGTTTTGAAGGCTCCTCTGGGGAAGGCTTCTTCGGGACCTTTTTGAGTGTTACAGCTTCAGCAGAGTCTTTTGGTGAAATAGTTTTGGGAATTCGTTTGATTTTTTCAGCACTTGGCTTCTTCTCAGCCGGGACACGTGCCACTTCTTCAGGTTTTGGCGATGGCGTCTTTTTAAGCTCGACCTTCTTTAGTTGCTCAATAGGTTTGAGAGGCTTTTCTTCTTCTACCTTGTCTTTACCAACTCTTGGCGAAGGAGTCTTTTTGAGTTCGATAGCTTTCTTTAAGATATCTGTTTGTTTTTGTGGGATTTCGCTCTCCGATTCTTTCTGTGTGATTGCTTCCTTCTTTCCTGGTGGACTGGGCTTCTTGGGTTGAACAGCTGGCTCCTCTTTCTCCTGAGCTTTCTCCTCCTCTTTTTTCGGCGTCACAGTCTTTTCAGCTGTCCTAAGCTGCTGTTCCTTCGGCTCTATAGGAGTTTCGTCCCTTGGAGTTCGACTGGGTACCTTTGTGTCCAGCGGCTTCTTTTTCTCTACCTCGGAGGCTTCATCTGGTTTTTCGTCAGGCTTGTCAGCTTTGGTGAAAGGCTTCAACACGACCTGTCCTTTCTCTTCATCTGTTGTGGAAATCCTTTTAGGTTTTACGCGGAGCTTGTCGGTAGCTGTAGGTTCCTCATCTTTGGGTACTTGATCAACCTTTTTCCTCTGCGGAATCTCCTTCTGGTCGTGACTGACATCAGGAGTTACCTCTGGACTCGTCACGGAAGCATCTTCGTCTTCTCTGTGTTTTATAGCAGTGGACGGTTGATCTCTCTGCGGTGTCTCACCTCTATTGAATGGAGTGCGTTCTGTATCAGTCTTTGCTTCACCTTCTTTCTCAGCTTTTGGTGGTTCAGCTGCCTCGGGTTTCTTCGGTTTTTCAAATGGTTTCAGTGTCACTACTTCTTGCTCTTCATCTTTCTTTGGCAATTTCTTTATTTTCTTTTTGGTTAAATCTGGCTCAGGCTCTTCCTCTTTCTGCACTTTAGGGCTTCTTGTCCATCTTGATTTCTGATCTTCTGCCTCTAGTTTTTCAGGTTCCTCCATATACCCCAGTTCAGATGCCTCTTCAGCTGCAGTGAAGACTCGTTCACTTCTCCCAAGTGTTATTACCTCTTGATCTTCTCTTACACGAAGCTTCTGAACTGTCAGTTCTGTATCATAATGTCTTGTCACTTCAACTTTATGAGTTATGACTTCCTTCTCAGGCTCTTTGGGCTTAGTTGGCACCTTTTTCAGTTTGATCTTTTGTGGCTCTTCTTCCGGTTTCCCTGATTTTTCAAAAGGTTTTAGTTTGACGGATCCCTTCTGCTCATCTGCCTTTGGCAGTTTAGTTATTTTCTTCTTATCTACATTTGCCACATCGGGTTCTTCCTCTTTCTGTGGTTTTGGGGTTCTTGTCCATCCTTCTTTCTCAGTTTTCTGTACAACTTCAACCATTTCAGCTTCCTCAAAATAGCCAAACTGAACCGTCTCTTCCTCTGCAGTGAAGACTCGTTCAGTTCTTCCGAGTGTTATTATGTCTCGATCTTCTCTGTCGTGAAGTCCATGAACCGTTAGCTCTGGATCGTGATGCCTCGTCACTTCTGCTTTATGAGTTACGACTTGTTTCTCAGGCTCTGGCGGTTTCACTGGAACTTTCTTCAGCTTAACAACCTCTGGTTCTGGTTCCGTCTCTTTGGCTTTTCTGGTGAACTTACTCTTCAGCTTAGGCGATTCAGGTGTTTTTGCTTCCTGAACAGGAATCTTACCCTTTTGCTTAAGAGGTGGCACTGTGGTTGAGGCAGCAAATACACTTTTTATAACATTCACATACAGACATAAAGGAAACTCAATGTAATGCATGACATTTTTACAACTCACACACCACTGAAGAAGTCTGAGAGAATCTAACATAGCAATATGTATTACATTTTACTGCCCTTTTTAAAATAAAGATTTGGTATACCTTTAGTTGGTCCAGGCGCTGAAACTGGTTCCTTGTCTGCAAGAATTTAAATAAGATCAACATATAAGTGTATGCAATACAAACAGTGTTAGGAAAAAAACTAAATCAAAGACAAAGAAGGTTAATACATTTTTGAGACAGACAGATACTTGAGTTAAGAAAGTGTGCCATGCATTTAAAAGTGATGTTTTGTCATTGTAGTGTACAAAGTTACATTAAAGTAACTCCAGATGCACCAAGTGATGTTAAGATAAGGATATCTGGCCTCAACAGATACTGTTAATACGAAAGCCTTGAATTGGATCAGAGAACCAACAGATTTAGACAGAGTTAGACAGTGAATGCATTTCTTAAATCAAAGCTCAGATTGCTTTGCATGAAGACATAATAACTATTTTAAAGACTGGGGACAAACAGAAGAGAACAACATAAATTCAAATGACAGTTACAGAAGAGATGTTACCTTCTGGCGGAGATATTTCCTCTGATACAGGAGAGGGTTCAGCCTTTACGGCTGGTGGAGAGGGTTTCTTCTCCACTGGTGCAACTTGAGCTACAAGAATGCCAACTTGATTAAATCACTGGCAAAGATCTGGTAAACAAGCAACAACTGACAAACCAGCCACAATTAAAGAACTCCAACCAACAGATATCTTTTTGGCAGGAAAAACGGAAATGAACAACATGTCAGAGACTACCTGCAGAAGGAAGAACTTTTTCTGCTGGAGGCTTTGGTTTTGGTGCAGATGGTTTCTTCTCCTCTGGAGGAGACACTTAGGAGTAAAAGATACCAAAGATCACGACCAAGAGAACAAAATATTTGACAGTGACAAGACACATAGGAAAGATTCAAGATGTTTTTGAATGAAGACAAGAGCAGATAAATAAAACACAACACAAAAACAGCACCAGACAACATCTTACATAAACACAGTAACACAAACAGAGGAAAGTGTTTTAAAGTGAAAGATCTACCTGCAGCAGGAGCGACTGTGGCTGCAGCAGCAGCAGGAGCAGAAGGCTTTGGTGCAGATGGTTTCTTCTCCTCTGGAGGAGACACTTTGGGAATACAAGATGCCAAGATCACGACCAAGACAACAACATGGTCAATTAAGACAGACAGTTGCATCGAAACAATGCAAGATAAGACTGGGGACACAGGAGAAAGCAAGTCAAATGACAAGTGAGGAGAAAGATTACCGTGAGGACACATTTTGGTCAGCAAAGAAAACATAACAGGAAACAGACAGACGTATAGTTTACAACAACAAACAAAACCAATTTAAGAAACTACCTGCAGGAGGAGCAACCTTCTCTGCAGGAGCAGGAGGAACAGGTGAAGGCTTTGGGGCTGGTGCAGATGGTTTCTTCGGCTCTGGAGGAGATACTTTGGGAATACAAGATTCCAAGATCATAACCAAGAAAACAATAAGCTTGGTGAAAACATAACGAGTAACACGAAAAGTTTGAAACCTGAAGAAAAGCGAGATTATAAGAACACCACAAACAATGGACAAAAAGAAACAGAACATGGCTGATTCTTGACGAGCCAGCAAAGATAAGGAAACTACAAACTGAAGAGACTACCTGCAGAGGGAGCAACTTTGGCTGAAGGAGGAGTAGGAGGAGGAGGTGAAGGCTTTGCTGCTGGTGCAGATGGTTTCTTCTCCTCTGGAGGAGACACTTTAGGAATACAAGATGCCAAGATCACGACCAAGACAACAACATGGTCAATCACTACTTTTTAACGGCAAAAGATGATTTGGACATGAATTATTACGAACAGCACGGACAAGTAGAGGAAGTGACAGGATTGGAGATGTGAAAGAATGTCAACTGATGAAGGAAAAACCAAAACTCAACAATGAATGACCAAGAAAGGTTCTTTAGTACACGGTTTGCCTTGTACATAGTCACAATGGATTAACACAGCTTACTGTACGATGTGAGGATTAGTGTGAACTGTACCATTTTTCTTGTTACTCAAGACAATTTTGGAAGACGTGCGAGTAAAGAGTAAATGTGACATGTTAATATCTCTTTAAAGAGGGGTTGATCTTATGGCGATCACGGGCCTGTGCGGCTCAAACAAAAAAGAATACCTTTCTCAAGAGTTTCTTGTTCAATCTCCTGTGTTCCCTTCTTCGTTTTCTTGTTGACTTCTCTTGTTGGTGGAGGTTTAGTCGCCGTGGATCTTGGTTCTTCAGAAGAACATACCTCGGGTGTGAGTATTTTTTGTGCCAGAGCAGCAGGTTTCTTGGAAGGGAGAGTTTCTTCTTCAGGGGGATGAGCTTTCTGCCGTGGAACTTGAGACCTTTTAGTTGGCGCAACTTTGTCTTTAGAGATAGGTTTCTTAGGTAGAGTCACTTCTTCTGTCTGAAAGTCTTCTTTAGGAGCAGCAACTGCTTTAGAAAGTGCAGGAGAGGTCTTCTTTGCAGGAAGAACAGTTTCTGTTGATGGAGAAAATTTTTCCTCAAGTGAGACTATTTTCTCAGGTGAAGGAATTCGAGCTGGAACTGGATGTGAAACGTCCCTACTTGCTGGGATAGATGTTGCTGGGACAAGTTCTTCTTCGAACGACACTTCTTCTGACACAGGTACAGTGTCTTCGAGATCCATTTTTCCTGCTACTTTGGGAATTTTTATTTCATTTCCTTTTTTGGCAGGGACGGCTGTCATAGGATGAGAGGGGGTTGTTTTGGGAAGAATTTGGGTTAAGTCTTGTTCAAGTGGAGGCGGAACCGTTTTTCTAAGATGCATGGATGTTTCAGATAGAACTTCTTCCTCTTCAGAGTCAGCTTGCTTCAAAAGAGTGACTTTTTTGGGTACTCTTGGCTTCTTTGGTAGTGGGATTACTTTAGACATATCAGAGAATTTAGTTGTAACAAGATCCTCCATTGTTGAGACAGTTTCTTCTTCAATTTCCTCATGATGTACTGACGGAAATGATTCCGGAAATTCTTTCTGCTCGGGATAAGCTGAGGCAATGTCAGCATCCTTGAGCTTCTTTTCTTGAGGAGTTTTCTTGTAAGCCAGAACCTCTTTTTTGGATGTCAATCCAGAAACTTCTTTCTTAATAGGACGAGTTACTTCAGGTGAAGGTGCGACATCTCTTTTTAATGAATGGCCAGCTTCCTTTACAAGTGGAGAGACAGACCTCAGAGACATTTCTTCTCTCTGGTCCAATGCTTTGTCTTCTGAAACAAAGTCTTCTTCATCACGAGATTCAGTTTCCTCCAGATTTTCAGTCTCATATTCTGTGTATGCTGGCTCAACTTCCTCTACTGACTCAGTATCTTCAACCTGCCGGTCTCCACTGCACCATGTGGAAACTTCACCCTGTTCCTTTGCAAGAACCCTCTGTTGCTTTATCTCCCTTTTCAAAGTGATTTCTTCTTTCGCAATTGACTCCACTCTCCTTTCATATATCTTGACTTTCTCTTGCCTGTATTCAGCTTCTGCCAGAAAAATCCTTTCTCCACCATCCCTCTTCACACAAGACTCCCTGCTGTCTTCAAAAACTACTGTTGTGTGCTTAAGATCAGCCTCCAGGGGAACTGGGGTAATTTCAAAGATGTCACCCAAGATTGAAGATTTGCACCATGGAGCGATGGCCAAGAGGAAAACAACACAAGACAAAAACCATCAAAACACAAAACACAGATTTCAGTGGGGTATATATCCTACTGTAAACCCTACGTGTAATGAATCTACACCTCCCTGCTGTGATTCTTTAGACTTTTGCTGGACTGATACTTTTCCAGAAAGAATATCATCTGTCAACTTGTCAAACTGATGGACATTTGCGGACTTTCCAAAAGTACCTGAGAAACAAGTTTAAGCAAATGTTAGATGGGAATACACGCTTTGCTTTAGCTAGTGGTGTTGTTTCCTGTGATATCTCCCTCTGTTTTACTGTTTTGATCAGTGATATGATGTAGCAAACAGTCAACACACATGACACCACAGACATCAGGACAAAACCTTAAACAATGTTGCTAAAGGCACCTCAGAATAAAATATGCAAATAGCGAGTTAAAAGATCAAGATGAGTAAAGATCAGTTAGTAAGAAGTTCAAACTGGTCATACTTGCAGATATATCTACCTTGTTGCTGAGGAATTGTTTTTGGGGTTTCCAAGTCTTGTGGTGGTGCTGGTGCTTGGTGGCGCAGCACTGGTTCCTCTCTTACAAATTTTGGAGGCTCTGGACTTTTTTCCAGCTCTACTGGTGCTTCTGTAAAAATTTTGTTTACAGCCGGAACCTTCGCTGGTTCTTCTGGAACCTTCTTTGGTGCTTCAGAAACCCTTTTTGGTTCTCCTAGTACTTTCTTGGGTTCTTCTTGAACCTTCTTTGGTTCTTCTAGTACTTTCTTAGGTTCTTCTGGAACCTTCTTTGGTGCTTCAGAAACCCTTTTTGGTTCTCCTAGTACTTTCTTGGGTTCTTCTTGAACCTTCTTTGGTGCTCCAGGAACCTTTTTTGGTTCTTCTAGTACTTTCTTAGGTTCTTCTGGAACCTTCTTTGGTGCTTCAGAAACCCTTTTTGGTGTTTCTGGAACCTTCTTTGGTGTTTCAGGAACCCTTTTTGGTTCTTCTAGTATTTTCTTGGGTTCTTCTGGAACCTTCTTTGGTGCTCCAGGAACCTTTTTTGGTTCTTCTAGTAGTTTCTTAGGTTCTTCTGGAACCTTCTTTGGTGCGTCAGGAACCTTTTTTGGTTCTTCTACTACTTTCTTGGGTACTTCCGGAACCTTCTTTGGTGCTTCAGGAACCTTTTTTGGTTCATCTAGTACTTTCTTGGGTACTTCTGGAACCTTCTTTGGTGCTTCAGGAACCTTCTGCTTTTCTTCTAATACTTTTTTGGGTTCTTCTGGAACCTTCTTTGGTACTTCAGGAACCTTTTTTGGTTCTTCTAGTACTTTCTTGGGTTCTTCTGGAACCTTCTTTGGTGCTTCAGGAACCTTCTGCTTTTCTTCTAATACTTTTTTGGGTTCTTCTGGAACCTTCTTTGGTGCTTCAGGAACCTTTTTTGGTTCTTCTAGTACTTTTTTGGGTTCTTCTGGAACCTTCTTTGGTGCTTCAGGAACCTTCTGTGTTTTTTCTGGTTTTGTTTCAGCGATATACATCGGTGCTTCTGTCTCAGGTCTACCAGCCAGCAGATGTGGTTTTCTTGGAGGTTCAGATGTCTTTGGTTCTGAGACAACTTTGAAGAACATTAATTTATAAGATGATTATCTTGTTAACAATATTTTGAAAAAAAGTAAAAGTCACACTCTAACGAGTGCTCAAAGATATTCATAGAAGGCTTTTTGGAAAGATTACTTTCCATATGATACTTTCAACAGACACATAAATTGATCATACTAAACAAACTTGAAACTGAGGAACAATACAAACACAAAACAGAACAGTACAACAAAGCAACCCATTAAGAGCGTATTTGCAGTACCTTTAGTTGCAACTGTAACCCGTGGTGCAGACGGTGGAATTACAGGTTCCTCTGGTCTGGGTATGTCTTGTACTTAAGAGAATATTATGGATTGTTTAATCTACAGGTAATGACTGAAATGGACTGGAACAACTTAATTCAAAGTCTAAAAGAAGATATCAAAGGTCAACAATCAATACCTTTAGCTGGAAGATGATCCGGTGTGGAGGGAGTAACCTTGGCTGAAGTTGGCTGAACTACGGGTTCTTCAGACTTTGGTATCTCTGGTGCTTTAAAAAACATTTTATATAATTTTCAGTAACCTACTTGTAACCATGAAGGCTTCATCATCACAGTCCACTCTAACGAGTGCTTAGCACAAAGATAAGTACAAAACACATAATGTGAAAACATAAAAGACAGACCGGTTGTGACAACACATATCAAAGAGTTCAAAGATGGGAAAAGACACTGTCTTCCAGGTACCTTTTAAACTATCTTCAACCTTTGGTGGCGTAATCTTGGCAGCAGCAGTTGGCTGAACTATGGCTTCCTCTGGTTTGGCTACAGCTGGCACTTTGGAGAACATTGAAAGGTTTTCCAGTTTTATTATACATTTATCATAAGGTTATTCAAGGAACAAGGTGTGAGCTTCATTATTAATATACTACAGCCATGACGTTCATTTCTAGAATTAGTTTGTAGAGGGATTATATAGAAAACTGAAAAACCCAAATGCTTTCAAATCCAGACACATTAGACAAAGTTCATCATCTTAAAAGATCCAGCTGAAGAGGTTAGCAGAGAAGAACATCTCATAATATTCAAGATTTACACAAACGTGTTAGAGTGATACACTTAGATCACAGCAACATGAATCAAAACAACAAGAAAGACAGACTGTATAACACAAAGTCTTTCCAGTTGATCAGTAGTAATGCAAAGTGTTACTACTTTACCTCTCTGTTCAGGGGCTTCTGGTGTTTTCTTGGTAGGTTCGACTTTAGGTGCTTCAGGTTCAGGCTTAACTTTGGGCACTTTAGGCTCATGCGCAGCTGGTTTCTGAGGTGCCACTTTAGGCTCAGAAGGAACTGGTTTTGGCTCCGGTTGATAAGGTTCAGGAGTGATCTTTCTGGGAACGCTCACTTCTTGCTCAGGTTCTGGTTTGGTGTTTAATGAAGATTCGTCAAGGTTAACAAAGAAATATTACTGTGAGCCAACACAGAGCACACACAGCTGTAAGAGTTTAAGGGTAAAAGAAGGAAAAGATAACACACAAAACATTGTCAGACGGACTGACAGATAACCAAACAACTGACAGACAGCCAAGAACACAATGCTCCTTACGCATTGTAAGAACACTGAACTTAGCTTCAGAGTCACTTTAGACAGCATTAAGTTATGCAGACAGCACTCAAGAAAAAAGATGAAGTTCATCCTAAGAGTAAAATCCCAAGTGCAAAATGTCATAACCTTTCAAATTTCATGCTAAAAGTTGTGAATTTGCAGTTTACCAGTTTACCAACAGATTCTTCTTAAATGTCGTATCAAAATAGAGCAAATGTAATGTGTGTTTTCAAAAATAATTATTTATATATTAATATATGTAACATTTATAAATACTGCTGTTAGAAATATGGAACGTGTAAAAAAGTCAAGAAATTTAATTTAGAACATACGGTAATATGTAAATATTGTAAAATAAGTCTGTAAAAAATGTAAAGATTTTATTTTACAAATTTTGACAAATATCTATTTACATTACTTTTTTAAATAAATTCTAAAGACTTTCATGTATTGTGATGCAAAGTAAGCACGTGCACAAATACAGGTCATAAAAATATTCTGTGTGCTTGTTCTTTTGAGTTAATTTGATGTTTTTGCAATTTTTGACACAATTTAACTTACTCTTTTTAAGTAAGTTTTATATAAGAATTAAGAATGTGAGCCAAGACAGACTCAGTAACCAAATAATAAACATTACCTGCTGGGGCCGGAGGTTCCTCTCGCCGAGCCGGAGCAGTGACAGTAACTTCAGGCTGTGGCTTCTTTGCTTCAGGTACTTTAAAATATTATCACTGATTTCAGTTTTCTCACCACGATAAAAAATCAACATCAAGATTCTTTTATTATTAGGAATTTAAGAGAAGCAGAAATAAATGAAGAAAGGAACACACAATCAGACTGAACACGAAAGATGCATAAAGAGATCAAACTAAAGAGAGTACATACATACAGAGAGTGGTAAAAATAAGAGGAGGTATTTGCAGATACCTTTGACTGGAGCTGGAGGCGGAGCTTCCTCCTCTCGTCTCCTGTAAACCTCAGGAACTTGAAAGATCAAGAAAGTAAACATTAAAACTACGACGGCGGAGCTCTACTCTCTACTGAACAGAAAGCTCTAGTGAGGTTGAATAAGAGCGTCAGAGAGGTGAGTCGGGGTGAAGAAGAGTCAAATAAGAGGATTAAACATGACAGCAGACGACAGACGAGACCAAAAGATGATTTACAGCAAAAACAGTTCAGGTGCTCAAACACTGAGTTACAGCTGCGAGGAAAGAAAAGCTTCTAAAAGCAGCAGGTTCTGGCGTGTGAAGCGTTTAGGCTAGCAGAGAGGCGGCTTCGTTATGTTACAGCCCACAAGCTCTGTGGAACAGCCAGCTTGCCTTTCTAAAAAGCAATTATACCTTCAGGGATTTCTTCTCTTATCTCGACCCGAGTCCTCTCAATTTTTTCTTCAACAGGTTTTTTCTCTTCTGTTGAGGAAGAAAAGTGAACTTAGAAATAGAAACCTGACTTTGACACGATAGGACTGTCACAGGTCTTTAATCACCTGAGGTTATTCAGGAGGAAATGAAGTGGTGATGAAGTGAAGGTAAAAACACAGCAGGTTAAAGGACAGAAGATGACACAGACAGACAGGGATGACGGGTTTTATATTGATGATGGAGTTATTGTTAACGCCTGTGACAGAGGAGAACCGAACGGATCCCGTCTCTTTGCTGATTATTTAATAATCAAATGTTAGAAAAATATGTGGTCAAACGTTTCATCACTACAAAGTTTAGGTTTGTGCAGAAGAAGAGTACATGAAACAACCATAAGAGTTCTGGGATTAATCTCATCTGACACCAAATTAAATTAAATTAATTTTAGATTTAATCTCAAAATCTTTATGTCAAATTGTAGATTTTAATTTAATTAATTTAATCTGAGAATTTTAAATAAATTTTAACTCTAGGAATTATGAGAATGGCGCCCGAAACCTCGTACATAAAAGAGTCAAACTCGGACTAATCTCAGACCTAGAGTTAAAAAATGGGATTTAAAGGAAATCTCTATCTTCATAAGTCAGAATTGTAGAGGTTTTAACTACTGACTTATTCTGATTTTGAAATTAGATCTATGAATTTTATCTCAGAATTCTCAGACTCCTTTAATCTCAACATTTTTAACTTTCATTTAATTATGCAATTTCACATTCTGACCTTGATCTCATAATTTTGAGATTAATCTCAGACTTTAACTTGATTGTTTTTTCATGAGGCCGTAATCCTCTTCTGTGCATTTGTTTTCTTTTAGTGATATTTGAAAAAACATTTCAGAAAGTGAATGAATTGTTACTAAAGTTAAATTACTGAGTTGTTATTAGAGACGGCTTCACACATCAATGTGGGATTTCAGTTATTAGGACGGACGAGGGTTGAATAAATATCCATCAAAATAATCACACAGTTATTCAAGATGAGATTCAAAGGATGATGATGACGATGGTTGTGGTGATGATGAAGGTTACATTTTAGGATGGTTGTGTTTGAATGCAGAAACTCACATTTCTTCACTCAGTCACCCGAAATAAGAATTAACAGTGTTGGAAGTTAGTGCTAATTTAATAGCTGTGCATTCGTTGAGTACCTTTCACTGTTCTTTCTTCGTAGTGATAAAATTCGGAGGAATCTTTTGATAGAAAAAGACATTAATGAGTGAAACAGGCTGAGTGAGGTCGGTGTTAAAGAGTTAAAGGTAAGTCTGATGGTCGAATCTGATCTCACCTCTAAGAACCATCGAAGCTGCCTCTGAAACATGAATGGATGTGTCTGGGACGTCTAAAGGTTTAGCCACAAACACAACTATTACTACAACGTTGAAATTAATAGAAATATTTTTAAAAAATGTGTGTTGGGACAGTAAAACTTCACATTTCTTCCATTTCACAATGAAAATGTACTAATGTTCACCGATCTGCCGATCTGAGATATTGGTAATGTTTTTCTTGTACTGTGATGTAACAACAGTGAGTCGCAGGATACGCTCTCATTGTGACTTTAATTCAAATTTTTACTGGGTTAGACCTGAAGACATGTTCAGTTTTACTGTCAAGAATTTACGTTTTAAAATACTCACCCTGAGGAACCCTTCCTAACCCAATTTCTGTGAAAGGACAAGGTACAGCATGTTATTATAGCTGCTCACTGAGTTCAACTTTGGTAACTTCAGCTATGTGAAACGTACAGACCTTTGCCTGAAAGGTAAAGCTCAGCTGTGCTCCGAGCTTCTCCCTTCGGCTCCAGACGAGCAATCACAGAGTAAACGCCTGACGGAGGGGAGACATTATTAATGCTGATTATATTACTTAATGTTGGTCAGATAAAGTTCATTTTTGAAGACGCAGAAAGTGGCACAACAAAATCTATCTGCGCATCTTTGTAGTTGGTGAACGGCTGCAGCTGGCGAGCTAACCGCTAACAGGCTAGCCAGCCAGGTACATGCTATCACTATTCTGGCACAACAGCTCTTTATTCTGTACTGGACCGTTTACTCCTCCTGACATTTTGTTCCAACCTGTTCTCATTCTCAAGTCGTCACATATTGACATGTGGTTAAGACCCGTTGGCGTCAGTTTGAAGCGCACTAGGAGATGCCCAGTAGCGTTGTATTTAAACGCTAAAGGTAGGTGTAGAATATTTAACAGAAATGTCAGAGAAAGGAGGCAGTTGGGGTGGGCCAGAAACAGGTTCAAGCGGCTGGTTTTGTTTCTGGTTTGAACCCAGACGTCTTGTTTATCACAGCCATGTGTAACGTCAACTACTGACGTAACTATGCTCGCCGTAGCCTGGTTTATGCGCTCCAAACCAGCTGATTGACACGCACATATTTCGCATTTTCTTTTTTGCGACATTTCAAAAGTCCACTTAAAATTCACATGACAATTACATGGAAACATAGCTACTGTTATTTCAAGCCAAACCATGATTTTTCCCAAACCTAACCAAGTGGTTTTGGTGCCTGAAACTAAGCAAATGTGAAGTTTAACAACTATAACCACTAGTCTAACCACACGTAGCATATTTACTCTCGCTAACTTGACCACGGAGCCCTACACGTCCAAAATGGACGCTAAAGGGTACTCAGAGAAAGCGACGCCAAGAGGTCCTGACCAAGAGTCCATATATGATGAGTTGGGATGAGAATGTGTTGTTTGTCCTCTGAAGGGAAAAACTTTGTTAGCTTGGTCGCTAACAGGATGCTATGTGTCCACAGTGCATACAATTTTTATCAGCATGATGTCCTCGTGTCTCCTGTGAGTAAACCTGCTTCAATACAACTGGAAAGTAACACAAGCTAATGAGCTACGATAGCTTCCTTCATGTTGGTCAGGACGGCTTGTTGTTGGTCAATGGGGTGAATTCATGTGTTCACTAAAGAAGAACTTGATCCAGAAGATTTGAGTGGATTTTCTTCACCCCTGCGACTGAAGTGATTTGAGTTTAGATGCTGGTGTGAACGTCCCTCTACCCAGTTCCATTTAATATGTCCTCATTTAAGGCTGAGAATAGTATTCGGATTAACAAGTTCACTCTTTAGTTTTTTATTGTCGTTCTACATATTTGCAAATTACTAAATGTATTTTCAAATTGTTTTTTGGGGGCTAAAACAATAGCTACTGGTTTTATTTTACTGGTCCTGTCTACTACATCCTACCCACCATTAACACACATCAGCTTTGGCCCAAACCAGCTAAATACTAAAACTGCACGGTTCAATCAAATCATTAACATTTATTTGTCAGTCCTAATATAAGACAAGAAAGCAGACTGATATCATTTCATTCTCTGTCCAATCTAATTTAAAACACTGAGCTTTGGAGGGAAAACGTTTCTCTGGCTTGGTTAGAAATGTCCTTCCAGACTGAAATATGAAGTTTAAATTCAGTTTTAACAAACCTTCATCCTTTGGTGTAACGTTGCGGATGGTCATAAAGTGTCGTCGGCCGTCAGTCCTGAAGTTATATTTTGGGCACTCTTTAAGCTCCCATGAGTCTTTGTACCACGTGACGGTGGCGTTGTCGAAGGACAACTCGCACTCGAAGGTGGCACAGTTGTGTTCACTGACCTCGATGCTTCTGATGCATTTAGTGAACTGAATTTGGTCGGCTAAAACCAGACAATCAGATGTTAGTTATAACATCGACTATTCTGTTCCGGTAGTATTTGATGTTATTACTTATGTGTTAATACTCCTGATTGAGTCTTTGTAGTTTTGACTTAACGTTAAGTTCAACATGAAGAAACAACAAAAAACAGGAAACAGAAATCCACAAAACACAAAAATAAAGTCATCAGATGTGAACCAGCAGGTTCAAAGAGGTCAGTCTGAGTTTTGTTAGACTGGAGTCTTACTGCTTACCTGTCTTACAACCAGCTTCTGATGATAGGATAAAGGAGTAGGACATGAGCACAGACAGGTGTCCATCAGACAGGACAGGAAGTTCAAACACTTAGACTCTTACCTGAGACGGTGAGCTTGGCGTTGGAGATGTGAGGACCACACACCACGCGGTAGTTGCCCTCATCTTTGGCCATGCACTTCTTGATCTTCAGACAATGGCGGTCTCCCACGCTGCTGATCTCGTACTTGTCGCTGTTGTCCAGTTTCTGGGTGCCTTTGTACCAGGTGAGACTGATCTCCGGGTAGTTGATCCGGATCTTGCACTGGAAGGTCGCGCTCTGGTTCTCAGTTGCCGTCTGGTCTCTGATGTCCTCCATCACGGAGACGGGCTGAGGATTGAAAATCAGTTTTAATAATCAACGTAACCTCTGATTGGTCTGTCTTTGAAGACTCATGTTGTGCAGAATTATTATAATTCAGGTTATTTTCAGATTTTAGTGGAGATCACAGTTACCACAGATAAAAACAGCAGCTTGAATTCTAGAGAAATCTGAAGTCTAAATGATGAACAAACAAAAGTAGAATAGCTTTAATGCATGTTGAGGTTTAGGAGGTGAGGGGAGGTTTCTGGATTTATATAAATCTGACAAAAAACACCATTACTGTGCTTTTTCTAAAAACATAATAATAATTTTATAATCATAATATAATTATCAGCTGCCCTCCTCAGATGTTTAAGCGAGGAACTCAAACTGAAACTGTAAAACTGGGGGGCCAAAGGCAGGACTGTGGAGGTGATGCTGCTGTATTTCACATTTGTAACAAAATTGTACAAAATGTCCCCTTGATGAGCTGATTCTGTTCAATACCTACTGCTGATGTTCTGATCTGCAGAATCTGGATTTTGTTCAATCCAGAAGTGTTTTGATGGATTGGCTGTAAATATAAGTATAAATACTGGTTTCAGCTCCAGAGGATTGACAACAAACTCGTGGTCGTGGTGTACGGTTACCTCTGTGCCGACGCGTCCCTCCAGCTGCTGGATGAGTCGGGCCATGTCCTCCTCTTCAACCCGGCCGCCACGCTCCACCTCCTGCAGCGGGAAAGTAAAGTAAACGAGGGCAACAGCATCTTTATCTGCTATCCTTCATCTCTTTCTACACCACTGAAATGAAATGCGACCAAAACATGCTCGTCCACGTTCTCCTACATCTCAGGTCTCTTCACAACCTGTAACCTAAAGGAACAGTTCGACACAATTCGCTTTCCAGTGGAGAGTTGGAGGTTCAGATTGACCCCACTTTCTTGTCTGTGTGGTAAATAAGACGCTACAGAGAGAAGCCTGTGAGCTTAGCTCAGCATGAAGACTGGAAACAAGGGAACAGCTAGCCTGGCTTTGGCCAAAGGTAGCTAAATCTAACCTTTGTAGTTTGTGTTTCGTAGCTGTATCCTCAAAGCATAACTTCAACCCTAACATGAAAACCATCTTCAGGATCAGCTACACATCTGACATTTTCCCTCTCTCACCACTTTTCCAGTTTCCATCTCCTTCTCCTTCTTCAGGAACTCGATGGCCTGCAAGATGGCTCGGTAGTCGTGGATGCCGTGCTCCCGCAGGATCCTCTCATAGTCCTTGGGGTCGTGACCTCTGAGCAACTCTATAATATCGATGTCTCCTTCTTTCTTGGGACTCTTCTGCTTCGATGGAGTCCTGACAAATATCAAACACACAATCAGAGAAGGTTCCTTTTTCAGTTGCCCTGAAAAACCGACTTTGACAAATAAAGAAATCAGCCAGACAGAAAGAAAAAGGTTCAGACAATCAACATATCTTACTTCTTCAGCCTTGTCCTCACGTCTCCAATTCCTTCCGCTTCTTCCTTTTTGGTGACCTCCATCTCTGCGCTGCACTCGATCTCTCCGTGTTTGTTGGTGGCAACACATCTGTAGAGACCAGAGTCCGACTTGGTCACCTCTCTGATCTCCATTTTGGCATCCTCGCCCTTGTGCTCGATGGAAATACGACCACCAGGGACGATCTGCCTCCATTTGCCCTTCATCCACTTCACGCTGGGGATCGGGTCACCCCCGATCTTGGCAATGAAGGTTGCGGTGCCCTCTGCAAAGAAAAACAAAGCGAACATTCAGGGTATGTAGTTTTGCGGTGATCTTATAAATGCTGAACTTTGCTGACCCTTTAGTTCAGACCCTGAATTGTTTCCTTTGTTGTTTTGTTTATGGGACTTGGAGTAATAAATAATTCTTCCAACTTGTGTCTTTGATATAGACACGTCATACCACATCTACACGTGGTGCATACACAATATGCATGTATGGATATATATATATATAAATAAAATAAGCCAAATGTAGTTAAATTTGGGGAGGTTTCCTGATGTTATCATAAGTCTTGTCCAGTCACAAATTTGAGAGCTTTCTGCAGCCATTCTGCAAGAACAAGTGTTACTAGAGACTGGTCATGATTTTGCTAGCTTCCCGTAGCACTGAGTTAATGTTAATGACATTGGCCTCAGGTCCAGATGTCTACTAGTGGTCTACTTACTTTCAGTGACAGAAACGTTTTTGGGTTCCTCGATGAAGAAAAGGTTGTCGAGCCTTTTGACCGGGGCAGCTGCAGCTGGGGCGGCCGCTTCCGTGGGGGCGGCCTTAGCTCCTTTGTCTGGAAAGAGATTGTGAAGGGGAGTGCAGTGTTGCCCAATCAGAGCCTCAAACCTGCTCTATGGTCATTAAAGTAATCACATTTTTTATATGGGCTTTGTTTAATTATCCCAAAACATCACAGCTAAGCACGACACATTTTTTACTTCAAGTCTTTTAGAATGTAACGTTACACCAAATTAAAAAACGCCTAACTTGTTCGGACAGCTGCCAAAAAAATTAAATAAAAAGGGGAAAAAATATTTAATCCCAGTTGTAATAAAATGAAAATAACATTTGAATTTGTCTGTCACATCAGTCATTGCTTCTCCAGCCAATTAAACTCAGTGAACATGAGAGGACAGATAGTAACACCATCACACAGGCTGGTCAGCGAGATGTGAAAATGTAGTTACCAAACATTCCTACCTTTCACAGTGACCCTGGACTTGCAGAAGTCGCTGCCGGTAGCATTACTGGCCTTGCAGAGGTAATCTCCCATGTCGGTTTTTGAGACTGAGCTGATCTCCAGACAGGCCGTCCCGCCAACAAATGTGATTCTGGTGTTTCCGCTGGACTTCAGCTCCCTCCTGTCCTTCATCCACTGGATGGTCAGCGGAGGAGAGCCGTGAACGTGGCATTTGAGACTCAGCTTTTCCCCCTCGTTCACCGTCACCGGCTCCAGAGGGACGTCAAATTTCGGAGCCTGGTCAGTTTCTGAGTGATGGGGAAAAAGCAGGACAACTACAGATACTAGTAACATTATGGGCAGGATATCAGAGCCTCTTCAACAGGCTCTGGCAGAAACCTTTAGAGGGACCCTGACTCTTTGTATTTGAACTGCAAGAACCTGTAATTGTCTTACTCAAACCTGAGATGGACCAAACCATAAAAATAAAATATCATTTAACTTTCAAAGGAACCCACTATAGAGCATAAATACACTCATACCTGAGATGGAGAGAGAAACCCGACACGAAGCTTTTCCGGCTTCGTTGGAGGCCGTGCAGGTGTAGACACCGCTGTCAGAGCGGACAGAGTCTCTGACACACAGCACGGCCACGTTGTTCTTGAAGCTGACATCGTATTTGTCAGAGCCGAAGATTTCGTTGTTGTCCTTGTACCAGGTGACGGTCAGTGGCTGGGAACCAGACACCCGACCCTCAATCTTCACTGTCTTACCCACAGAGTCCATCATGGACTCAGAGGGCTTCCTGGTGAAGTTTGGAGGGACTTTGGACTCTGTCATTGGGGGAGAAAGTGAAGACAGTCAGGCCATATTGTGACATGGGAGAATGGTTCGAAACGTAAATCTAAATCCAATCATCAGACCAGAGAGCGACAGCACGTGAGACAACGTAAAGACAATCTGCAACACAAAGCAAACAAATGCAGAATATCCACCCTATTAACAAATACTTCTCCTGTCTGCTAATCCCTTTTCAAACAAGCAAATATTGATCTGACCCAACAACAACAACATGGAATACATGCTCCTCGTGACCTCTGAGACATAAAATATTTCTCTTCCAACCCCGACAAACACAGGACCAGCCAACCCTAAACACAATGACAACAGAACCCAGGACTTTTTGGACTGTACGAAATTCCTTCTTGTTACCAAACACAGGACCACGGGAAACGATAACTACACCAGAGGTTAGCATTAGTAACCACGTGAGGTTAATGAGATGAGATGTCAGTTAGTGTGTTACCTATTTTAACATGAGCATGACAGGTGTCAGTTCCTTCAGCATTGGAAATTTCGCAAGTGTATTTTCCCGCAGCTGCAGCTCTGTCGCTGTTGAGGACCTCCAGAATGCAGGAGGAGTTAGTGGTTTTGACGTTGTACTGGTAAGAAGCCCAGATCAGCTTGTCGTCCTTCTTCCACATCACGTGGACCCTCTGGCTGCCGGTATAAGTGCACTCCAGACGTAATGGCTTACCCAGCTCATGGCAGACGTCCTCCAGTTTCTTGACAAATCGAACGGGCTCTGAGAGAAGCAGTGTTGAAGTCAGTCATAGAAACCAGCCACTGATCTTTACATGCGGAGGATGAAAGACTATATGTGTATACTGCGCAATGTCTGGATACCTCTGAGATTTGTTCACTTCATGCATGAAACGAATGATGAACTACAAGCGACGTGTTGTTAGTGTTACCTAGTTTGACATAAGCATGGCAGATATCAGAGCCTTCGGCATTGGAAATTTCGCAAGTGTATCTTCCACGAGCCTCTTCTCGGTCACTGTTGAGGACTTCTAGTGTGCAGCTGCAGTCTGTGGTCTTGACATTGTACTGATAAGAGGCCCAGATCAGACTCCCATCTTTCCTCCAGCTAACATTCACTCTTTGGCTACCGGTGAACGCGACTCTAAGCGTCAGCGCTTCTCCGACTCGTAACGTGGTGTTTTCCAGCTTCCTGATAAAGCGAGCAGGTTCTGTGAGAAGCATTAATGATTGTTAGATGCAAAGGTGATGGTCAGAATGCAGAAGCAAACATGGATCCTATATTATACTTCTCTAATGAAATTCAATTAGCTTTAATTTTATTGTGTTGTTGTTAGTTAATTATTATTAAAGCAGCATATAGAGAATATTCTATTGAGAGGCAGAAACTTCTCCTACTCCCGGGCCAGCTTGTGTTCCATTAGCCCTGATGTTGCATAATAGTGTTTCTACCCTTAAGTCAAAAAGCTCATGCTGTGAAATCTTGGTTTATTTTATTAAATGTATTTGTCAGGGTCCATGACAAAGACCGTGACTCTCAAGCAAAGAGAGCAAATGCTCCATTCCAGATGAATTAACAAATGTTTGATGTTCAGTGTTAGTGAATGAGATGCCAGAATGCTGTGGTGAGTCGTGGAGGTTATACCTTTCTTAGAGGTTTTACAAATGACATGAGCGTCACACATGGCAGAACCTTCTGCGTTAGAAACTTGACAACAGTAGATTCCAGCAGCTTCTTCTCTGTCACTATTGAGGATTTCCAAAACACACGAGGAATTGGTGGTCTTGACGTTGTATTTGTACGAAGCCCAGATCGGCTTGCCGTCCTTCATCCAGCTCACGTGAACTTGCTTACTGCCAGTGAATGTGCACGTCAGACTCAACGGGTCACCCAGACTGTACGATGTGTCTTCAAGCTTTTTCACAAAGTGCACAGGTTCTGAGAGAGGCAACATCGGTGTTAGTCATGTCATGTAGCCTGAACTGTTAGAAAATCAGTATGTTAGGAGGAAGTTACCTAGTCTGACATTAGCGTGACAGATAGCAGAGCTACTAGCATTGGAAATTTCACAGGAATATCTCCCAGCAGCCTCTTCTCTGTCACTGTTGAGAATCTCCAAGACACAGGAGTTGTCTGTAGTCTTGACGTTGTACTTGTAGGAAGCCCAGATTGGCTTGCCGTCTTTTGTCCAGCTCACGTGCACGTGCTGGCTGCCCGTGTACATGACCTGAAGCCTCAGAGGCTGGCCAACCCTGAAGGTCATATCCTCCAGCTTTTTCACAAAGCGCACAGGTTCTAAGAGAAGCAAGGATGTTAGCTGTTAGTTGCCTGCTAACTATTGAGAAGGATGATGAGATTATATGAAACAGAGTTAGCATGTTACCTATAAGTGCGATAAATAAATAAAATAAGGCTCATTGTTTTCAGATTTTTATCATCGATTTGATCAGCACTGTCTGGTTTGACAGTTTGACCTAAGTTTCTTGAGCCTGGCGCTTTGGATGTACAGTAAGACCTGGATAGGGCGCCGTAACTCAGCCTTGCAGTAGCCACTTGCGCTATAGCAATGGAACATTCCCCTGCAGCTAAAAAAGCATTTTCCCCGTAGGCCACCTTTATAAAAGAGACATCTGCACTGCAGTTCAAACACCTCGAACTGCAAAAAGATTAATTGTCACGACTCTTTCTATTAGGAATTTTTGATCCATGGAGGTTATATATTTGTAAAACTTTTCTCTAACACATAAAAGCCATTTAAAAATCTTTCATATCATCACAGTGTAAAGTCTATGGGCCGAGCAAGAACTCAAATTCATTGGGCCACATACTCCTGAAGTAAACCTCAATCCACTTTGGGTGGAAATCTGACTGAATGAGAGGGGGCCAGACGAATCTGCCAGAGGAAATGAAAAGTGAGCTTGGCAGATTCTTCTGGTTCCCATTTTTAAAAACAACAATGTTTGAAACAATAAAAACCAAAACAAATGAGCCCTTACTATGACCCTTCATGTTTAATGTTTTACCTAGTTTGACCTGTGCATAGCAGATAGCCGTGTTCTCAGAGTTAGAAATTTCACAAGAGTATCTCCCTGCTGCTTCTAACCGGTCACTGTTGAGGACCTCCAACACACAGGAATTATCTGTGGTCTTGACGTTGTACTTGTAGGAGGCCCAGACTGGTTTGTTGTCCTTTCTCCAGCTCACATAGACCTTGGGGCTGGCACTGTAAGCGCAGTATAGCGACAGCGGCTGGCCGAGTCTGAAAGTGGTGTCTTCCAGCTCTTTTAGAAAGCGCACAGGTTCTACGGGAGGTAATGGTGATGTTAGTTGCATGTTTTTTATGTTACAGCAAGCAAATGCATGTTTATTTGAAAGGAGTGGTCTAGAATTTAAGATTTGTGACATTTACACATTCAAATGTACTAAAATCTTTATGGTAATGAGGTGCATTTGTTAATGGCTTTACCTATCTTAACCATAGCATGGCAGATATCAGTGCCCTCTGAATTCAAAATCTCGCATGAGTATTTCCCGACAGCTTCCCGACTGTCGCTGTTGAGAACATCCAGAGTGCTGGAGAAGTTGGTAGTTTTAACGTTGTATTTGTATGACGCCCAGATGGGTTTGCCATCCTTCATCCAGCTGACATAAATCCTCTGGCTGCCGGTAAATGTGCACTCCAGCGTCAGAGGATGGCCGATTTTATAGAAGTTGTTTCTCAGTTTTCTCACGAAGCGAACTGGTTCTAAGAAATCAATTAGCAATGGTGGGGTTAGATGATATAAGCAATAGAATTTAACGTTTTAAACCAGCTCCTTCCATGATATTTTATGAAAATGCAAATGATTCAATTGATTTTTAAATCCCTGAGTTGTTAAGGTGGTTTACCTAGTTTGACATTAGCATGGCAGATATCGATTCCTTCAGCATTAGAAATTTCACACGTGTATCTTCCGATGGCCTCTTGTCTGTCACTGTTGAGGACTTCCAAGATGCAGGTGTCATTGGTGGTCTTGACGTTGTACTTATACGATGCCCAGATTAGTTTGCTGTCCTTCTTCCAGGTCACGCATATTCTCTGGCTTCCGGTGTACGTGCACTTGAGGGTCAAAGGTTCACCGAGTCTGAAATAAGTGTCTTCCAGCTTTTTCACGAAGCGAGCCGGTTCTGAGAGGAGTAATGGTTGGATTAGTTTCATCTAGCCTACATTATGTTATGCTAGCAGGCAGGCAATGGAGATCTTGTTAACACAGTTAGTTGATGAATTGAAAGCAGATGGTGTGTCAAGCGTTTGTGAGTTTACCTAGGCTGACACGAGCGTGACAGACATCGGTTCCAGCTGCATTGGAAATTTCGCAAGTATATGTTCCAGCTGCCTCAGGCCTGTCGCTGTTGAGGACCTCCAGAACGCAGGTTGAATCAGTAGTTCTGACATTATACTGATAAGAGGCCCAAATCAGCTTGCCATCCTTTTTCCATGTGACATAGACCCTCTGGGTTCCGGTGTATGCGCAGACTAGTTTCAGTGGCTGACCAACTATGAAAGTAGTGTCCTCCAGCTTCTTGATAAAGCGCACAGGTTCTGAGAGAAGCAATGCTGATGTTAAAATTGTGCCCATTGTATTGTTGCCATCCATTTCTATGCGAAATATTTTTGTGCAATCAAAAGAAACTGAGTCTGAATCACTGTCTTTACAAGGTGGGAAAACTCTAAGAAGAGGATCCATTAACAGACACAACTGGCTGATTTCATAAGTCTTATTGTCATTGAACAAATCAATTAAACTAAACATGTCCTTAAAACCTGATGCACAATCATAGCACGATTCACTAACATACAAACAAGAAGTATGGAAAACAAGCATCACCTTTCACCATCACATTACAGCTGGCAGAGGCTGAACCGACCCGGTTCTCTGCTTTGCAGATGTATTCACTGGTATCGAACTTGGTTGTTTGGATCAGTTTCAAAGTGGCGACACCGTTTGTGAAGTCCATTGAGCAAGTGTTGGACTTGCGCAGCTTTCCGTCAGCTTTAAACCAAGCTACGGAGATGTCAGGAGTTCCCGCAATACGGCATTTCAGTGTAACCACATCGCCCACAGTTACCTCCACTGGCTCCATCTTTTCAACAAAGTATGGTCGTTCTAAAGTGAAAGATGATGATGATGATGATGATTTAGTATAACTACAGATGTTGAGTTGTGTTAATGAATGAATGGCTGGATAAATAAATGAATGATCATGAATTATTACAACTGAAACTACAAAACTGAGCAAATTTTACCTAGAATTGACACTTGTGCTTCGCATCTGTCACTTCCGACTCCGTTATCTACTTCGCAAGAGTATCTACCGGCTGCCTCCATCCTGTCAGCGTTAAGAACTTCCAGGATGCCGGAGGTGTCTGTGGTGATTGTATTGTACTGATATGAGGCCCAGATGAGTTTACCATCCTTCTTCCAGGTCACATTTACTCTGGGGGTTCCAGCGAATGTGACCTCGAGCCTCAGGGGCTTGCCCTTTTCAGAGGAAATGTCCCTCAGCTTCTTCACAAAGTGCACTGGTTCTGAGAGAGGCAATTCCATGATCAGTTAAATATAATTCACTTTAGCAGTGCATAGATAGTTAAAAAAAGATATCTATCATGCTAACAAACCTTTCACAAACAGGTAAACTGGACAGCTTTCCTTCCCTGCTTCGTTAATGATCTGGCAGGTGTATTCTCCTGCTTGGACTTTTTCTACTTTGTGAAGCACCAAAGTGGCAACATCGTCCTTCAGCACGATCTCGCAGCCCCTTCCATGCTGCATTTCCTTGGCTCCCCTGAACCACTTGACTTTCAGTGGGAAACTGCCTTTCACTTTAGCCGAGAAAGACACATTTTTGCCGGGCAATGTTTCCTTTGCTTCAGGTGTTTCCACAAAAGATGGAGGCTCTGGATTCAAATAAAAAAGATGTGTTGCAAGGTAATTGGGCCATAATTAACTTTCTGTAATTAGCCTGATCCGTGCTAAGAAACATCCTCCAAATGTTCTGTTTTGGACTTCACATCAACTGACCTGTCACATTCATTGAAGCACTCGTCTCACTGGCTCCGGCAGTGTTTACAGCTTTACATGTGTACTTTCCAGAATCTGACATCCTGATTGTTGGAACTCTCAGTTTGCAGTTATTATCGGTGCAGCTAATATCATAATTTGGCCCACTCTTGATCTCTTGGCCGTTGTGGAACCAGGAAGTTGTTAAAGGAGCAGAGCCAGTGACCTTACACTCCATCTCACCTGGCTTACCCACAAGAAGATGGGTGTCCCTCAGCTTCCTTATGAAACTCGGTGGAATCAACTTATCTATTGTCAAAAAAACAACAAGTTTTAAAGCACTGCTAACTAAAAGGACTTCATTAGACGATAAGAAAGTTTGTGAAAGGGCATGTAAACGATGGCCACCAACCTGAGACAGACAGCTTAATTTTGCAAGAGGCTGTGCCAACATGGTTTGTAACCTCTAGCTTGTATTCTCCAGCATCTGCTTTATCAGCAGAACGAATCTTCAGGGCAGCAACCTTCTTTGAGAAGGACATCTGATACTTGGCACCAGCAGAGAGCACTTGGTTATCCTTGAACCACTTAGTTTTCAGTTCTGCCGAGCCAGATACTGTGACTTCAAGAGCTGTATTTTCTCCTGACTTCACGTTTAAGGACTCTGGGTTATCCACAATACCAGCGGGTTCTAGAAATTAGGGAAGAAGATATTAAGCTAAACAAATCCTTACACCGCCACTGTTGGTAATGTAATAAAGTCTGGAGTTACAAACCTAGAACGGTCACTTGGGAGACAGACTCCACTACTCCAGAGTCATTCCTCAGCTGGCAGGTGTATTTACCAGGTGTGGTCAAGTCAGCTTTGGGTACTACAAGGGTGGCCACATTATTCTCAAAGGTAATCTTCCTATTGTCACCATCTCGGAGAATGTGATCTTTGTCCTGAACCCAGGACACAGTCAAAGGTTCAGAGCCTTTCACTGTAGCTGTCATTGTCAGCTGCTCACCGACTCTCACCGACTGATCGACCAGTTTCTTGGCAAACGCTGGTTGTTCTGAATAGTGATGGAAAGATCACAGGTGATTAGAGGTAATCGCACTAAGACTAAGCTCTCAGGAAACGGCCACTGATTCTGTACTAACCTTTTAGGCTAATGGTAGTACGGCAGAATTCAGTTCCAACATTGTTTGACACTTTGCACTCGTAAAGACCAGCATCCTCTTCCTCCAGTTTCATAATGTGAATCGCAGCAGAGCTTCCCTCACTGACCATCTTATACTTCCTGCTCTCCTTCAGTGGCCTTTTGTCTTTGTACCAGTTGACCTGGAAAGGTGGAGTACCATACACCTCGCAGTGTAGGCTGGCATCTTTTCCTTTAATGCCCTTTACTGGGTTTGGAGTTTTAATAAAGGATGGGGACTCTGGAAAATATATCGAGATGTGTTAACAGAAGTAACATTCGTGGACAAGCAAGTCTTTACTACAAGCTGTTGAGCTTGTTGAGGGTCATGCTTAAGTTCAGTCCATGCTCGCAGGACTCGCTGATGTTCATGCTACAATTACGATGATTATGATACGATGATATAAGTGTAGGTCATATCATGTTTAGATAAGAGAAATTAACATGGAACAGGTATGTCAAGGGTATACTGTACGTCAGTGGTCGGCAAACTGGTTCTGAAGGACATTGAAAAGAGACTTTGCTTTGCTTGACGCACCTCTGAGCCGTCGGTAAACCTGTGATTGGATTCCCCTGAATTTCTTCAGGGAAATAAAAATAAGCTTCCAAAGGTTTATGAATGCGGATCAAACGCCGGGACGCGCACACACTGCAGCACATGCTTTATTGTCACCATGTGCAAAAGTGTCTTTCATGCAACCCTCCCAACGGCTTGAAACGGTTTGAAAAAAAATTTGGCCAGATGCCAGACTTATTTGCCGACCCCTGCTGTAAGCCATTATATTCAAAATAGGGGAAAACTTGTCTAGGTAATAGGTAGCACTCAGGCTCATGCTATCTGACACACGACAGGCCCAAGTCAGATTTTCAGCTGAAACAGAAGGTGGGGCTGTTGGATTCCATGCTGAAGACCGGGTTCCAAAAGCACTCATAAAAAGGTCAAATGAAATATCAAAATCTCCATCATAGGGGATTTTCATTCCTTCTTTCTCATGCGTAGATATCCGTTCAATAGCTGACCTTGAACTGTGAGAACAGTGCTGCAGCTTGCACTGCCAGCATCGTTATGAGCCTCACAGGTGTAGACTCCTTTATCCTCAAACTTTGTGGTGCGCAGCTGGAGGTATGCAGTTGAGTCAACAAACATTATTTTATAGTTGCCTCCGTCGGTTATCTTTTGGTCATTTTTGTACCAGCACATTTTCAGGGATGGTGCGCTGCTGAATTTGCATTCAAAACGTTGTCCCTCACACAGCTTCACAAAGGTAGTAGAAGGAAGTTTCAGGACAAACTGAGGAGGTTCTGCAAAGTCAAAAAAGACCAAGTTACCATCATCAGCATAAAGTAACACTTAAGCATCAGTGTGATGTATGGAGGATGCAGACAGGTGACTGAATGGCTGGTAACTCTGACGACATTATAGATATTCCTGGTCAGAAAACAAAAGGTAAGGTGGAGAAAATGAAGAAAGAGGAGCTGTGAAAATGGAGAAAAAAGATGGAGTTAATTGAGTGGCGATGATGGTGGACAAAAAAAAGAGGAGTCCAACCTTTCACCAACAACTCTGCTGCACTTTTCACTGTGCCTGCTTCGTTGCTAACTTGGCAAGAATAGATCCCACATTGCAGAGTCCCGACTGAGCAGAGCTCTACAGAGGAAGAATATTTCTCCAGTCTAATCGTACATGATGGCCCAGTGATGAGTTCGATATGATCCTTGAACCATTTCACCATAAATGGAGGCGTTCCTTCAAAGACACTTGTGAAGAGGACAGTAGACTTTGGAATAACAGCCTGAGATTCAGGCTCAGCTACAAATCTTGGTGGCACTAAAACCCATACAGAACAATGATTACGATACATGACTAACAGCGTTTGAGTTTAATATTTTATAAAGTTGACTGTTGAAAGCTAACCTTTAGCTGTAAGAACTCCACTGCACACACAGCTGCCTGCTTTGTTGGTAACTTTGCAGGAATATTCTCCTGTATCAGCACTCTCAGTCAGTTTCAACTCCAGCGAGACGTTATTTTCAATGTGCAGAAGTTTATATTTGGAGCTCTTGATGATCTTTTGTTTCCCTTTACTCCATTCAACTGATATTGGAAGAGAACCGGCCACTTTGCACTCCATGGTGACCAGTGAACCCATAATTGCTTGAATATTTGTTAATTTCCTAATGAACGTCGGAGGAATTACTTCTTCTGTTTGAAATGATATTAAAAGATAATTAGAGTCAAGGAAAATATGCAATTTTCCAACTTAAAATATTTGTTCTATCAAGGGTTGAAGAGTAATTTGCAAACCTAAAACAACCAGCGTGACTTTACAGCTGCAAGTCCCAACACAGTTTGTGGCTTCAAACAGGTACTCTCCCCTGTCTTCCAGCTGAGAGGACTGTATGTTAAGACTGCTCAGGTTGTTCTCGTAGGAGAGACAATGTTTTCTGCTTGACTGGAGCTCTTTGCCATCTTTGGTCCATCTTACATTGATCTGAGAAGTTCCAGCTACCCTGCACTCAAGACTAACCGGATCTCCACGAGTCACTTTGACTACCTCTGGCTTCTCTTGGATCGTAGGTGGTTCTACAACACCAAGAAAAAGAGGTAAGTGCACTTGTTATTGCTGTTAGAGCTAGCTAGAATGTTAGGCAGAAGAATCGAGCATGAAGCTGAGGTACCTTGCACTACCAGAGTGGCAAAGCACTTCTCTTGCCCGGCTTCGTTAACGACCTGGCAGGTGTATTTCCCACTGTGAGTTGACTCACAGACGGGAATCCTGAGAGTGGCCTCTTTGTTCTCAAACGTTCTCTCGATCTTTGTACCCTCTGATATCCAGTTATCGTCTTTTTGCCATTGCACAGAGAGAGGCATAGAACCTTCCACGGTGCAGTGAAATGCAGCGGCATCTTTCAGAATAGCGGAGGCATTTTCTATCTTCTTGACAAAAGTTGGAGGGACTAATACAAAGAAAATACGTCATTGTAACACCAGCAAGTGTGCAGTGCTACATGCCTAACGTATGTCAGTGTGATGTACAATTATCAGTAAAACCAACCTTTCAGAGACAAAGCTGCAAAGACAGAGCAACTCCCAACCTCACTGGCTACCACGCACCGATAAGTACCAACATCTTCCACTTTACAGTCCTGGATTTTCAAGCTCACATTGTCACTATCAATGATAACATACTTCTGGCTGGATTTGATTGGCTTTTTATCTTTGAACCATGACACTTTAAACGGAGCACTTCCGGCCACTTTGCAAGTAAACACAGCTGTGGAACCTTTAACAACTTCAAGAGACGTCAGCTCTTCAACAAACGACGGAGGTTCTGAAATAACAAAGCACATCAAACTGAAGCCACCTTTGATTTGTATAAGTGATCAGTCACATCTTGAAGATAACACAGATAAGGTGTAAATGTGTAAAAGAAAACCAACCTTTTACTTCAAGCTCAAAAGTGCAACTCTCTGAGCCTGCTTCGTTGCGTGCTTCACAGAAGTATTTCCCGCTGTCATTTTCACTAACTTGACGAATCTCTAAGGTGGCTACAGATTTGAAAAACGACATCTTGTGTTTGACACTTTGGTGAATCTCTGCTCCATCTCTGAACCAATGCACAGAGATCTCTGGAGTACCAGCAACTTTGCACTCAAACACCTTACTGTCTCCTACTCGCACAACTGACATGAATTCAGGTTTTTCAATGAAAAAGGCGGGTTCTGAAAATAATACACATAGAAGTTACTTAAGTATTGTTATCACTTCAAAGTAAAGTAAACTGATAAAGATGAGAGACCAATATTAACCTTTTACAAAGAGCGTTGCCTGGCATGAACTGGAGCCCACATCATTCTGTATTTCACACACATAGTCACCAGAATCAGAAGCTTTGACATAGAACAGCTCCAGTGAGCTGAAGCTCTTGTCTTTAATCACACAGCAGTCGGCACTGGATAAAATCTCTTTCTTGTTTGTAAACCATTTGATGGTCAGCGGTGGCGTGCCAGAGATACGAACATTAATCTTAACCTTTGAGCCAGGCAAAACACTCATGGATTCAGGCTTTTCAAGAATGCACGGTGGTTCTGTTGGTGGACAAAAACCAACACTTCTATAATAACATATTTATACCATATACAATGTGATTATGCCCTAAAATGCAAGAAAGTATTGATGGTGAAATTAGTTCTAACCTTTAACAAACAAAATCCCTGAGCACTGGATGGATCCTGCCTTGTTTGTAGCCATGCAGGTGTAGCTGCCGCTGTCTTTACTGTCAAGATGATTGATTTCCAGAAAAGCAACATTTTCAAAAAATGTGGATTTGTGTTTCTCATCAGTCTGGATCTCTTTCTCATCTTTGTACCACTGTATCACCATCGGCAGGGAGCCGGATACAAGACACTCCAGATGAGCAAACGATCCTCTGATACCTTCTGTCTCCTCCAGTTCTCTTGTGAAAGACGGTTTAATAATCTGATCTATTATGTACACAGTGCAAAAACAATGTTGAGTTGGTTGTATTAATGAAATAGACAAGAAAATATCATTAGACATAAAACTTAGGGGTTAACTGACCTAAGACAGTAATGGCTGCCACACAAGAATTGTACCCGGCATAGTTTGAAACCTCAAAGGTGTATTCACCACTATCACTTTTCTCTGTTGTAATAATGGTGAGCACAGAGCTGGATTCTGTGCGCTGGATTTTGTATCTCTGGCCTGAGGTCAGCTCCTTTCCCGCCTTCATCCATCTGGACTTGAGCGGTTTGGTGCCTGAGAATCTGCATTCAAGCCTGGCCGGGTCACCCTGGGTTACACTGATGGACTTTGCATGTTCTGAAATACTTGCTGTTTCTGAGATAACAAAACGATCCCAAACTGAGTTAGCTGCTACGGCTTACAGGTATTAATGCGACAGATGAAACATCAAGCTTGACATTGACAAAAGCTACAGCAGTTAAGACAAGCAAGAGTCACAAACATCCTACAAACCTGTCACTGTGAGCACAGCGGCACATCTGTGAGTTCCCGCTTTGTTCTGTGCCTGACAGACATATTTCCCGCCGTGTGCTAACTGAGCATTTTTCAAATTCAACACGGCACTTTTGGTTTCATAGGACATCTGAAAATGCTCATCTTCTTTGAGCTCATGATCATCCTTGATCCAGGAGAATGTCATGGGAAGTGATCCAGACAACATGCACTTCATAGAGATCTCAGAGCCCACCATGCAGGACTTATCCTCTAGTCTCTGAACAAATGATGGTGGTTCTAGTGAGAGAAGGCCACAAAAATCAGACTGCAGGCTGCAGGAGGATTTACACAAACACAGATGACATTGATCCACATTGCAAATCTTTATCCCCCAGCTCTCACCTTCTATGGGCTGCATTGATTGGAAAACCAACAACAATGTATTACTAAGCTTGTAAAGAGATACACTATTTACTAGCAAAATACTCTTTGTATAAAATGCCACGGTATCACACAGCAATCTGCGCTGTTCACTGCCAGAAGGTCTCCAAAATGCCTAAAATGTAATTGCTGAAATTTGGATAAAAACAAAATTCACAGGCAATTGGGCAACATGCAGAAAGATGACCTTGGACGACAGTTTTTGACTTTGACTAACCTTTCAGTGAAATCTGGCAAGAGCAACATGTCTCCCCAACATCATTTGCAACAGTGCACCGGTATGTCCCAGCATCTCCGCTCTCACAGTCTGAGATCTGAAGAGTGACGGTGTTGTTTTCAACACTGATCTTACGCCTGTGGTCGTTTCTGATCAGCTTATCATTGAAGAAGCAACTTATTTCAAATGGAGGGGAGCCCGAAATGGTTCCTTCCAAGATAATGTTGGATCCCTTTACAAGCTGAGCTGATTCAAAAGGCCTCACAAACACCGGAGGCTCTATAAACAAAGATAACACAAGTTATATCTTAAGGCAATAGAGGGCTGAAGAGTAAATTCCCGTCTCATGAAGCCGGTCTGGTCCACAGAATTCATTTGGCTGTTCACAACCTCCACATTACAAACTCCTAAGTCAATGCACAAATGAAGATGCATCAATTCTTAGCAATCTGCCGGGAAACAAACTTTAGTGTAGCCACCGAAACATGTTCTTGGAGGAGTTAAAAACACAGATTTTCCTGACTAATGGTTAACCTCTGGGACTGAGAACGCTTGTGACGTGAACACCATCTCACCACTGAAAGAGTTAGTATAAAAGTAGCTTCCAAATGATTTAGTAGAAGCTGATTGAGATGCTTTCTAAACATCCTTGTTTGATTTCTTCACTGTTTCAAACTCTTGACAAAAGACGGCTTGCTCGACATGCAGATCCGCAAGTCAGTTCATCTGCGAGCCTCTGTGACCCATGGTTATTCAGAACACCCTTCTCTGTCAATGTCCGGGCTGACGGGTCAGGTTTAGGAACTAGTAGGATTGGTGGCTGAATGTAGGCAGCATTAAAAATATTAAAGAACAATGTGGACCAGACTCCATGGCAACAGTCTAAAGTTTGTCTATGAAAAACTGGGTAAACTCTGTGACGAAAGATACTAAAGACTGAACCAACCTTTCACTGACACTGAGCTGCTGCACTGGTCTCTGCCGGCCTCGCTGGACGCTATACAGACATACTCTCCACTGTCCTCTACAGAGCAGTTCTCTTTCTCCAGAGTTGCTATTGAGGTGTCGAAGGACATTGTGTATCTGTGCTCTAAAGCAATTTCTGAGCCATTTTTAAACCATGTGATGCTAATAACAGGGGTGCCCTGCACTTTGCAGGACAACTTCAGAGGTTCTCCAGTTTTCAGCAGCTGGTAAGGCTCAAGCTTCATTGTAAATGTTGGAGCTTCTGCAAATTAACAGTAACAATAAAAACAAGAGGTTCAGTAAAGAAAATAAAAGTTCAGTGAATCACTTTTTTAAGAGAAAGAACGAAGCTGCACCTTTTACAAAGAGCACTGATGTGCAATCCACCTTCCCAGCATCATTGGATACTTGGCATGTGTATTTAGCAGAATCACTGGGTTTCACAGACTGAAGCTCGAGGGAGCTTGAAGAGGCGTCTTTCTTTATGAAATACTTCCCCCCAGTGAAAATCTCTTTCTCCTCTCTGAACCATTTAACGACAAGAGGAGCTGATCCTGTAAAGGCTGATTTTAAGACAACATTCGATCCTGGTGAAGCATCCTGGGATTCAGGTTTCACCGTGAAGGCTGGAGGTTCTGGAGTTATTTGGAAAGAAAAGAGCATACATGTTCAAAGCCTATCCTATCAACAACTTCCTATCATTTGCAAAGTCTGCCAAATTCCTGTTTAAGGCAAAGTAATTCATAATAAATAACTCCGCTGACCTTTGACGGACAAAGTACCGCTGGTCTCTTTTTCCCCAGCATCATTAGAGGCTCGGCATGTATAAACTCCCCCATCACTTTGCTCCAGGCTGGTTATCGTCACAGAGGCTGTACTCTCACTGAAATCAAGCTTATATTTGTGATCACTGTGGATTTCTTTATCATCTTTGTACCAAGAAACAGCCATCGGCTGAGATCCAGCAACTCTGCATTCCAATGTAACATGACTACCAATACTCCCATCCACTTTCTTTAGGGTTTTGGTGAAGGATGGTGGAACTGCACGATCTGTGTAAGGACATATGTCAAACATATAACTGTCATTAAGGGCCAAATCTCAAAACTGTTATTAACGATGTCTTCTTGGCTGAAACTAACCTATTACAGTGACTGAGCAGGTGCACTGGTCTTTCCCGACTTTATTGGACAACTCCATCTTGTACTCTGAAGTGTCTCCTTTATCTGCTGTGAGAATCTTTAAGATGGCAGTGTTCTTCTTCACCATCAGTTTATATTTACGGCCACTGATCATCTCTTTGTCGTCTTTAAACCATTTCACTTTGAGGTCTGGGCTTCCAGAAATTGTGCACTCCAATGTGGCCGACTCCCCTGCAGTCACACTGATGGACGCGGCTTTCTCTAAGATCCTAGCAGGTTCTATGATACAACAGGAGTTTTAGACTTCATAAGAAATTACATCTTAACTTTGGAAATATGTGTAATAAATAGCAATGTGTTCTAACCTTGAACTGATAGGACAGCTTCACATTTCTGCTGTCCCGCCTCATTTTCAGCAAGACAAGTGTACTTGCCGCCTTGTTTTATCTCAACAGATGAGAAGGAAATGCTGGCAATGTTGTTCTCAAATGTCATTTTGACATTTGGATCGTCATCTCTTACTAGCTCAGAGTCTTTCAACCATTTGATTGTGATGGGAGCTGAGCCTTTTACGGTTCCCTGTAGCTTCACTGTATTTCCCAACACTGCTGTAGCACTCTCAATCCTCTTAGAGAACATAGGTGGCTCTGAAATAACAGTATTGGTGATACAAATATAAACAACAGCCGGGACTACAAACATTATAATAAAAGTTTTCTAAGTCTGGCCTTTGTTTCCGTCACTAACCTTTCTGTTTAGTCACTGACTTGGAGGTTACTGACCCAACCTCATTTGACACGACACATTCGTATTCACCAGCGTCAGCGCTCTCAAATGAGTGGATCTCCAGAGAGGTCAGGGATCCCTGTGACACTATTCTGTGCTTCTTATCTGCAGACAGGCGTTTCTTATTCTTTTTCCAGGCCACCTCAAAAGGTGGAGAGCCTGCGATCTCACACTCCAGTATGGCTACAGATCCTCTGACCGCCTCTACAGAAAGTAACTCCTTTCTGAAAGACGGCGGTTCTACAGGAGAACATATAGCTCAGTTAGACGAGTTCTAGATCTGACTGAAAATTTGGTTCTGTAATAAAATTGCCTACACACCTTTCACTGTTACTTTAGTGCTGCAGCTTTCACACCCAGACTCATTAAGAACCTCACAGGTGTAGTTTCCACTGTCACTCAACATGACATCTTGTATCACAAGAGTGCTGACACCATCCTTCAGACTGATGTCATATCTGCCACCAGCAGACAGCTCGCTGTTATTAAAGAACCAGGTGGTGTGAAGCTCAGGCGATCCTTTGACGGTGCACAGCAGCCGAGCAGTACTGCTTTGCTTCCAAACTGTGGTTGCTTCCAGCCTCTTTACAAAGACTGGCGGCTCTGGAGAGGTGTGGGGTTAAAAAGAGCCATCATGAAGTCATTTAAAAATAACAACCCAGCATTGAAAGAAAGGAGATTTAAGACTTGAAAAAGTCTTAAAGAGTTGCACTTGTACCATCTAAGCTGAACACCACAGAAAGAAAATGTTAATTTTCATGCCATGAAAGTTAACTAGACAGTTCTTACCTTGTACCTTCACCGAACTGGAGCAAGTTGCACTCCCAGCTTCATTTGCCGCCGTACACACATAATTTCCACAATCTTTCAGTGTGGTCTTTAGGATATCAAGAGTAGCTGTCTTATCCTCAAACGACAGTTTACAGTCTGGAGACTGATGGACCTTTCTACCATCTCTGGTCCAGGTGACAGTTACTCCAGTGTCCTCATCCACTTGACACTCCAGGTGCAGAGGAGCTCCCACCACACCAGCGACCAGCCCCAGGGCCTTTATAAAGTTGGGCTTATCAATAACACGCAGCTCCATGCTGCACTCAGCCGTCCCAACATTATTAGACACCTTGCACACATAAAGGCCCCGGTCAGCTGGCTCAAGCTTGGTAATCTCAAGAGTGTGCTTATTATTTTCACAAGAGGTTTGGTAGTGTGCAGGCACTTTGGGCAAGGCCTGGTTGTCTTTGAGCCATTGCACATTCAGTGGTGCAGATCCTGCTATTACACACTGAATAATTGCCCTCTTTCCAACATACATAGTCTGATGGTCAGGTTTAGTTATAAAGGTAGGAGGGAATTGTTCTATAAGAGTTAAGGAGAAGAAAAACACATTAGTTGTGATATGTCTTGTTGATTTACCTTTAAACCTGCCAATTAGACAACAAGAAACCAGCAGACCAAGAAAGCTCAAAAAACAAAACGCAAAGTGCCAATGTTCATCAACAGAAGACCAGCGAACAACAGCAAGATGACATCTTGCAGAAAAAAGTTTCATTCAACACCAATAACAGCTCCAAACTCAACCAGCGAAGAAGAATGAAACATGCATCGCTCTGACCTGTCACGCTGAGAGAGGCGGAGCATTCGTCACTGCCGTGCTGATTGGATGCCCGGCAGGTGTATTCACCGCTATCATCCTTGGTTGGGCTCAGAAGCTCCAGACTGGAACGGCTGAAGCGACTGATAATCCTGCACTTATCACTCTCTTTAATGGGGTGTCCATCTTTGGACCACTTGAAGCTCACGTTTGGAGCATCCTCAGTTTCACATTCAAACTTGGCAATGTTGCCGATGTTGATCTCCACAGGGACAATTTTGTGCCTGAACACAGGTTTCACTGCATTTTTGGAGAGAAAGAAAGATAAAGTAAATAAACCAAAGTAGCTGAAATGGAAGCCAAAAGGAATGTTGGTGATGAAAGGTGGTGATGTAGTGAGCCTAGGATGGAAAGTGACACACAAAGTTATCCTGTAGTGACTGTGGAGAAGAAAAATGGTATTAGGTTTGGGTCGACGTGACTGTGGGGGAGGAAAGGTATGACATTTGGGTTGAACAAAAGGAGAGAATGCATGCAAAGAAGAATGGACCAGGAATGAGGGCTGATGGATGTTTAAAGAAACGGAGTCAAAGGTGATTCCTTGGAAGGACAGAGGAATGGATATGGAGGTGATATGCATGTGGAGGAATGAATGAACTGAAGGAGAAGTGAGGATGTGACTGCTCTCGAAAACCTCAAACCTTTAAATTTAGTTTTGCTGGGAACATACCCACAAGACACCTTGTGTTTTCAGTTTAGTCTTTTAAATAATTTCATGGGCATTCAAATAAACACTCCCAATTTCACATAAAGTTAGAGGTATGGTTGAGGTTTACAGAAAACAGAATTGGAAATTCACCAATGTGTGAAGTTAGTTGATGATGATATCAAAGAATTGCCCATCATCAAACCTCTTGAGACCACAGTGAGTCTTGAAGATGTTGTAGTCTTGCCAGCTTCACTCTCAGCCTCACAGACATACTGTCCTTGATGCTTCTCCTTGACAACTTTGTCGATAACTAGTGTGTATGTGTTGTGGTCTTTAGAACACTTGAACTCTTTGCCAGATTTCACCAATTGGCCATTGAAAAACCAGTTTACCTTGCTGACGTACTTTATAGTTGCAGTAAAAACGGCCATACCATTTTCCTCAGCGCAAACGTCTTCCAGAGAATCAATGACAACAGGATAATCCACCAGAGTGTCAGAGGACTCGCTGATCATAACTGCCTCTGAAAGATACTCCTCTCTGGTGAATTCAGCAGTGGTGGCCTCTGACCTGACTGTCTTCCCGCTGACCTTCATAGATTCATGCACCTCAGACTGACTACTAACTGTTGCGCTTTGGAAAGAAGCTGTGGCTTCAGTTTTGACAGCTGCTGAGTGAGATATAGCAGGAGGAAACCCAACTGCACTCTCTGCCACTATCACGGTGTCCACCACAGATGACAACACCTCTTTGGAGGTCGCTGACCTGACCAGCGCTTTCTGAGGCTTGTCGGTCTGCATGGTACCTGGTTGCTCTGATGTAAGACTTTGCTGCTCCTGGAAAACCATAGCATGCAGAGCTACCTGGAGTTCAGACCTGAGGTCAGCTGTCTGAGGGTATTCACCTTCAAAAGACAGCGTGATCTCCATGGGGGCACCTGGTGTTGTGATCAGGTATGTATGCGTGGCCCGTTTGGGCTCTCTCTGAACCGTCACTTCTTGTACCTCTACAGCCTGTAACCTTCCTACGACATCGGCTAGTAACACTGGCTGGTCACTGGCCACAGCAGACTGTAGAGAGTCTCTGAGCTGATGTCGTATATTTAAACTCGATGATTTGGGAATCTGAATGACAAAGTTGAGTTCTTTAGGTAGAGTCTGAGTGTCCTGAGACTCGTGAACAAACAGGACTCCTTTAGGCTGTGTCATGACGCTGACAGTCAAGCCCTCACATTTATGTATCGCACTTGACTGCTCTCCTGTTATGACCTGCTTTTCTTCTAGCAACACTGACTGTCGCACTGACTGGCCCTCCTGGATCTGGACTGCAAAGTCTTGCTCAGCGGCTTCTATTGCAGTACATCTTTCAGTGGCAACGGCTTTCTCCTCTATAAATATAGTTTTTTTGGGGATCTTAGGCTCAGTTTTCATCTCAGGCTTGAATTTCTCATCAGTTTTAATGCTAACGGTGTGACCCTCCTCCAGAGTCTGAGTGTCAGTGACCTTCAAAGAGTGCATGATATTCCAGTAATCCTCTTTCTGGACTAGGGCTCGCTGCTGCTTAACGTCGGTCACGAAAGGCATCTCCTTCGGCAGCTGCATGGGCTGTGAGGAGACTGTGAGGATGCTGGAAGGCCAGGGCTCAGTTCGAAGCTGTGACTGAACCCCGGTCACCGACACATCGAGATCTTTGTGATAATCTGCTGTCATCTCCCTTCTCTCCTCTGAGGTAGCTGCATGCCTTCTAGCCTTTTCCTGTTTCTGCGTTGCCACCTGCTGGTCAGGTTTGGTGATGGTAAGTATGCCTTCTTTTGGGAAAACTGATAAAGAATGAACTGACTGAACGTATGTTCTTTGTGGTAACTCTTTCTTCGGCTGAACGGACATGGCGTCAGTCGTGGCTGAGAACTCTGAAGTTGCCTCGCAAACCGCAGTTCTTTGCTCGTCTTGAGTCACCAAATGCAACAAAGTTGGACTCTTTCTCACTTCTGCCTGCTCTGCAGCAGGCTTTTCGGTGCTGAACCTACCCTCAGACTCTAAAACATCCTGATCACTCACAACCTGCAGGTTCAGGAGTCTTTCTCCCTCCCGCTGAGGCTGCAGACACATAGAAGATGCTAAACCTGGCACCTGTCCTGCCTGTTCACCTTGGAGTTCGTATTTCTCTTCAGCAGTTAGAGCTGACTTACAGACCGTGTCTTTGCGTGGAGTGATTCTCTCCTGCTCTGGTCTGTGTATTTCAAATATCTGTTCCTTGGATAAAGCCACTTTAGTTTCACTTACTGGGGCTACCACTGGTTTAGATTTCTCTTTGCCAAAACAGGGTTGAGTGGCTGCATCTAAAGCTGGCAGAGGCTCAGAGTGTCTTTCTGTGACTGGCAGTTGCCCTGAAGACTGAGCAGAGTATAAAATCTTAACCCCCTCGGTGACTCTGAAACTCCTCTCTTCCTCTGGCCTGTGGGTGACGGCTGAAGTTTCATTAAGGATGGGAAGAGCGGCCTCTACTTGGTGACAGCTAACGAGCTGCCTGGGTTCATTCAAAGTCTTCATATGCTCTGGAGCCCGGTCCGTTAAGGCCTCAGCTCTCACTGTGGTGAGTGGGAGGACCTCTTCACTTGTGGCTGACATGAGTTTTGATGGCTGCTCTTTGGCTATCTCAAGTTCTACAACCTCAGGACTGAGAATCGGTTCGGAGTGCTGCTCAGTGATCTTTTGTCTCTCCTGGACGGACGATAAGTAGGTCGCTACATGAAGCTGTTTCATAGGAACAGCGGAGACCTGGGCTGGATGAGTTGGAGCCAAAGAAACCCTCTCCTGTATTTCATGAGACTGCAGCACTGCTGCCTGGTGGGTAAGCTGCTCTCGATGAATGGTGGCAGCAGAGATATCGAGCTCTCTGAGGGTTCCTGCTTCTTCACTGGGAATAATCTGCCGGTCATCAGTGCTAATGGTATAAATCATCTGATCAGCCAGAGTCCTTTCCTGCTGTAATCTGGATTCTGTTGTTTGTTCAGTCATGGATATTTTCAAACCTTTAGCTTTCTTAACCATCGTGTGCTCTTGCTGAACTTTCTCCCTGAACACCAGCAGCTCGGCGGTACAGGAGGCTTCCCCATATTGGTTGGAGGCCTTACAGGTGTAGACGCCGCTGTGCTCTTGTTTGACACTCTTAATATTAATAAAGCCAGATCCATCTGGGTTGTTCACAATGATAGAGAAACCACTAGGCTGAATGTGGAAACTGCCTTTGAGCCACTGAATCTCAGGGAGAGGATGTCCGGTCACTGTGTACCTGAAGAATGCCTGGCCTCCCTCAGACAGCTGGAGAGACTCTATAGTTTTAGTGAATTCTGGGGGTTTGCCAGTTGGTACAAGCGTTCTAGTGCTAACTTTATCCTCTCTTTCTGGCTCTGTCACCTGAACATGCAAATAAGAAGTGCAAGTCGACTGGCCGAATCTATTACTGACAGTACAGGAGTACTCTCCTTCATACTCCCTCTGAACTTTGGTAATGACCAAGCTGTACTCATCTCGCTCGTGAACGAAGGTATAAACTGACGAACCTGTTACGGTCTGCCCGTTATGGAACCACTGAACAGTGGGCTTAGGGAAACCGGACACTTTAACGGTAAACGTAGCAGTTTCTCCAACAGTCACAGCCGCTGGAGAAAGTTCACTGAGAAAAACTGGTTTTTCTTTTTTCTTCTCCAAAGAGCTGGAGTAGCGTTTGGACTCTGGCTTAAGTTCAAGTGTTCTGGCTTTATCTGGTAACTTCAGTCCAGTGTAGTACGACTCCTGGGTTTCTTCTTCCACTGTGATGGTTGAACTAGAGAAAGCTGAGTGAAATTAATGAAATAATTTAAAGTAAAGTGAGACACACACACTCCAACCACAATACAACCAGCTGCACTGGAAACAGAAGGACTTATGCATCTACTAGTTACATTTGAGTGCAAAGTAAATCAACCGACCTTTTAGTTTTGCACATTTACTACATATTATGTACACGCTACATTACAGCTGTAAATTTTCCAATGCCATTAGTTTTAAAGATTTTATAGACCATCTTTAAACAGAACCATGGTTTACGATTTCAGCCCCATACATGTGACTAAAGATCCATAATTTGGTCATGTGAGGACAACTGAGCAAACTCCATCCAGTCAGACTGAGAGATGAAGTTAAAAGCTTTATCTCACAGGTGGACATTGATGTAAGGTTTTTTTTGATGAGCTGAAAAAATCGAGTGTATTTTGGAAAAGGGTTTGAAGAAGTGTAAATATAGCAATAACACTTTCTGAAACGTAAGATTCAAATTTTAGAAAATGAACGTTAATTTCTTACCATCGCATCCTGAAACCAAAACGCCTAAACGATAAAAGGAGCTTCTTTCATAAGACATAAGGAAGGGCATTCATAACTGTTCTACATCATGTTCAAAGACGTGAAACATTATTTACCTTTCACCTCCTCCTGGAGCTGAAACATAGCTTCCGTCTCCACTGCAGTTACTGTAAAGACACAAACGTTTTCCAGTTAAAATCACTCCAAAAACTGCACATAAGGTTTTATATGGTGCAAGACTGTTAGAATCAGTGACAGGTCGTGCATCCATATTATCCGTTTGATTGGTTCTTCTCTTGACTGACATTCTCGCATGCTTCCTGTTGGTCTTTAGTGTGCAGCACCTGGCTTTTGGAAAAGGCTCAGTGATATGAGTGACCCTCTCTCTTTGTCTCTTTCATTGTTTTAGTCAGTAAAGCAGGACACAAAGGTCAGCGACATCTCCTAAACACAGTGGTTAAAACCTTTTTGAAGAGGTGGTGTCGCCGTGTCGAGAAGTGTGCCTCTACTGGCTGTGTGGGTGGAAAGCAGTGTGGATGAGTGGTGGGCCAAACAGAGCCCGAGCGAGCAGAAGGACCAAAAGCATGCAGATGCCAACCTTTCGTGACTGTGCTGCACTCAGCATCCCGGGCTGAGCTGACATTTGTGCAAGTGTAAGAGCCCCCTTGTCCGGGTCCCACACTGTTAACATTTACACAGCACAGGGGGCCGTCTTGTTTCAAGGAGTAAGACACAGAATCCTTAACATTCAACCGGTTGTAAAGCCAAACGACAAACGGAGTGGGAACCCCCTTCATAACGCAATACCAAGACCCGCCGTCTCTGTTTCTGAGCAGCAGCTCACGGGGGAGTTTGATCAGGAACTCGGGGCAGCTGGAGAGGCGCTGACCTCGTTTGTCATGAGGCACAACATCAGGGAAATACAGGTGGCTGATGAGGCTGTAAAGTCTCTGGGAAGATGGAGGTGATGGTCCTGGCTTCTCCTCCGCCTCCTGCTTGTCTTGGTCAGGGGGCTCACTAAGGGTCTCCCTGTCTGCCTGAGACACTTTACGCACAGAATCGGTAGGGATGGGGGTTTCTGCTTTGAGATTTGCTTCTTTAGCTGGGTGAGAATAAAGTTAGGGAGAGTAATTAAGGGTCAGAGCGTTCAAGGAAATGACTCTAAACACTAAAGGGGTTAGTAGGATGGATGGATGAGGTTAGCGAGGCAAAGCTGGCAACAGCAGGAGGAGAATAAACTAGACTACAATGCTTGTTATTCTATTACATTCTAACAGGTTACAGGCTAACAGGAAATATTAAATATTGGGAGGAGGGGACAAAGCAGCGGGTGGAGAGGTAGGGTGGACCAGATGGAGAGACAGACTAATTAAAAAGAGAAAGATTAAGCACCTTCAACAGTGAGCTGGGCGGAGGAGCTGTTCTGGCCGTGTTGGTTGGTGGCGGTGCAGCAGTACACACCCTGGTCCGCCACGCCAACACCCTGGATGACCAGGGACAACAGACCCCCGATCTGAGAGCTCCTCACCCGCTCCGTATCCGCCAGACTCTGGCCGTTGTGATCCCAAACCACCCCAGAGAAGGGCTGCCCGTCAAACAAGCAGCTGAACTCAGCCATTTCACCACTTTTCACCCGGACGTCGCTCATTTCCATCAGCAGTTTGGGGCTGGCTGAGAGTTTGAAATCAAAGCCGCTCTCAGAGCTCATCTCCACCGAGCTTACACTCTCCATTTGAATGTCAACCGTCCTCCAAGACACAGAGGAACTCTCAGACACTGTCTCAGTAAACTCGACAGTGTGGGCTGTTTGTCCCACCGACAGAGAGCTGAAACTCTCTGACTGAGCTTCCAGTCTCTGACTTAGCTCAGCCTCAGTCCTCGACACAAAAGCTAAGGCTCGTTCATCTGGGCAATAAGAAAGAGTAGAAGAATTAGGTCAACACATCATTCTGGGGACTTCTTCAGGTTACTTGTTTGCCAAGAGTGCAGCTGGGGTGGAGCGTTGAAGATCAGTCACAATCAGTGAGGTAGTGGACAGTGGCTGGTTTCCGCTGTCAATCATGCAAGCTTGACCGGAGCCAAAGGGAAAATAAAAAAACAGCTATAGATTATGTCCGTGCTCGAGCGTGAGGAAACCGAAAAGCTATAGAGTTCCAACGTTCAGCTCTGTTTTGACCATGCTGCATTCCTCTGAAATAAAGATTCGTGTCTCAGAACAAAGACGTCCCTACTGTTAAGAGCTACTTGAGTAGGAAGAGGAGACAGTCATGCATCACGTGGGAGAAACCTGTAAGATTATCACTGTGCTTACAGTGAGGATGTCACAAAACAGATATCTGTCCTGCATGCTCACAGAAACAATCAACTAGAGTCACTTTAACTGTAACATCATCACCAAAATGAAAATATGAAGGAGTTTCAAATGCTGAGGGGGCTAACAGTTACAAAAGCAGGGGCTGGATGCACAAAGATCTTGCTGACATGTCTGTAGAAACAGGAGAGTCTTAATTTAGCTTTCACAGACAGGAGCACAAAACAGAGACAAACTAATAAGGGCCTAAAAAGGCAGCCGTTCTTATGGCGGTGACAGTAGACAAAAAGAACACGGCTCATAATTTGTTACTGAGTGAGCTTTATCCCCAGAAACCGTCCTGCTGTCTCATCCAGAGTCACATGAGAGGATCAATATCCATTCCAAAGGAGCGGTACCACAGAGTTAAGCTGATGATACACGAGGCAACTTTTTGAGCAATGTTGCTGGCGGCAAGTCCGCCTATGTTTTGAATGGATAGCGTGTTAAGCTAGGCTAAACCCTGTCAACAAGATAATGTTAGCTCTCTTGCTAACAGAATAGAATTTGACATAAAGAGTGCCAGTAGATTTTAGCATAACTTGCCCCATTGCCTTTCTTTAGTTGTGACAGATCTTGAAGTTTCTGCTTCATCATGTCTTGGTGCTAAGCTAGGCTAAATACTCCTCCTCTACTGGAGGCACAGATAGAACTGATATCCATCTTCATATATGAATCTGGACAGAGAACAAGATCATTTAAGAAAATCTTTGTGCGACCTCCAGCAGTGTCTACCGAACTAACACGCCTGAACCATCGCCCCCTACTGAAACATGCAGTCCTCTAGTGGATCAATAAGCTTTTTTGGTTCTAATAAAAGCTTCATTTTATATTTGATAGTGCGTGAGTGTGAATCATGCCCCTGATGTTAGGATGTAACATCCTCTTCTAGGTTTAGTCCTGGAGGAAGGGACGAGGCTCTTCTGGTTTCACCATGTAACTCTCTTTGTAAAGAGCTATATAAATAAAGTTTATTGTTGTTGTTATTATCATACAATTTATCTACTTACAGATAGGGATGCTCTGATCAAGAACTCATCGATCAATGTTGGGGTATATATATTTATATATCTATATACTTCGCTGATTAGTTCTCAGTATCTGTTAGCTAACCAGCTAACAGTGCTAACAGATCACGAGCCTTTCAGAGGATGTTTTGGATGCATCACTTGGTTTCTTATTGCCAAGTGGAAACCCACATGTCAGACTCCGTACCATCAGACATCCCTAGTTAAGAGCATGTTAGCAGAGAATTCTCAGTTGGACTGTTGAAGCACATGCAGCTTTACCGGTCTGACAGCGACAGTTCAATCTGAATGTCGTCGGCACGGTAACTGAATTACTCACCGTCGATGTTCAGACTCGCAGCACATCTGGCCATTCCTGCCGAGTTAGCGGCAACACATGAGAACTCTCCTTCGTGGTCGGAGAGAACTCTGGAAATGTCCAACTGGCAGGTTTCACCATAATGAGACATTCTGAAGATGTCTGACTGTCTGACCTCTCGGTCATTACAGAACCAGGAAATCTGCAGATCTGGAGACACAGTGTTCACTTACACACAGTCATCTGCACCACATGTGGTTTGTTATGTACTGCAATAATACTACTCATAATCGGTCACCTATTAGAGCATTCATGGTAAACGAGTATCCTAAGTACTGGACAGTAAAATGTGGCAGGATTTATTTTTTAAACCAACAAACAGAAGAAGGGGAGCAGTGGTTCCTACCTTCCCCAGAGACAGTGCACTGGAACTGGGCAGGCTGTCCCTCTGCCACCAGGATGTCCCGCATGGGAGCAATGAGGACCGGAGCAGAGACCCGAGCCGCCGTTTCAGCTACTTCAGGAACTGGAAGACAGACAAGGCAAAAACATAACCAATGATGAGTATTAGTAATCACTTTCTCCAGTGCGACCATTTGCTGCTTTTCTTCTTTTGACCAAACTGCAAACAGAATCTCTTCGGGGGTTTAGAAGAAGGTGAAGACCGATGATGGACATTTTTCTCTTTATATTAAATTGAAGTAATAAATAAAGCTGCCCTTCAAAGCTAAAAGAAAATAGCGTAGTTGCATATTTATTATAACCAGAATCTGAGTTTTTGACATCCATTTTACACCAACATACATCTGCCATGAAATCAGAATGTAAAGTTAAAAAACAAACCACTCTGCAGCAGCTGCACTCCGCTTTGTAAATCTGTACAGTAGAAGCCAAAGCGCCCTGGGGAGATTCTCTAAGCTAGTCTTAGCTAAAGCTAAATTGACTTACTTTCCCCCCCAAGAAGTATCTGACATATAAACATGTTTAATTTAGATGAACTGACATTTTGGTAATTCAGTTTGTTAGGCAGTAACAGTGACTCACGATGGGCTAAACGGCTGCTAAAGCTAAATATCTTAGCAGGGGAGCCGTAGCTGCTGTCTCTGTGAAGATTAGAGTGCAGCATTGGCATTTTTTAGTTGTTATGTAGGTTTTATGGGAATCAGATTGGAGGTAAAATAATCTGGCTGAAAACCTGCTGGGTGACCGTTCTCTTAATGTTTCTGTAGTTCCTGCTCTCTGTAGGGCAGAGTGGGAAGGTTGGTGGTAAACACCATGTTTGTGACCATGCTATGAACACGTGCAGGTCCAGTGTCACACTGAATTTGGTTTGGCGTTTTGGTTTCGGTGTGTCTTTGTTCTCCTCGCCCACTCATAAGGCAGCTCTGACTCTATATTCTGCACTTACAGCGTATCCAATTTAAACAATCTTAATGAAAGTTTAGAAGGAAAAAGCAGTTTCCAACTTCTTCAGCGACACATTTCTAAATCGTACCTTCCACTGTGAGCTGGGCGGAGCTTGTCGCCTCTCCGTAGTCGTTCTTGGCCTCGCAGCTGTAGACGGTGGCGTCTTCGGGGAAGACTTCGAGCAGCAGCAGCGAGTGCTCGTCTCCGTCATGGAGGAACTTGCACTTGTAGCTGGTGGTCAGGGCCTGGGAGTCTTTGTACCACAGCACCTGAGGCTGAGGGATGCCGCTCACCTGCACCGAGAAGCGAGCTGATCTTCCAGACATGGCTTTCTGGGGCTGCATGTGGTGGACGATCTGAGGAGGCTCAGGCACTGAAGACAGAACACACAACAGTTACGTTTTTTCCAGACACCAGAATGTTAAAAAAACTTGTCAGCATCAGTCGCTTTGTTCACAGAAGAAAGACTTTGGTCTTTCCTCACATTTTCCAAATAGTTATTACCAAGTCCAAACACGTTTCTTTGAAGGAACATTTTTTGGAAACTTAAAATAGTAACAAAGTAAATTAAAGGTGTTGCTCTTTCTGCCATGTCTGACTGGTGTTCAGTTCTAGTGTGACTCCATTAATAATGTGTTGGATCTGGAGATGTGGAAGCAGACTGATGTCAGGTGGTTTGTTCTCTTACGTCTGACATGAAGGTTCATGGTGCTCCTGTTCTTGCCGGCGATGAAGGTGTACTCCCCGGCGTCGCTCCTGTAGGTCTCGGAGATGGTGAGGCGGTGCAGCTTCCTGATGGTGACGTAGCTGAACCTCTCCTCCACCGAGATCTGGATCTCCACCCCGTTCCGCAGCCAGCGACCCTCCACGTCGTCCTCGTTCACCTCGAACTCGAAGGTCGCTCTGTGTTTCTCAACAACCTGCAAAAACAGACGAATGGTAGAGGTGACGACTGGGAACTGAGATTCTGCTCCTGCTGAGCTGCTGGACCTGCAGCTCCCGACTGAGAAACGATTAACAGCGTGATTTCTTCATCTATATAAAATAAATAACTATATGAACTCACAGTGACGTCCCTGCTAGCGGGCTCTGAAATTTTGACGTCCCGACCCCCGACTTCCAGGTGGCCCTTGGACATGCTTGACCCGGCCACAGCGGTGTATTCTCCGGCGTCAGACTGGCGGACTGACGGCAAAACCAGATGGTGCACGAATTTATCTGAAGACATTTTATATCTGCAGGAAACACAGAGGGTAACGGTGAAACTTTATCATCTTACTATACTTTATTATCTTCATTTATTTGTTCTGCGTGATGTTGGCATGATTAGTAAAGCAAACTGCACCTGTCGGACATCTCCAGCTCCTGACCGTCCTTCATCCACATCACCTGGATGTTCGGTTCAGAAACTTCACATTCAAAAGTGGCTCTTTTCTTCTCTGTGATCTTGAGGTCCTTCAGATGTTTGGTGAATTCAACCACACGGGCTGCGGCAGAAGAAACAAACAGAAACGAATGAACTTAAACCTGCATGTCTCTCTGTGTTTGGTCTTAACATTCAAATGCCTCTAAAAGGGCTCGATCATGGTGCTAAAATCACACACACCAGACTCAACTACAGAGTTTTAGCCTCATCGGGGAGCTTTCAGTGACCATGTGGCTCTAGTTGTCACTGTGGAGGTTCTAGGGGCCCTTAAGGAGATTGTGTTAGTCTGGGGATGCACCAAAAGAAAATTGTTGTCCAAAGCCAAAACCGATTATAATGAAAAACTTTTCCGAACAACATTTTTTGCCTATTTTTCTTTCCCATTGCATAAATTAAATAGTCAAAATGCGCTTTTGGTAGAATTATTCTTGATGCTTTTCTTTCAGTTACTTAAATTAATTCTTACTATTCCAGCTCTCGTGGCTGTGCGGTGTCGCTTATTTATTGTGCTTCACTGTTGATTCTTGTTTTCACTTCTCTCTTAGTTGTCTTCCTGTCAGCTGTTTATTGCTGCTGTTCGGCTGGTTGTCTTTGTTTTTGTTTGTTTGTTTGTTTGTGTTTGTTGTTGTTTTTCTCCGCCCCAAGCCCCCCTCCCGGTTCTCTTGCAGGTTTCGTTGCTTTCTGCAATTGGTGTTTCCCTCTGCTATTTCCTGTTGTCCGCACCCCCATCCCCGTTCTCTTGTTTCTCTGTGCTGTCTGTTTGTGTGATGTCTGTGCCCCCCCCCATCCCCATGTCACAAATCAATACATAATTAAATAAATAATAAAACAGACGAAGGAGTATTTTAATACTCTCTTGTTAAAGTAAAATCTGTCTGGCACAATATGGTATCCAGCTCATCATACTCTCTACCAGGCTGCTGGGCAGGACAGGTTTAAATAACAGGTTTTTCCTCAGTGTTTCCCACAGGAGGTGGACAGACTATGGTGGGGGGGTCCGGGGCCCCCGTGTCACAGGTGTCCATTTACTTTTAATGGACCCAACTGATGATAAATAATGTTGTTTGTGTTTCTGGTCTTCACAGCCTCTCTTCATACTAAAGAGACAAAGTGACAGGATAAAGTCTCTAACCTGCCTGTCAGCTCGCTCTGGGCCCTTTCACTTACCGTAAAGGCTTGAATATGTGTGCACTCCAAATTTAAGAAGTCAGCCACAGATGAAGTGAATGTGCTGGGAGACATTTCAGCAGACTCTTTAAAATGCTTCCACACTGCTGACATGTCAGCGCAATTGTTTGATCAAATTTATTCGGTCCTTTGACTTATTAACCCGAACACGAAAGTGTTTTATTTGCTCATTTCGGCAGATTAATTTCGATAGCCGAACATTCGGAGCATCCCTATATTAGTCACTGAGAAGATTGTGCCAGACATTGATGATGATACTATAGGTATCTGTCCGGTAGCTGTTGTGTCGATTGATTAGGTTCTAGTGGTCATTGGGAAGTTATACTTGTCATTTCGGAAACTAGGGGTCTTTCGGTGGCTCTTGTGTTCAGTGAGGGGTTCTAGTGGTCATTGTAAAGATTCTCCTGCAGGTTCCACTAGTCACTGAGGAACTCTTTTCTTCTTTTTGGTTGTTTTTGTGTTCATTGCCAGGGTTCTAGTGGCAACATAGCAGGTTCTATAGGTTCTTTAAGTGGTTGTTGTAGCAATTGTGGTAATTGTAGTAGTTGTAGTATTCAGTTCATGTTGGGTTTATTTGCGCTGATAAATGCACCTGCCTAGCATCCGACAGCAGACACACACAGTTCAAGACTAGCTGGTGAAGGAAGTGGAACATCTGGCAGCTACAGAGCCAGATGTTTTTATCGGGAGACCAAACTACAGCTACAAGGAAAAAGAACTGTTAAAGTCTCACCTTCAACATAGAGTTTAGCTGTAGTTACTGCAGAGCCGGCCATAAAGCTGTACTCCGCGCTGTCTCCAAAGTGAACGTTCCTGATGCTCAGAGTGTGAGTGAGCTGTTTGCAGCGAGCCTGGCATCTGTCCGTGGACCGGATCTCCACGCCGTTTTTTAGCCATTTGTACGTGATTCCCTCGTAGTTGACGTTCACCTCAAACGTGACCGTGTCTTTCTCCTGAGCGTTCAGGTTCTGCAGCATCGTTGTGATGAGGATGGCTGGAAAACAAGGAAACTCAGGGTAAGTTCACAGCTCACACTTTCAGATAATATTCTCATGTGCAAAATATAATATTCTAGGGTTCCCCCCCAGATTCAGGCTAACTGAATGCATATATTAATATGATGTAATATATTACCAGTTTTCATTATTACATTACCAAAAAAGAAAAACGGAAAATGGGAGGACAGACTTTCATTTTAAGAAGTGTGAAATAATAGAATCCATCACAATAACTCAAGTACGGACGATGGATAGTTGTCAGCACACTATTATACCGTACCATCAGTAGCTTGTAGAGCATTGGTATGATATGTGAACACATGTAGATAGATGTGTGTATAGATGGAGGTAAATGCAGTATCTGCCAATGAACGTAGGTTATGTGGACTCAGGGCAGATTAGCCAATAAGCTAAATAAGATCCAATCAAATCAGCTACAGGTTCATTTAATCAAGAAGTTGCAAATCAAAGATTTCCTGGTCGCCGTGTTAATATGTAAAAAGCCCATGTTGCCCTCAGTGACCGTAGCTAAGGAGAAGAACTTACGGCTGACGGTGAGCGTCGCAGAGACTCTGTCGTTCCCGCAGATGAAGGTGTACTCTGCAGAGTCGTCCTTGCTGGTGTTCATGATCTTCAGCTGGTGGAGTTTCCCCTGAACCACGATCCTGAACTTCTCGCTCATCTCGATCTCCACGCCGTCCTTCAGCCAGGTGGACGGCACGTTGAAGTGAGAAACTTCACACTCGAACGTGGCCACCTGGGTCTCCGGGACCTTCACGCTCTTTAAGGGTTTGGTGACTCGCAGGGCTGAGGGGAAAACGAGGAGGAGATTTAAGTTTCAACATATTTTATTTAAATCAAAACAAGTGGCTCTTTCAGGGTGGCCTGTTCACAAATAAGAAGGGTCAGTAAATCTATGCTGTCAGTGAAAGTGAAATGAAAAGAGTTCCTTTTAGGAGTACGAGTAGTGCCATATGGATCAGTCCAGTCCAACTTGATGCTAACATTAAATATTAGGCTGATAAAAGTAACTCCTAAATATCATACAAGACCTCAACAGTGTTCCTGTCACTTTGCTGCTGGGTGATCATGTTTTAAAACGGACGTCATGGACCTGCCTCTCATCACCGTGTAGCGCCCTACTGGAAAACCCTCCCCCGCAAATTTCTGAATGTTCGTTGGAAGCTTGCATTGATTTCTCTTAAACGGCTGGCTTTGGAAAGTAGAGACTGGCCAGAGGCGAAAGAGGTGAAAACAAAGGATAATTCTGATTTGTTGCCCATGACCTAGAGATTTTAATGGAATTTGGGCGAAATGCCGCCTAATTGTACATCGTAGTAACACGCCGTAGTGTTGGCATCCTCCGAATCTGAACGTTGAACTTACTGGCAGTTTATTCTCTCAGCTCAACACACAGTTTAATTTAACCCTTGTTGGTCATTGTCATTCACTTTTCATTTTCAAAGAGTGCTAGTGTGCCGTGCTACGCTAACACTTACACTCGACGGTGAGGCGAGCGCTGCACTTGAGGTGGCCCACCACAGCCGTGTACTCTCCCTCTTTGCTGTTGTCCACGTCCTGGACTATCAGTTTGTGGGTCTTCTTCTCAGACAGCATCCTGAAGTGCTCGTTTTGCTTCAGCTCCACATTTTTGAACATCCATTTCACAGGGATGTTGTCCTCGGAGATGCCCAGCTCGAATACGGCAGCTGCACCCAAAAGTGATGTCACGTCCTTTGGCTTCTTCAGGATCTTGATGGCTGTGGGAAAAATATTTCACACTTACACTTGGAACTGTTTCCATTGGAACTGTACATCTGAATACTTTTGGATTTTTAGGAATCAATTCTTGAAAAGAAATCAGTAGTTGCTTACTTTCAACATTCAGCCTGGCGTTTGCGGAAAGTTTTCCCAGTTTGAAAGAGTAAACAGACTCGTCCTGTGTGGTGCAGTTCTTGATCTTCAGGGTGTGGACTGTGCCTTCAATAGTGATCTCAAATTTCTCGCTGGGCAGGATCTCGATGCCGTTCTTGATCCACTGCGCCCCCCTCACATCCTCGTGGGTCAGCTCTAGGTTGAATACTGCATCCTGAGTCTCGACCACATTCAGGTTCTTCAGGGTCTTCTTGACCTTTACAGCTGAGGAGACAAATGTTTTCGTTAATCTAGGGCTGAGTCATTTGTGTTCAACCTGGGGGTTGCAAGTAATTCTTTCTATGGACAGATATTTGCCAGCAAATTTTAATGGTAAATTTTAAAAGTAAATCTCAATTTACATTTAATCATTTTGAATAACTATTACCTAACCTACCTACAGAACCTCTGTGTATCCAAGGTGTGTTTAATATCTCGGCTTGTGACGAGCTGAGCTAACCGGTAGCCCTCCTCAAAATATTGAACATATCATAAATGACATGAAAGTTTATATTAATAGCTCAAATATCTGTTCTTCCACAGCTCCTACATAAACCATTTGAACAGGCTTTTTTCTGCATGTGTAAATTTCCTTCACCAAACCTGGACCTACCCTCGACTTTCAGGGTGGCTGAGGTCTTGGAGGTGGCGACCTGATAGGTGTACTCTCCGACGTCTGTGGCTCTGGTGATGATGATGACGAGGCGTCTGACGGCGCCCTTCACCTCGCTCAGCGTGTTCTCGTTGAAGTCGACAGGCTGGCCGTCTTTCAGCCACTTGCCCTCGGCGGAGGGGTTGGCGACTTCGCACTCTAGCACGGCGGTCTGGGAGTCAGCCACCATCAAATCACGCAGGGGCTTCTTGATAGCGCCACCTGGTGACAGGAGACCAGTCATTTAATACTTAGTCCCGTCAGGACTCCCGTGTGTTAACTTGGGATACAAACCATCTGTGAGATTGCTGAATAGTCTTACCCGATACGGTGAGTGAAGCTCTGCACATCTTCTCACCGGCGGCGAACATGTACTCGCCCTCTTCGTCCTTCATTGCGTTCATGACAGTCAGGGTGTGGCGCTTGTTCTTGGACTCCATCTTGTACTTGAAGCCGGCTTTGAGCGGCTGCCTCTTGAAGGTCCAGAAGGCGTCGATGCCCGGGTGAGAAACCTCGGCTTCAAATGTGACGTTCTCAGACTCGGAGCACTCCCGGTCCTTTATGGGCTTCACAATCTGGACAGCTGTTGAGATGTGGCGAGAGTCAGACCGGTTAACTAATGAGCGACTAGTCATCTTTCATATTCTGAACAATAAAATGTTAACAATCAAAAAGTATCAGTTTTGCTTTGATCATTTCACACTGACCCTCTCTTTCATTGGAAATGTCATTATTAAAGTATCCAGCAGATGGAACTGTCTGGGTGATTCATGACCTTTTGTTTCCACAGCCAGCAGCAGCTCCTGCAGACCAACTGTCCATGTTGGACGAAGCGGTGAGTGAATCTAAAGCTGCAGTGAACTCTTCCTATTCTAAAGGCCTTTTTATTTACCTTTTCCTTAAACAGATCTCTCTCACTGTGGGAGATTTTGCTTCGATGTGTTTTGAAGGTGACAGAAAATCTGTTTTGAAGCTTTAAGTCAGGACAAAGATGAGTTTTTGTGTTGCTCACTTCGTACTGGTGTGTTTTAACAGAATTTCCCTAGAAAAATATCACCCATGTACTGAACATCTGTGTACAAATGATACAAAACTAAGTACTAAAGTCTTGCTGAAGACTGGGTAATGGTCTTTGTAAGTCAAAACATGCTTAAACCTCACTCAGTCTTTCCTCGTGAAACTTACTCTGAACAGAAAATTTGCAGCTGGTGTCGACTCGGCCGACCACCAGTTTGTACTGTCCTTCATCGGAGGCGTAGGTCCTGTTGAAGACCAGTCGCTGCTTTGACCCCTTCGCCACCATCTGGATTCGGTCACTGGGGATCAGCAGATTGTTGTTGTGGTACCATTTGACTGAGCTGACATCCTGAGCGGAGATCTTGGTCTCCAGGACCGCCTTGGTGCCTTCAACGGCACTTGTGTCCTTCAGTGGGATCAAGATGCCAATTGCTGCAACCCAAGATGAAATATTTAGTCTGTAACATTTTATTTTGGAACTAAATCCTTCTAAAAAACGACATGCTTCTGAAGTGTCTTACTCTGAATGACCAGCTTTGCAGAGGTCGAGATCTCCTGAGCGGGAACCACAAACGAGTACACTCCAAAGTCATCTTTGTTGGTGTCCTCAATCAGAAGTTTGTGGATCTGTTTGTCAATAACAATGTGCACACGGTTTGAGGCCGTGACCGGCTGCCCGCTCTTCATCCAGGTTCCTTCAACGTTCTCCTGGGAGAACCTGACCTCCAGCTGAGCGATGTCACCCTCGCAGACGGTCAGGTCAGTCAGAGGCTGCATCAGGGTCACCGGACGCACTGAAGCATCAAGGCAAACATGTTATGCAGTGCTTTCTAGATGCTGCAGTTTTCTTTACAGCCTGATATATGAAATTGGTAGATGGAACAAAATGAGACCAAGTTTTACAGGAATCTAACCAGAAGTTGTCAAAATGTCTTTCTTTTGAAGACATTTCTGGATGGATTGACAGACTTTAACCAAGCTAATGATCCATATTTACTGAAAAGAACAAAACTTACAGTTACTTCAGTAACTCACATTTCATCTTCAGGGAGGCACTTGTCTTAAACTCGCCCACTTTGAAGGTGTATTTTCCTTGATCCTCCTTCTTCACGTCTTTGACAGACAGGGTGTGTCTTCCACGGCGGGAGGAGATTACGTATTTACTGGTGTTAGAGAGCAGCTTTTCTCCAAAGAACCAGCTGCCTTCAGCATCCTCACGAGACACGACACACTCAAACTCTCCAGAGTACGTCTCAGGCACTTCTGTGCTCTCCAGCTGCTTCAGGATCTCCAGCGGGGCTCCTGTTTATCACATAACACAGATGCTACTTTAATAACCACGGTTTTAGGGAAACTTCAGTGATTAACTTGGACACTGAAGTGACGGAAACCCTTTTGACGTCTTTTGATACCAGAAAGCAAAGACCTCAGGGAGCAGATCAAGATCAAGATTTATCAATTAAAAAGACATTTTATCTGCATCCTGTAATTTTGTATTAATGCTGTGTCTTTTCATAACATGTGGGCTTGCTGTGACAAAAAACATGATGCTCAAATGCCCTCTGTAGATTAAAGCATGGTGTGTGGTGTTTCTAAATTTGAGCCATATTTACAGACTGTATTTAGATCGGGTTCCTAAATGATGTCTTCATTCAAAGGTTGTTCCGACACAACAACACAACCAGATTTGACAGGATTTCCAACATGACTAGAGGCAGAATGTGGAACTGTTTCAACCGTGGCTGAGATTGAGTATGTTTTAAAGCTTTTATGTGACTGAATGTGAAAGTGATCTGCACCTATTTGCCCATCATTTCTGAAGAAATTAGCCGACCAACCTTCAACATTGAGTTTTGCAGTTGTACTGATGTCTTCGTCTACAACCACACAGGTGAATTCTGCATCATCCCTCATGTCAATCATCAGCACAGACAGGAAGTGAACCTTTCTGTCAGAGTGCATCCTGTATTTGTCTCCGGTGAAGATCTCCTCGTTATTCTTCAGCCATTTGACCTTGACAAAAGGCTCATTGGTTTCACACTCAAAGGTAGCCATGGTGTCCTTCTCCTTTGCGTCAACGTCCTCCAGCTTCTGTGTGAAGGTGATGACTTGCTTTGCTGAAAAAATGAAAACACCTTTGTTAGAAACTACACCATTCAAAATGTAGAATTACATGTAAACTGCAGAACGTTCTGAGTTGCATTACCTTGCACCAACAGGAAAGCATGGCTTGAAGTCTCTCCAGCAGTGTTCGAAGCTTTCACCATGACACTAGCAGAGTCCTCCGCCCTGACATTTTTGATCACCAGTTCACACACATGATCCTCAGGCCAGAACCAGTAAACACGGTCAGACTTCTCCAGCTGAACACCGTTCTTGAACCACTGGCACACTGGTTCTGGTCTGCCAACAACTCTGACTCTGAATTTGACTTCGTCGCCCTGCGCGACTGTCTGGCTGGTAATACGCTCCAGAATCTTAGGAGCTTCCATGCTGGCTGACAGTTTGACCCTTTCTGGTTTTAGAGGTTTAGCTGTGACCTTGCGTCGCTCCGCCTCTTTCTTCTTCTCAGCCTCCTCCTTTTCCTTTGCCCGGTGAAGCAGCTCCTCCTTTGTTTTCTTCAGCAGATCCTCATAGGAATCATCCCTCTTACGTGACTTGAGGTCCACCGCGGTGATGGACTCGTAATAGCCTTCCTCTGTCCTGCGCTTGAACTTGCCCCTCAGCTCCTCTGACTCCTCTGTGGCTTTCTCATGAACAATTCTCTGGGCCTTCTTAAGCTTGACCACCTCTTTCAACTGAGAGTCATCTGTGGGTTTCTCAACCTTCATCACCTCGAATGGTGTTTTTCCAACTTCGGGTGAAGGTTCAGCTGCCTTAGCCTCTGGGGCACGGCGCAGATGAGTTCTGAAGTCCTCTTTCTGCTGAATCTCCAGCTTCACAGTGTGTTCAGCTGAGCCCAGGTTGTTGTCGGCCACCACTTTGACCTCTCCTGCGTCATAGGACTTGATGTCGACGATCTCCAAGTAGTAAATACCATCATAACGAAGTCTGTATCTCTTACTCTTGCGGATAAGTTGTCCGTTGAGGTACCAGTTAACTTTGGGTGCTGGATAACCAGTCACTCTGCAGCGGAATCGGGCAATGTCGCCTTCCAGCACTCTGGCTGGTTCAGGAAGCAGAACAATTTCAGGTTTCATTTTCTCAGCTTCCTCTTCAGCAGTGACTCCATACGGTCCTCCTTCATGAGCCTGCCGTTCCATCTCATCGATCCGGTGCGCTCCCTTCCTGCCTTCAGGAAGCTGTGTTTCCTCAACAAGGCCCTTCTCATCCTTGACGACCAGGGTGGCCGAGGTCTGGTCGACTCCAAACTTGTTAGTAGCTCTGCAGGTGATGACGCCGCTGTCTCTAGCGTAAGCAACGTCATAGTCAAGACTGCAGTAGCCAAATTCATTGACCATGCGCAACCTGTTAGCAGCTTCCAGGGGTTTGCCGTCATGCAGCCACTCCACTACCATCGTGGGGTCACCGATGGGGGTCAGTCTGCACTCGAAATGAGCCGGACCAAAGCGCTTCATGCGGACAGAGGTCAACTTCTTCTTGAACTGTGGTTTCTGCTGCTTCTCTTTGTCGTAAAGGTCGCCCTCCTCCCACTGCTCTTGACCATATCGCATATGAAGGGGCTCCAACTCTGGAGGGGCGATCTCCTTGGCCTTGTAGGTTCCTTTGGGAATAATGAGCTTCCTCTCTGGTTCAGGTTCTACATAGTCCACCTCTACATTGACTCTGCAGCGAGTGGTGTCTCTGCCAGCCTTGTTGATGGCTGTAGCAGTGTACCAGGCGCTGTCTGTGCCTGCAGCTGAGGGAATCTGGAATTTGGCCTCTCCTCTGGTTCCTTCAACCCTGGAACATGGATTTGTCATGTTAGAATATCTTTATCATTTGGGTTTTTACTACATAGAAAATTACAGTTGCTTTGACAAATTATTTGGAACCAGTCCGACAAATAAAGCACAATCTGTATGAGTCCTTATTCTTATTATCTTATTCAAATGATTAAAACGCCAGTAAACACTTTAGTGGAATGCTCCCATTGTCCTGTGCTGAAAGTGTAAACAGACCCTAAATAAAGCTGACTGCTAATACGTTAGTTTTAGGTAAATGCTCTGTATTTGTATAGCGCCTTTGTAGTCTTCCGACCGCTCAAAGCGCTTTATCACTACATCGCATTCACCCATTCATACACTAAGCCTAAGCGCAAACAGATACTAACATTCACACACTGATGGAGAAGCCATCGGGGGCAATTCGGGGTTCAGAATCTTGCCCAAGAACACTTCAACCTGCAGCCTTGAAGGAGCTGTAGATTAAACCGCCAGTCTTTCAATTATCGGGCAACCTGCTCCACCTCCTCCACCCTGACTAGTCGTTTTTTCGGTCATAAAATAAACAATTCATTTTATATAATTAATTTATTAATTCATTAAATATAAAATCAAAGCTCAAAATATTGGATGAATCATAATATTTTTAGATAAGGATGGTTAACCTTTGTAAAAACTTTGGGTGCCACTCCTACTGCATTTTTTTGTGATTGTGTAGTGGCAGCTAGCTCACTTGTTTGGCTATTGTTACAAAGATATGAACATTTATTGGACTTGGAATGGAATATCTCCAACAGTGCTCTGGGCTTACGGTCAACTCAGTTTAGGCCAGTTAATAAATACTGATTATACAGCTTTTATGAAACCTACCTGATGTGTGGGTGTTTGTGCGGGGAGATAATGTCACTGTTTTTCAGCCAGACGATGTCAGGCAGGGGGTTTCCAATGGCTTTGACAGCCAGTTCAACCAGAGTGCCCTGCTTTACACTGATGTTCTTTAGCTTCTCAGTGAACTGGGGACGCACCAAGGTTTCTTTGGCTGAAAAAGAAAGAAAATACATCATAGATGTTCATAATACTTATTAAATGTTCATTAATACCCTCTTCAATGAAGCTCAGTGTTCATAGAATGATGAAGATGAGCTGTTGTCTTACCATCAACAGTGAGAGTGACGGAGATGGATGAGCGTCCAGCTCTGTTCTGAGCAATGACTGTCCACTCTCCAGAGTCCTGCGGCATGGCCGGGACAATAATCAGGGACTGAGTCCCGTCCTCTTTAACCACTATTTTGTGGGTGTAGTCGCTAACCACTTGTTGTCCTAAGGAGGCAACATACGGATTTGGATTATTGTGAGTCCAACAAATCTTCTTCACACCTTAATGAAGATTTTTTACTCACCGTTGTGGAACCAGTATGTGTCGGGCATCGGCCTACCAACGACTTTCAGGTCGAACCTGGCAGTTTGCCCCTCAGAGCATTTACATGAGGAAGGCTTCATGACAAACACAGGCTTGTAGAGTCTCTCCAGCTGAGCCTCGTCTGTCTCATCAAGCCGGCGAGCAGGAGAGCGTCCAGGTGAGCGGCTGGGAGAACGGCCAGGAGAGCGGCTCAGAGAACGAGGAGATGTGGACCTGAGGAAGAAGCAGAATGGTCAATACCCAGGTGTCCACAATTCTGCACCTTAGAAGTGTTTTTCAGTCGTTTGAATGAGATCATACCTCATCCTTTGTACTGCTGACTGAGACACTCCAGCTCCGGACGGCTCCACGTAGAGCTTCCCAGAGCTGACCGCATTTCCTTTCATGTTGGCGGCGAAGGCGGTGTACACGCCCTCGTCCTCTGGCAGGACCACAGGCAGACGAAGGCTGGCTCGTCCATCCTGAAGAACCTCCATCTGGTAACGGTCACCGGGCCTGATGCGCTGGCCGTCTTTGTACCAAGCAATCTGATGAAAGACAAAATGTCATTGTAAGACCACTTGGGATACAAATGTGAAATTCCCAAATCAATTTTACAATTTTAACATAGTTAACATTAGTTTTAGACAATTTATGTAACAGAAACCTGATTCTTAAAATTGCAGTACCTTGGGAAGTGGCATTCCTCCCATCTTGCAGTGGAAAGTGACGCCCATTCCTTCCCTGATTCTGTAGTTTTTGACAGGGGTGTCAAAGCTGGGCTGCACGGCCTCGGTGGGGGCGGCGGTCACCATCAACTCTCCATCCTCTGTCACTATCTCTTTGTAGGTAATCGTCATAATGCGGAGTTCGAGCTCCTGGATGAACCTCTGCTCAGTGATGGACAGATGGAATTCCTGTAGATAAGATGAGATGTTACAATCCAGTCACTGTTGATTATCAAAATATTGGCAAAGCCGAAGTTGCCAAGCAAGCCCAAAATTAAATATCTTCATTGTTTAATGGTTTGTTGTATTGACCATTGCTCCTATTCCTGTATAGGTCTTGAAGTTTGCCCCAACTGGCCAGCTTCCAATGACATACTAACATCATCCAGAACCACTACAAGACAGCGGCTAATAATGCTCCTACCTGTCCAGAGATAATGGTGGTGGTCATCTGCTCCATTGTTGTAATGACAGGGGCAGTGTCTCCCACTTGAGGCTCCTGCACCATGGTTGTCACTTCAGTCTTAAAGGTTGCTTCTTGTTTCTTCATGTAGGCTTCATATTCCTCTGTTAGCAACACAAAGCACCAAATGTTACATGAGCTCAGGCATCTGATTTTACAGTCTGAACACAGACTCTTTTCTTTCCTCTTACATCATTAGGGAGTTGGGTTTTATTGATGCAGATGTGTACGTACCTTCCTCCAGCAGGCTGGCGGAGGCTGAGACCTCTCCGAGCTGGTTCTTTGCAAAGACACAGTATTCTCCGGCATCATCAGCAAAGGTCATGGAGATCTCCAACTTGCATTCTCCAGTTTCCTTCTTGTAGGCAACTTTGTATCTGACGGAAGGTGGTGGGAAAGAGCATGATAAAGGTGATTCAATGATGACTCATGCCCCCTAGAGGCTGCAGTGTTCATTACGGACACAATCTGAACAAACAGCATTCACATCATATTCATTTTTGCAGTCTTGTAAATATTTGTCCTAAGGGCGGCGTAAGAAAAAAGCCAATGGCCTCATTAAAATGCTATATGGTTATTTCATGGTAATTTTACAATTGAACTCAGATAAAATCAAGCTGTATATATCATACCTGTATCCGGTAGTGAGCGGTACGCCGTTCTTCTTCCAGATGATGTGTGGCCTGGGGCTTCCTCCGAACTGGCATTCAAACACAACACTTCCTCCTTCCACCAGCTTCTGGACGGTTGGCTTCTTGATGAAAAAGGGAGCAGCGGCAGGAGTATCTGGCTCGGCCACGCTCACCTGAGACATGATCTCCTCTTTGGCTTCTTCGGTTACTCTGGAAATACAAATCTCTTTTAGGATAACTAGGACCAAGCTGCAGCGCTAGCTATCTTTACATCTCAACAATTTATCACAATATCGCTTTAACTTGCAAACAAGGAGCTTTGATCAACTCACAGTTTCTCAACAGTTTGTTCGGTGACGACAGCGCTCTCCTCTCTGCTCTCGATTTCCTCAGACACTGAAGGAGAAAGAGAGTTAGTCTCAAGCAGGAAGCACCATGTGCATGTTTAGCTAAGGATAAAATCGAAAACAGAAGAGGCCCCACAGTCGAACCCTAAGGGTCTCAAAGTAATTATATAGTATAGTATGTAGAAGGAGACTGACAATGTCCTGTTTGAGGGCTATGATGCAAACGTTGTTCATTGATGATCTTTCTCTTGTTTTACTGTTTGTACTGACCCTGGACGAGCAGGTAGCAGGAGGTGCTGACAGTTCCCGCCTCGTTTGTGGCGGTGCAGGTGAAGCGTCCACTGTCTTCAGCGAATGCTTCGCGGATCACCAGCTGGGCGAATCCGTTCTCATAGCTAATCTGGAAATCAATGGAGCTCTCAATCTTGTAGTCCTCTCTGAACCACATGATAACAGGCTTAGGGTGACCGCTGATCTGGCACTCCAGGCTCACCGACTCGCCCTCTGTCACATTTGTGTTCTTCAAGCCCTGCAGAGAAAACAACACTCAAAATCTCGCTTTCCAAACAGGCATGGATATACTTCGTATGCATATTTTTGAGGAGAACTAATGCACTTACAGACATCAGCGTGGGCGGGACTACGGCACCTGCAGAAGGTACGGCTGCTCCCTCCGCCACCTGTCAGATAGTCACAGATTTGTCAGAACACAACAATTTCTAAACTCCACGACATCGACAAAACATAGCAAACACGCAGGACAAGACTTTGAACTTGCTGTTCACATCCAACAGATAAAGAAAAGATGACAAAGCACAGAAAGATGGAGGGGAGGCTGGACGGGCTGAAGAGGTGAGAATGAGGTTGTCAATAGCGTCAACGAGCATGTTAAAGTTTTTATTAGAGGTGAATTAAATCCTGGACTTTCACAGAAATCAAGAAAACCGGACTTCTAAAAACCTTAACTTAGGGTCTATGAACAACATTTACATGTGACATAGTTCTTATTTAAACTGTGGGGTTGAAAATGTAAAGTTTAGGGTAGTGCTATAATCAAAAACAGACATTAAAATCAAAAGGGGGAGTAGGAAAATCTTCTCATTAGATTTGATATTTCTTGCCTAAAAAAAAGAGAAATTTGATATTTTTGCCAGCTGGTGGCACCAGAATAAAGATCAGAGAGGTCATTAAAATATTAGGAATCATCTTCAGGGACCATGTTGAGATATCTTCCTCCGGACCAAAGAGTGGTTTGGAATACAGAAACTAATCAAACCTTCAATTACTCATCGGTTTTCTTGTCCTGTTCAGATCCAGCCCACTAAATTGGATTACAAACCTGGGCTCCCCAGTCCTCATATATTCTCTCCATGCCCCCTGAGTACACCACCCCCGTCTGTAAATCAGTGCCATGTTTCTCAGTGAAGCCTTTGAACGGGGGAGGGATGGGCTCCGGGGTCCCTCTGGCCTCCCCCGCTCTACGAGACGGACTGGGGGACTTGACAGGCTTGATGATCTTTCTAGCGGTGGAGGAGGACAACTCTTTCTGCAGAGTGGCGATCGCCGAGCCGGCGATGGAAACCTGACCGAGCCAAAGAGGAGGAACAGCCACACCATCGTCAGTACAGTGTGTTGCTTTGTTATAGAAGTTTATGTTAAACTAAGACACAGGGAGGATCTACGGAACATTAGTTTTATTAAATCTACAACAGGGTAAAATAAAGAGTGTTTTAAATAAAGCCGGATTAATAAGGGGGCTCTGAAGTATGTTTGTTGATTAAGAGGGTGAAGAAAACATTCATGTTGTTATTTTATAGACATTATTTTATCACTTCTACACTACGATTCACAACAAGTTTGCATTTCAGGCAAGCAGTAATAACCAAATGGCCATTCGCTAAACCCCTCTGTCTAATCATAGCTTAGGAACAATAACTAGTTTCAGCAAGTGACAATGTTTGCATTCCTCCATGTGGTGTACATGGAGCTGTAGTAAGAGAGATGCTCTGGTAACAAGCTACTCTGTCCAGCTAACTAGCTTACAAAGTACAGTAGTAACCTAGTTCTACTGCCAAGGCCAAGAGTTAGCATCTGATAGCATCCACAGGGAGTCAGTCCTGGATGCTACTGTAATACTGAGGCAAACTAACTCCACACTGCAATACAGGAACAATGTTGTTCACATTCTTCTACATGTGAGAATGCTAACTTTTCAATTGGGACCCGTGAGCTTCAGCCTCAGTCTGTTAGCACAACATCATGTACACAGCCATCGAGTACGTATTGAAGACCCCTTTTACGGGGTTTTGCTTAAAATTGGTCAAATACAAATGTATCTGGAGATGGAGTTTCAACCAACTCAGGAGGTAACATCAGCTAACTGTTTAGCTAGCTAGAGGTGATTAAATCCATCAGGTAAAGGAGTCTTTTCAACAGGGCGGTCTTAGCAGAAGGGTCAGTTATAGATTGGATTATTGACAAAAGTACAGTGTTATATTATTTCAGCATTTCATTTCACTTCACATGTTTTGGTACGTTAAGTTCCACTCTTTCTACACAGGTTATTTCCTACTGCTTGCCTGATGTTGCCTCTCTTACCTCAGAGCTAGACTCATGTTTTGGGACAGAAACTTTAGAAACTGTGAAATGTGGAACTGGGGACGGGGCGAGACCAGTGTCCACGTGGGAGGAGATTTCTGTCGCTCTCTGAATCTGGAGTAACCAAAAGAGTTCACAGGAGTGTTACAACCTCAAGAAGATTTTAAGAGCTGGACAATACAGTACTGTAAGCGCTTTGAATAATACTTTAGTCCTGTAAGTACTGCAAATAATGTTATCAAGAGATTCATCCTTTTAGATTTATCTTGTCAGAGTAATTATTTCAAAACACTGGCAAATAATTTTGCTCACTTTCAAGAAATTTTATTTTACAGTTATTTTACATGAATCTGTAATTAATCCATAGTTGTAACACCAAATTAACAATATAAAACTTGTGCATACTCTTTTTCTAACAATTTATGATGATTGGGCCACATAAGCACCAAGAACGATTTGAATTGATTAGCATAAGCGATAATGGTACTGTTGAGATTGATGTGACTGAAATCTTAAATCTCACTTGTTTTGTGAAACCTGAAAAACTGTTTGCCAGTGCAGTCGAAAAGATTGTTTTATGTAACAAAACAGCCTTTGAACCGACTGAGTTGATCATTTAGTTGTGTCTTTGGTCTGGAGGCCTAGCTAACCTGAGGCAGCGGCAGGGTGGGTTCAGGTGTAAACTCCTGAGCAGTGGTGAGCATTTGGCCAGCCTGCACTCGTGTAGTTGTCCAGCCGGCTTGATACTGTTGATCGGCAGCCACAGCGGCGGCCTGCTGCCTTAACTCTGCCTCTACAGCCTCTGCTTTCTCCTCTTCACCTCGACCGCCCTCGACATGCACAGGCTGACGGACCCGAGCGAGGTCAACGGCGGCCATCACTGTGGCCACCGCCCCGGCTCTTTTCCCTCCCTCAGCCTGGAGACACAACCAGCAGCACATAGATCTCAGGACATCCATGGCAGGACAGTGGTACAGAGACAGGCAGGTGGACATTTTAGCAATTAGTTCCCTCACATTAATTCCATTTCCGCTCAGGCTAGGGACTGTTCGGATTAAAGACGTGGTTCCACATTTTGGAAATAGCCTTGTTTTATTGGTAGCAGGTGTAGATTTGAACTTTGGGCAGAGCGAGGCTAACAGTTTTCCCCCGCTAATAGTCTTTATGCTAACCTATGCTAGCCAAGTCCTGACTCCAGATTTACAGCTGACTGGATGTGTCAACAGCACAATTTATGTCATACACGGACATGGAAGACTAAAATGATGTAACACAAAAACACACACCGTCCTGTCTCTGTAAAATACACCAATGAATGTGTGAATGTACACTAGTATCACTGTTCCAGTCAAGTTTCTTAGAGAATCTGGTTCATATGAGTAAACACACTTTCCTGGTCATTGAAACCTGGATGGAAACTGCTGACTTCTTGGATAGGATACTAGCGTGCATGTAAATGTACCACATCAGACAACACACTCATCTGTTTGAGATGCAAGAAATACAACACTGAAATCAGGTGAAAGCAACATGAACGGAAGAACAAAAGTGCTGAAAGTGAAGCAAAAACAACCACGTGGCAAGAAAACTCAAAAAAGAGGTGGTGAAAGTGCTCAAAAAGACATGATGGAGCGCTCTTGAAAGACGGAGAGGTACCTGCTCCTCCGGCTGCTGGCGGACATCTTGGACAGCTTGGTCTTCGTCAGTCAAGACATCACAAAATCTGAACATTCCTTCAGTTGGATCGAGTTCGACGTGCTCTTGGTTTGAAACTAGTGACGAGTCTTTGTGGTTAAAGACAGAGTCGAGATCTTTACAGCTGTGTGACGGACTGAAATACATCTCCTCCGAAGTGTCTTCATTGCCTTCGTTGTCCGTTTGTGTCACTACAAGACTTTCAAAATCTTTGCCGGACTCTTGCTCTTCTTCCAGCGAGGCCACGGTGTCCCGGTTCGTAATATCGGAATGATAGACGTTTTGGTCATATGTCGTTTCCTCGTGGCTCGCAGCTTCGCCACATCTCTCTGCATTCTGGGTAAAACTTGTGTCATCTGTCAATCCAGATGATTCCGACTCCATTTCAGCAGTTTGAGGCTAATAACCAAATCAAAAGACAATCATGCTGCTGTCAAAGTGCCAAAAAGTGAAGAGGTGGAAAAGGTGGCACAAACCAAGAATGAAAAACATTCATATTGAAATGCGAAGGATGGAAGAAATGGAAAAGACTGAACTGGTGGATTGTAGGATGGAGTTTTCAGGGTGAACTCAAGATTCGTTGTCTTTCAACCCAAACTTAACTCTACTTTTGAACCTGATGTGCAAATATTTCATTAAAGAGATTAATTAAAGGTACGGTGTGTAATTCCTGCCCACATGCTCCAAACAAACAGGGGGCAGCCTGTCACCTCCCCCCACCCACATCTGGGTCGACATACATAGAAAGATAACCATCTTCATCATCATGCTGCCTCTGAATGTTTGTTAGTTGTATTTCAAACAGTGAGACATTTCAAGTTTTTTCTGAGGCCCTCACAGAGTTATTAAGAAAAGACATTAAAACATGTAGAAATGGAATAAAAAGATGTCATAATGTTTTGTCGTTCACATATTTGCATGCAGGAAAATAAAAGTGCAACATTCACACTCTGGAGCAATTTGGTGAACAAAGCGGTGGACGGTTTAAAGGACTATTTTATTTTCTCACTCTTTCTTAAAACAAAACATCTTTTTTTTTTAAATATGCCATTAATGAAACGAAGTTGGGGATTTTCCCATTCATTTCAACACTGTCAAAAGTTTTCCTGGACTGGGCATCTAGTGGTGATTGGAGGAACAGCAGCTTAACCCTTTGAACTCTTTTTACTTACAGGCTTTTAGCAGAGTTACTCAGGCTACTCAGACAAACCTTCAATTGGCATGTGAGTAATACTACACATGTTTTTATGACAGGTTTTTATGTCTGCAGGTTTTGAAAACAAACTGAATATCATATGGATGGATAGGAGTGTCAGTGTTCCAGGAATATAACAGTGTTGATGGGACAGTCTGAGTCTTAATAATGTCAAAAAGAACTGTTGAGATTTAGACAAAGGTCTCTGTTAAAAGTAGCAGAAGTGTCTGTTAGCGGCTCCTGTTAGCAGTTAGCATGGATGTACAGACGGCTATCGCTAGATTAGTGTGATACTGAAGAAAACTTGAAAAACATGATGATTCTCAGGTTCTGCAGCTACTGTAACTAATCTTTCTATGAAGATATCCTCGGCCGGTCTAACTCACTGAATCTAAAAATACGTGTTTCATATTGTGACTCTGGGAAGCTGGATTGCGGATGCTGGATTTGATGGCCGCTAAGTTACAGATACAGCTTCACCCTAAATCCTAAAGTTTGGAAATGTTTGGGGCAACAATGAAAAAATTAATCTGATCTAACAGCGTCCATCCTCCAGCTTACTCAAACTGCTCCCTGGACTCGTTGACCACCAGATAGAGGTATGGACCCCCCCACACCAAGCAGGCCCTCCCTCACCTGTTTGACCCCGGTGACCTGCTGCTCCCAGCGCTGCTCCTGGCCCAGCTGGGTGACGGTACTGCTGGTCATACTGGTCATGCTGGTGTAGCTGGCCTCTGCCACATAGTCTCCCTGCTTCCAGGGCGGCAGGACGTCGGCGCCAGCGGCCACCTGCTTGCGTGCCGTGATGGGGGACTTGACCGGCCTGATGGGGGAGACTGATAGTCTTGAAGTGGGAGAGGCAGGCCTGGAGACGGGATGGGGTGAGGTCACGTTACAGGCCTGTAGAGGGCCAACCTCCGATAACATCCCCACCCCGCTCACTGATCTAAAATCACACTCTTTGCCGCTTTACTACACCTCTCTCCAACCTTCAGCACAAATACATCCACTACAACTTCTACTGTAAATTCGCAAATCTGGAATTAAAAGATAAAGGCTCCACCCACCTAACAGGCGTAGGCGTGGGCGCCTTCACGTGTCTGACAGGTGACGGTGACTGTTGGCGTCCCGCGGTCACCTTGGCGACCAGTGAGGGCTGAGTAGGGGACTTGGACACAGGTTTCGGAGGAACTCTAGGCGGAGTCTTGTGAGCCAGCTGCTGAGTCATCTCGGCGCCCTCCACCTGCATCTCCATCATGGCGGTGGCTTGGAAACTGGCCTCCATCCTCTGAGGACGGTTGACAGGGAGAGAGCAGATAGGTCAGGCAAAGAAATAACAGACATGAAAGTGAGTTAGAGAAAATTTTAAAAATATAAAATGGTATACATGAGATTAAAATGAAATCAAATGAGGTGAGATTAAACAAAATGAATTGAGATTAAATTAATTATGTTACATAAGGTTAGATGAGATGAGATTAAATTAGATGAGATTAAACAAAATGAACTGAGATTAAATTAATTATGTTACATAAGGTTAGATGAGATGAGATTAAATTAGATGAGATTAAATGGCATGATTTAATTAAATTGGATTTGACAGACAGGAGATGCCATGAGGTAAAATGAAATATGATGGGATTAATTTGAATGAAATTCCATTAAATGAGATAAAAATTTTAGAATAGATTACATTAGGACAGAAATGAGATGAGATGACGTTAAAATAGGAGATTTTATTAGGATAGATTAAATAAGAAAAAAGATTAGATTTGAGATGACACAACAAAGATGAAAAATTTGATTAAACAATCCAGTTAGTGACCTTTAGATAAAATGACATGTGTGAAGTTACAAAGGCGAAATTTTGATTAATATTATTACCACCACCATTATTATTATTTTACATCTACATGTGGAACTCTTTGTTCTCTTTCTTCCTGCTCTTTAAATTAGATTAGAGATTAAATGAGATGTAATTAAATTAAAACTGAAATGAAATATGATGAGAACAAATTAAAGATAGAATGATATTTGATGAGATAATTAACTTAAATAAGATATTAAATGAGATATGATGAGATTAGAGATTAAATGACATGTGATGAGATTATATTAAGTGAGATATCGTGATATAAAATTAGATTAAACAGAAAAAGAAAAAATTAAATGACATTACACAACACAAAATATATAAAGAGGGAAAGGAAATATTAAAATGCTATATTATGTTGTATAAAATGAATGAAATGAGATGACATCAAATTAGTTTTGTTGAGATGAGATTTAGTAGAATGAGATGAAAGAGATAGAGAGATATTGAAATGTGATCAAATTGTAAAAAATCACAAAGGAACATAAGAAAGAGACAGGATGAGATTAAATTAAATCAGATTAATATTTACAGTGAGTTTTTCATACCTTTTCCACTCTGGTCTGACGGGTCTGTGAAATCTGAGAGGTTGAAATCACTGTCTTTGTTTTCTTTGCTGGAACGGCTTCTTCACCTGAACACACACGTTTAGTTCAGTAAACATCAGACCGTTATTTTAAATATGAATTAATTTCATACAGCACTTTTTAAAATGGTGGACAGTTTAAAGATCCTCACCCTGAACCAGCAGCTCAGCGGTGGACGTGGCCCGTCCGCTACTGTTGGTGGCGGTCACAGAATACGTCCCAGAATCCTCTGGGAAGGCCTCAGCGATCAGCAGACTGTACAGGTCTCCCTCCTGGAGGATCCTGAAGTCCGCCGAGCTCTGGATCTCGGCTCCCTCTCTGTAGAACTTCACCACAGGTGTTGGGATTCCTGTGACTCGGACGTCCAGCCTCACCTGGCTGCCCTGTCTCACCGTGGAGCTCTGCAGTCTCTGAAGGAAGCTGGGTGGCGCTGTCTCAGCTGGAGCGGAATATTATTGACAGTTTTAAACTGAAGCTCAACGGTGTCTAGTCTAAGATATAAAACAGTACTGACGAGTAATACTACTTTTTATGAATGTTGAAAGAACTACATTAACTGAAATAAAAAATATTTTAAATCATATTAAAACCGTACATTGATACCTGATTTCAACATGTGGTCTCATTATTTCTGATGAAAATTAATTTTTTTTTAAATGAACGAATGACTGGCACCCGTACACTTTTCATAATTGCGCCTCAAGTTCTGTGGATACCGGGCAATTACCCACTTTGCCTTGCTTATGATTGGTTGATCTTTAAGTTGCAATAAATGATAACAACTAGACTAACAGTCAGGATAGCAGCTCTTTAAGACAATACTTAGGTAAGATACACTATTCTCAAATTCAATCTCTGCATCCCAAGTATTGGGAGCAGTGGGCAGCTGCTGTACAGCTCCAGAGGACCAACCAAGGTCTATACCAGTGCCGCTGACAATGGCACTGAGTGGATGATGTTTTTTGATGGTGGGGGAAACCGGAGTACCCAGAGGAAACCCACAAACACATGTGAACTCCACACAGAAACACCAGGGACGACTGGGGTTTGAACCCAGGGACCCCTTCTTGCTGTGACCGTGCATTAGACAGCTAAATGGAAACATTAGCATGCTAGTTCTCACCTCTAACAAGGCCTACTTGCACATGAACATGTGTTATGGAGGAGTGGGTTTGGAGGGAGTCCTGAAGGGGGGTGATCAATTCATTGGAATACTTTCTAAATCTATCTTTCTCTCCAACTTTAACTTAATCCTGTAGTTTGACTCATAAAACCATCATGTTTTAATTTTGTTGGACCTTTCTGTTGCTGCTCTGTTCTCTTGTGGTGTACCCCAAGATTCCATCTTAGGCCCTAATTTACTGTCATAATACGTATATGGTTTCACTGGGCTGTTTGTGGAAAATCCAAATATATCCCATATAATTTCTATGCTGATGACATGCAGCTCTATTTCCCCAAAAAACTGAACAAATTTCAGTCTTTTCTAAATTGTCTTGAGGATGGCAAAACCTGGATGGCAAAAAACATTCTCCAGCCTTATGAGAGAGAGACAGAGGTTGTTGTTATTAGCCCCGAAAGTTTCACTTGAGATGTAGACATTCTTGGGTCTCTATTGTCAAATCTCCAAACACATACCAGAAATCTGGGTTTAAAGTTTAAAGTGAATATAAAACCTTTAACCAGGAGTTCTGTATTAAAGTCTACCTGAGCTCTCACCTGTAACCAGGAGTTCGGCGGTGCTCGTGGCTTGTCCAGCGCCGTTGGTGGCTCTGACAGAAAATCTCCCGCTGTGTGCGGCGGTCACAGCGGGGATCCTCAGAACAGCGCGGCCTTCGCTGAACGAGATCTGAACGCCGGGCAAAGCGGCGGTGGAAAGAACCTGGCCATCACGGAACCAGCTCACCTCAGGAACTGGAGAACCTGCAGAGGAGAGAAGAACCCGACAGGTCTGATGTCAGAGAACCGGAAGAACACGAGGCCTCCAGAACACTTTGAAAAAAGTTAAAAATTATTATTGTGACATATCTGATGTTTTATTTAACATATCAGAAAATGTGAGCCAAACATGTAGAAAGAAAAACAAAGATTAAAGTTGTTGAAAAATTCAATAAATTTCAGATCAGAACATGAGCTCAATGTTTGTTTCTTTCATGACGATCATTATTCACCTAACTTCTCAGTCCATGTCAGTTTAGTTTTGACTTTTTATCGCCTTCATCTTAATTAAAGTTAAGTCGACTTCAAAATCTCAGATGTCAGAAAGTCTATGAAAGCACCATTGACAGTTGACTGTGAGAGGTTTTCTGGTCAATGAACCAGTGAAGGACTCTCACTGGCTGAACGGTTGTCACCTGTTTAAAGGTAAATATCCCTCTTGAAAAAAAAACAGATGATCAGACTCTTCTAAAGGGGAACAGCAGGTTTGTTTCTTACCACTAACTTGAGCCTCGAACGTCGCGGCACTACCCTCTAGTGCCACGACGCTCTGCAGCGGCTGTGTGAACGTCGGTGCTTGTGTTGTCATGGTGGTCGGCACCCTGCAGACAAACAGAAATAAATGTTAGTGGGTCGCAGCTCTGAAACACCAAGCAGCAGCATAAAGACCTTTTACTGAATTGAAGGGAGTCCAGCTCTACATGGGTTTGGAAAGTCTGGTTTAATCTGAGTGGCTCCAGTATCAGTATATCTCAGCATCAGAAACACTGCAACTCAGAGGAAGTCATAACCATGAGAATAAGGTCCCTCTACAAAGTGAGCTTCCCTGAGACTAAAAACTGTTCCGGTGCTCTGAAACTTCAACATTCGGCAGTAAAGAAACGGCAGCATCACTTATTCATTCATACTTTTTCCTGACACACGACCTCTCGGGGTCAAATCGATTATGACAACGCAAACGTGGAATCTCTTACCGAGGTGTATGAAGGGTCAACAAAGACTCTGACACAGGAGACCGACCGTGACCACCATTTTAAATCTAACCAAGTAGGTTTAGTTGTCTAAACACAACCAGACCGTAACTCTGGAGGACACGTATCAGAGTCGCTCATGTGAGTCGCTCATGTGAGTCACTTTTCAAAGCACTGATTAATCATTTCACCCCTCCGAAGGGTGTGTCAACCAAAAGAAAAAGCTCATATGGACATTTTTAGAGCCGAGGTTCATAACATCATCGCTCAGATGAGAATCTTTCTGATAGCTCTGATAAAGAAACGTATCTAACCAAGCAAACACACTTCAGCTGAAGTTCGTACGTCAAGGTCACAAACTTTTACAATCATGTGGTGAGTGAACAGTGTTTCTCACTGTACAGTTCATGTTAGTGCTGCAACAAACACAAGAAGCAGAAGATGTCCAGCTGCTTCCATCAACCTCTGTCATCTCTTCTTATTCGTCAGGTTTTTACTGACGTACACATTTAAAAGCAGTTGGATGAAAATGTGCTGAGTGTGTCCTGCAGCTTCTCTCAGCAGAGGTTTGAGTTTCAGAAACCAGGCCGGAGCTATAAATGTCAGGGGGCGGGGCTTGTTGGAGGGCAGATGACAGACAGCAGCAGCTGGAGGTCAGCCGGGTGTTAGAGTCATCAGAGGAAGAAGAAGAAGAAGAAAAGAGCAACAAGTCTGCAGCAGGTGAAGCCAAACAGAGTCTCATCTGCAGGTTTACAGTCCAGAAAACACCAGAACACCTTCTGCAAATACAGGCCGACAGAAAACTAAAGAAACAAAATAAGGCCGCAAACACCCCTCATGATCGAAGCGATCAAACTAATATTTGGTTAAAACAAATATTCTATAACAAATAATCAGAACAGGTTCAAAACAATAAAACAAGAAGTCCTCATTCATTCATTTCCTTAAAATCCTTTATATAGCTTTCAATTTCCTTCATACAAACAGCTGCTTTCTGGTCTCCCATTAAGGCCTGTAGAGGATCAATAACTAATGACTGATTGTGGTATTTATGTGAACTTGATGTGACCACAGTATAAAAGTGGACTCGACTCTTCCTGCAACCCCCCAGCCTTCTGGCTTTAGTCTCTTTAGTCTCAGGAGTCTCAGATCAGGAGCCGCATTTAGCCTCAGCCGGCCTGTTTTTATCAGCACTAACACCACACGCAGCTGTTCACACCACTTTCAAAAGTATATATATATACACGCTGTATGTAATGTTGACTGAAGAAGCTGCAGTACAAAGGTTTCGTCTACTTGACCGTGATTTTTCTTGATTTTCACACATACTTGATAAATTTGCAATATGATGGATAGTTATTCATGAAATATCTGAGAGAGAAGTTTACTGTTCAACAACTCTGTTGTTGTAATAACCAAACTTAAAGAATATGTTTAATGTTTGTTTATGAAAATCAGCAGCTTTATTGATTTTCAGCTTTTTGTTGGATTTGTGTTTTCATTCATAGTATTTGTAAATTTGCAGTAAAAGTTTACTGATTATTATTTATTGTTTCTTACTCAATGTTACACGTTGCTTTACTGAAATACGTTGTTATGAAAAGTGTAAATATCTTATTATTACTGATATTTTCTTTTTCTATGAAGTTTATAATTCAGCTGCTCCTCCTAAAAAAAGTTAATCTTTATAAAATGCATCATTCGGATAGTTTATGTCGTTTGTCAGTGGAGAGTCGACCTGGGCTGTAATTCAGTGGGGGGGGGCATGGGAGGAAACTTTACGACTCTGTTACAGCTGCTGCAGGAAGTTACTGAAGATCAGGAAGTTAAAAATAAACTTTGATTCCGTTGTTTCTAAAACTTGCAATAATCAATTCTTTCCTCTGATACTTTGATATATAAAAAGAGAGAACGGGGTCTGAACATGGATTCATGAAAGCTTCGTACTGTTTCCTCACACGTAAACAGAGAAGAGATTTTGGGGCCCTAAACAGAATTTAAGGTCCCCCGAGGCCCCGAACTTCAACATCACAATAACTGATCTTCAGCATAAAGTTTCCCAACGTGTCCACCAATTTTTATTTTACTCTAAAACACAAAGCTATTTTACTAACTTTACTTTGTGTAAATTGCATATTTGTTTATTTCACATTCTGTAACATGTGCAACCAAATCCCACGTGATTTAATATATGTAACTATTAACTTGTCTGTTGATCTAAATTTTAATCATATAAATATATATATTTATATATAATATAAATATTATCCAGTTTTAATCGAATCAGGTTTCGATTAAAACTGGATTTTAAATTAATATTTGTTTTTATCATCATCAAAACACAGACGCTTTTTTAAAGTTCTTCACATAAGGCGAAGAAATGCCTGTCAAAATAATCTAATTTGAAAGAATTACTTTAAAAATAACAAATAGACAAAAATGATATTAACAACATTTTAAGTACAGTGCAGAAAGAAGGAAAAGCAGTACAGAAGCCAAAACTAGTGACTCACAGTAAAAGTTCCTCTTAAACCCTCAAATACTGTTGTTGTTAATTTGACTTTATTTGAATGTAACATTTCACAGTGAGTTTTTTGATATTGTTGAGATTTTCTTGTAAACTTCTTCTAATTTTGTGAATATAAATAAAATATAAATGAACTCCAGAGGTTGATTTTATTTTTCTGCTAAAGATTTTTGTGTCGAGACATTTAAACACTTTGACTCTGAGGAACTGTGAGCTGTTTTATTGGTTTCTGACATTTTATAGCCCAAATGCTGACTCAGTGAATCCAGAATATAATCTGCAGGTTACTGGATCATTTCCTTGTTAATGTTCTTCAGTGATGAAGCTGCAGACAGCTGATCTCACAGCAGCAGCAGGTGCTTTGCTTACTGCAGGAACTACAGTAACTGCTGCAGTACTGCAGTACTGCACATACTTTACTGCAGACTCATTATTAGATCCAACAGGAGGTGAAACATGGCTGCTGTCAGGTAAAAAGCTTCTATCCCCAACATGTCTGACAGAGTTTTTAATGAGTAATCACGTCGGTACGTTTATATGAAGTCTTGAAAAGAGAGTGAGTGAAATCATCTCGTGATCTAAGAGCAGGGAGATACAAGGTTTCCCCCTGACGGTAACATACAGCAGGTTTCCCCCTGAGGCTTAATTATTAATGAAACTAACTCTTACCCGTTTATTTTAATGAAACTTCTTTAATTCTGTTTTAAATGTCTGTAAAAACGCGTTGGTTAAAAGGTAACTTAACTAGTGATGTCACCAGTGGGACTTCTCCGTGATTGGATGAACAGCCTGAAGTGAACCTGCGACAAACTTTTTTTTAATGCTGAACAAGTGAAGAAACATGGGAAATAAATTCAGACATAAATGAAAGTATTGATGAGGAAACAGAAACTTGATTACAAATAACAGCCTCAAATGAATAATTTAATAATCTTAAGAAATCCTTCCATAAATAATATGTAAATAGAAGATGTTTATAAAAATGTATTTACAGCAGCATCCTGTCCAGATAAGCTTCATGTTTCACAGTAACGCTGCTGTAATTGAAGAAATCATGACTTTTTACACTTAATAATTAAACTTTGGTCCAAACGTTAAAATTTAAATGACAAGAACAACGCAGCGATGAGCCTTATTGATTTCCTATATTTACTGTAAGGTATAACACAAAGTGCAGCTGATCCAGGGGGGACCGGCCAGATCCTGATCCTGATCCTGGTCCTGATCCTGATCGGCTGTTTGAGGTGGAGATTTCAAAGTTCGTCTCAAAGGACGAGGGCTTTACATTGAAAAAGTGTTGAATATATTTCTTCAGGAGTTAACAGGGATTTATTTTACTGTTGGAGGTCTTTGAACGCCCCGTCAGAACAGCTGGGGGGGGGGGGGTCAGTGCCGTAAGCTGATTAGAGGTGAAGAGTTTCTCACATTCTCTCTGTAGTGACAACCATCAGCCCCGAGCTGATCACACCGATCGACCAATCAACAATCAATCCTCACTAACCTCAGAACTCAGACGGCCTGTTGGAACAAACTGGATAAACTCAGCTGATATTTACAGATCAGACTCTGAGCGACAGATATGGCAGTGGCCAAAAATACCCCCCTCCGCCCCCCCACCCTGGCCCCATGCAGTTTGATTGACAGCCACCATGTGGCACATAGCTGGAGGTGCAACTGATAGCCCTGCTGCTGATTCCCTTAAAAAGCCATCAGCCGCCCAGCTGACAGTCCACTCTCATGCTATCAGCGGCTATTCTTGGCCTTCCTCAGATCGCCGCACAGTTTGCTGCACGCGGCCGCTTCCAAGTTCACCAGAAAATATGTCAAACACAAAGAGAGCTCACCAAAAGTCCAGATTCCCCTCTCTGACCCGTCCCTGTAACCCACATGAGGCAGCTGAGCGCAGAACATGACGTTACTCACTTGTTTCCACAAGAGTGCCTCAGACTGATGGGACGACGCCCGGGCGGCTCGGACCAGCAACAGTCTCCTTATCCAGAAAGATTTTTCTAGAAATATCCAAGATGAGAACGGTCGAGCCTCGAAGTATCCCCCCCGATAAAAACAAAACTACACAGTGAGAGGCCGTGTAGTTCTGTTTTCCCTCCGTGCAGTCCCTCCACCCGAGGCGAGGCTGGGAATGCTCCAACTGCTCAGGAGGGCCCAGATGGTGGTTTAGGTCTTTATACCAGGGGGGACAACCTGCATCATCACCTCACCGACGCTCCCCATTGGCCGGTGGGACACCCAGGGGGGCATGACGGGACATGGCAGCCATTTATGCAACCTCCACCCTGTCAGTCCCCCCGTCACAGCTGATCCAGCCTTGATTTGGACCGATCTGTGCCGGACCGAGGGCCGATCGCTGAAAACTCATCAGAGCGTCGGATCAGTTAAAAGAGCTAAAGAGCAGAAGTTTGTGTGTGAAAGTGACAACAGTCCCCGAGTCATTAAATAGCTGCTGACCAAAAGGAGGCAGAGGCTGTCCCTGTCAGTCAACCCCCCCCTGCTGGAACAACACAGGAACAAACTCTGTTTACAGCTTCCACTCCTTTATTTATTAAATCCCTCTCAGCCGGGCTCTGCTGAAGGCCACTCAGTTACTCAGCTGTCAATCATCCATCATCCATCCACAGCCACTGATCCTTTTACAGCGTGAGAAGCAACAAACCAACAAAACAATTCAAGCTGGATAATCAGCGATTCGTTAAACACCTGAACATTATAATGATAATCTTAGCTTCATGTACAGAATATGGTACCTCATAAAAACACAGATAAAGTACTTTGGAGTAAAGCAAAACTAAGTAACATTGTTAGTAGTATAGTTTATTTTCATATACTTCAGTGCAGAGATAACATTTAGTTTAAAGAGTAAAAAGAAAGAAACGAGTAAAAGTACCATTTTTTCAGTGAAATATAGCAGTATAACAAGTACAAGTACTCATAATGCAGAAAAATGACCTCGCAGTGTATTATTACTTCATTTTGCTGGCCGTCAGTACTTTGAAGTATTTTACAAACGTTTCATTTGTTTTCCTTGACTTTTTAAAAGCTCTTCATGTTTGTGTGCATTTTAACCTGAAAATGTAGAAAATCATCAAACATGTACTTAAGTACAGCAAAGGAGTAAATGTACTTCGTTACCTTCCACAACTAAAGGAGCCATTTACGTTTTTTTACAACAGAACCTTTACATGTCACACGATTTCTGAAAGCTCTCACTCAAAGAGCAAAACCACGAGCTCTTTCTCAGCCGCTCGCTCACTTTTCAGTCACAGAAAACACGGCACACGACTCTCTACCCAAGACCCAAAAATCTAACAGGAAGTGACTTGTTTTCCAAACACAACCAATGAAAATGCTACACTCATTCACCAGGTCACACAGCCGCTCCTCACATGTGCAGACGACACCACGTTCAGCGTCGGCCGGCGGCCGTGCCGTTCACATTACACAACTCGCCGTCTTGTGACGGGAGTCTTGAAGTCGTCGTGGCGTTGATACCGGGGGTCAGGAGGTCAATGGTCAGATTACCTGTTTTAAACAATGGAGAGCAAGGGGAGGAGGAGGAGGAGGAGGAAGGAGAGCCATCTGTGATGAGATCAGGGCCACACTTATCGGTCATGTGATCAGCCACAGGTTGACCCTGACATAAGCTGGACTCAGAGTCCCGCCCAACCTGAGTAGCTTTACATTAGCAGCCATATTTTGAACCTTCAGACATTAGAACAGGTTGCATCAGTCTATCGTTATTTCAGCAGTGTTGTAAAATAAGGGTTCATTTATGTGTCTGGTTTCTTTTTCTTGTCTGCTGCTGTTACAACTGTAAAGTTTTGCCAAATAAATATTTACTGTTTCATCGTTGCACCGGTGTTCACAGTGTTCTCTACAGCCTCTCCGCAGATCACTTTCACTCTACAACGCTGTCTGGAAATACACGTTAGCCTATTAAAGTGCGGCTGTGGCTCAGGAGATAGAGCGGGTTCTCAAAACTTGAGAAACATCAGACACAGAAGCTCGGTGCAGAACTGAGCAGTAGGTTGGTCCAACAGACGATGCCATCGTCCATAGTGACATCACAACATTGAGCCCGCATCGCGGTATGTTCTATAAACTTGCCTAAAGGACACAGAACTCATCTTTTTGCCGTATTTTCCACCCGTGATCTGTTATCAGGGCAGCAGGTGAGCCGCACGCCAGCTTGTTAATAAAGTAGCTTTTCAAACAACCGAAACCAACATCTGAACTCTGTGTGTTCACTGTTGCTTTGCCTGCTCCACCGCGACTTCTAATGTAATAGACTACCAAGTTTTTTTTCTCAAGTGAAGTATGGGCGAGTGAACATATGCACATAATGTGACCACTATATATATCTGGTTGGGGTACTGGAGATATTCTGGAGGCTCGTGATGGCCTGACTGCAGACTGAGACCCTTCGTACTGCTTTCTTCTTTCATTTGTCACGCATCTACACATTGTTCTACCTTGTCAAAACCTGGCACCTTCATTACCCACAATGCAACAGTTTTGACAGTGATTCAGGAAAACAATGCTTCTTGGCAGTTTGTTTTGAAACCTTTTAACATCTTGCCGAAGGATTGCAGTTGAAAATTTGCCAGCAGGCTAACACTGGCACACTTACAGTAACGTTGATTAATATGTGCTGTCCAGAGAAAAAAATAGAAAAATATTTTGTTTTTACCTTATAGTGAGAGAGGAAGAGGCCACAGAAGAGGCTGTACAGGTCAGCTGTGAGCAGAGAGAGATTGACTGAGGTGGCACTTCTCTTTATCACCACCGGCATGAAGCTGTACAGGCCGAACATGAAGGCACTAAAACCAACGTAGAAAAGACCTGCAAACACACATGTGTGTGCGCATGTGCGCATGCTCACCTATTTGCCAGTCCCACGGTACCTTCAACAGCTCCTTGTGTTCCATGATGGCCCTGCAACACAGCACATGCACAAAGATTAAAATAGTTTTATGCCCCATTCCCTGCACACATATAGTAGGAGTTGCATGGTACCTGCCAGAAGCTTAAGAATTACTTCAAACCTCAACTGTAAACTCAATTGCGTACAGTTATTACTGGACTACTCTCCATCAGGCAGTAACTCCTGCACTAGATGTCTATCTGAGAGTGCTTTAGCTAAATTTAAGGGATTCTGTCAGTATTTAATTCAGTACTCACTTCAGTCTCAACATAACAGAGGACTCTTATGCTAACTTCATATGCAGGCTCACTGCGAATGACGCTCGATTTTGTTGCCCCTCTAAAAATCTTGGGCAAGATGCTGAACCCTGAATTGCCCCTGGTCGAAAAGACGCCTTGCAAATACGGAACATTTATGTTAAAGACAGAAGAGCTCTAGAACAACAGTGTGTGCGTGGTTTATCCACTAACTTACTACAATGAAAAAAGTGTTTATCTGATGCCAGTGCTTCATTTTGGGATATTTCTGGCTTTTGGAATGCAATCAATCTCTTTATTTGTCCCCGTATTGAAATTAGTTGGCAGAACAATCAAGTAGGCATTACATCACACGCCACAGAGAGAACACACTAATACACGACACTTTACTACCGTTTACATTAAGCAGACCGGCCCAGCTGAGCACCTATATGTGCCTTACCTGTTGCACAAATGAAGATTTAGACCTATTTTTGGTAAATGCAGTGTTTCATTTTGAAGGACGTATGAGGCATTTTGCATTCTGTGTGGGCAGTTTTGGGAATTGTGTTGAGTTTTGAAAACGTATGGAAGCAGTTTTAAAAAGTTTGCCCTCCTTCAGTCAGTTCCAGCAGTTTTTTTAAAGCTTTTCTAAAACTAAACTCCCACAGAGAATTCAAATGTTAAACTCCAGCTGGATGTTTCTGTGGGTCCTGCAGGCCAGCGGGGACCCAAAGACCACTGGAAGGGAAATGCTGTACTTTTTACTGCACTACAACAGCTACTGATGAAGCTACTGATGAAGCTACTGATGAAGCTACTATGAAGCTACTGATGAAGCTACTATGAAGCTACTGATGAAGCTACTGATGAAGCTACTGATGAAGCTACTGATGAAGCTACTGATGAAGCTACTGATGAAACTACTGATGAAGCTACTATGAAGCTACTGATGAAGCTACTGATGAAACTACTGATGAAACTACTATGAAGCTACTGATGAAACTACTGATGAAACTACTGATGAAGCTACTATGAAGCTACTGATGAAGCTACTATGAAGCTACTGATGAAGCTACTGATGAAGCTACTGATGAAGCTACTGATGAAGCTACGATGACGCTACTGATGAAGCTATTGATGAAGCTACTGATGAAGCTACTGATGAAACTACTGATGAAACTACTATGAAGCTACTGATGAAGCTACTGATGAAGCTACTATGAAGCTACTGATGAAGCTACTATGAAGCTACTGATGAAGCTACTATGAAGCTACTGATGAAGCTACTGATGAAGCTACTGATGAAGCTACGATGACGCTACTGATGAAGCTATTGATGAAGCTACTGATGAAGCTACTATGAAGCTATTGATGAAGCTACTGATGAAGCTACTATGACGCTACTGATGAAGCTACTGATGAAGCTACTGATGAAGCTACTATGAAGCTACTGATGAAGCTACTATGAAGCTACTGATGAAGCTACTATGAAGCTACTGATGAAGCTACTGATGAAGCTACTGATGAAGCTACGATGACGCTACTGATGAAGCTATTGATGAAGCTACTGATGAAGCTACTATGAAGCTATTGATGAAGCTACTGATGAAGCTACTATGACGCTACTGATGAAGCTACTGATGAAGCTACTGATGAAGCTACTGATGAAGCTACTATGACGCTACTGATGAAGCTACTGATGAAGCTACTGATGAAGCTACTATGAAGCTACTGATGAAGCTACTGATGAAGCTACGATGACGCTACTGATGAAGCTATTGATGAAGCTACTGATGAAGCTACTATGAAGCTATTGATGAAGCTACTGATGAAGCTACTATGACGCTACTGATGAAGCTACTGATGAAGCTACTATGAAGCTATTGATGAAGCTACTGATGAAGCTACTATGACGCTACTGATGAAGCTACTATGACGCTACTGATGAAGCTACTGATGA